CATCCATCATGGGCGGTGGGTATCCAGGCGGCGGCGGCGCATACGGGTGGTACGGCATGCCGTGGGGCGGCGCCTCACCCGGCCGGCCGGGGCGTCGGCCCAGGCCGGCGACGGGGTACCGAGGCGCCGCGAGGCCGGCGTACATGTCGCGGGGGGGTACGGCAGCGGGGGCCGCTGGGCTGGTGCATCGGTGGCTGCGGTCAGCAGGGGGCACGCACCATTCGCGAGCAGCGCCGCGCGACAGCGTTACAGACGCGTGGCGACGCGAGCGGAGCACGGCGCCGGCCGCGCGGCCGACCAGCGCGCCGCCCGTCGCGGGCCGCCCTTCGTGCACGTGACTCGGGGCGCGGCGGTGCGGAGGGCGGGGCCGGGCGCCGGCGCAACGACGACGCATGGTGCGCCTGGGGATCGCGGAGGCGCAGTATGAGTACGCCGCGCAGGCCGACGACGAGCTGAGCCTTGCGGAAGGCGATGTCGTGTATGTGGATGACGTGCTCGACGGCGCATGGTGCCAGGCGCGCCACAAGGCGACGGGCGCGGCCGGCCTGGTGCCTGCGAACTATATCGAGATGCGCGCGCCGCTCCGGACGGTCGTGGCTGCGTACGACTACGAGGCGCAGAACAGCGACGAGCTGACGATATCCGAGGTGCAGCCGCTCGACGTGCTCGAGGTCGAGGGCGAGTGGCTCCTGGCGCGGACGCAGCCACCGGCGGCGGACGCGGTCGGCCTTGTGCCTGCGAACTATGTGGAAGAGGCGGACACGGCACGAGGTGCGGCGGCCAGTGCGGAACCGCCGAGCGAGGCCGAGGTGCCCGCGCCGGAGCCTGTGCCGGAGCCTGTGCCGGAGCCCGCGCCGGAGCCTGTGCCAGCGCCTGCGCCAGTGCCCGCGCCGGAGCCTGCGCCAGTGCCCGCACCAGTGCCCGCGCCGGCGGCGCCAGCCGAGACGCCAGAGATTCTGCCGCCGCCGACGCGCAAGGTCATGGCGGCTGGGACGCCACGCGGGGACTCGCGCGCGGACCTCGCGGGCGCAGGGGACGACGAGCTGGATGCCGCGGATGGGCAGGCGTCGACTGTTGTGCCGTCGAGTGTGCCGGCGTCGTGGACGGCGCCGGGGGCCGGCGACGAGATCCGCATGTGGTCCGTGAGCGAGGTCGATGCGAAGAAGCGCAAGCGCCAGTCGAAGGGCACGCTGGGGATCGGCAATGCGTCTGTGTTTTATGTGACGGAGCAGGACGGCGCATCGGTGCCGCGCATCCCCATCCGGGACGTGCGGTCGTGGACGCTCGAAAAGAACAAGTACCTTGTGCTCACGGTGCACGTGAAGGACGTGCCGCCGACGCTCGTGTTCCATGTGGGTTCGCGCACCGCGTACGAGGCGATCAGCGCGCGCCTGGAGCAAAGCAAGCGCTTGTGCCGTGAGTCGTCGACGCTGCAGGCGCCGCCGGCGCCGGCGCCGGCGCCAGCGCGGCGCTTGAGCGACAGCGAGATGGTCGTGGTCCTGTACGACTTTGAGGCGCAGGACGACGACGAGCTGTCCGTCTCGGAGAATGACCAGCTGTACCTCGTGGAGCGCGAGAACGACGAGTGGTGGAAGCTGCAGTCGGCCGCGGGCCAGGTGGGTGTGGTGCCCGCGTCGTACGTCAAGCTGCTCCGCCATTCGCCGAGCCCGAGCCTCGTGGCGCTCGACCTCAAGATGCGGCACATGCCCGAGGAGCCGCGCACGCCGCGGCCGGCGGAGCGCACCGCGGCGCGGCCCGCCGCGGCACGCATGCGCACGTGGGTCGATGCGACCGGGCGCTTCCGCGTCGACGCAGAGCTGGTGGACGTGCGCGGCGACATGGTGCGTCTGCACAAGGCGAACGGCGCGGTCATCGATGTGCCGCTCGCCAAAATGTCGCGCTCTGACCTCGTGTACCTGGAGAGCGTCACAGGGCGCCGCCTCGGCGGCGACTCGAGCGTGGGACGCGGGGCCGAGCGGCGCGAGCGTGAGCGGGAGGCGGACGCCAGCGAGCGCCGGCGCCTCGAGAGTGCGGCGCGTGAGCGCGCCGCGCGCGAGCGCCAAGCGCCGCGTCCTCATATGGACTGGTTCGAGTTTTTCCTGAATGCAGGCGTCGATATCGACCACTGTACGCGCTATGCGACGTCGTTTGAGCGCGATCATATGGACGAGACGGTGGTGGCGGACCTCGATGCCCCCACGCTGCGGAGTCTGGGTCTGAAAGAGGGTGACATTCTGCGTGTGCGCCGCTATATCCAGCAAACCTACGGTGCCGCGCCGGAGAGGGGGTCGTCGTCGCCTGCGCCTGCGCCCGCGCCGCTCTCGCAGGCCGCGCGGGACCGCCAGGCCCGGGAGGACGAGGCGCTGGCGCGCCGGCTGCAGGCGCAAGAGATCGCCGCGCAGCGCCGCGCAGGAGAGCGCCCGTCGCGCGCCGAGTCATCGCGCGCCTCGGAGCCGGAGCCTGCGCCGGAGCCTGCGCCGGAGCCTGCGCCGGAGCCCGCGCCTGCACCCGCGCCAGCGCCTGCGCCGACGCCGACGGGTGTAGATGCTGCGACCATTGCAGCCGCCGTCGAGATCGTGCGCCAGCGCGAGCGTGAAGAGAGAGAGGCGCGTGAGGCGGAGGCGAAGAAGAAGGAGCGCCCGGCCGACCCCAACTCGGAGCTCTTTGACAAGCTGGAGCGCCTCAAGCCGTCGCCCAAGCCTGCGGCGCCTGCGCCGGACCCGAATGGTCCGCGTGGGCCGCTGGCGCCTGTGCCGCTGAACCAGTCGCTTCTGCAGCCGCTCATCCCGCTGCAGGGCACTGGGCAGTTTGTGCCGACGCAGGCGACGGGGATGGGCTTGATGCCGCCACCGACGGGCTTGGCACAGCCGAGCTTTGCTCCGCAGCCTACGGGTATGATGATGCCGCCGACGGGCTTTGCGCCTCAGCCCACGGGACCGTATGGTGTGCCGCAGCCGCAGCCGCAGCCGCAGCCACCGACGCTCGGCGCTGCTACGGCCGAGACGACGGCCGCGACAAATTCGCAGGACCGATTCAGCGCTGCCAACGTGTTTGAGCAGATGAAAACGGGCGCCGGGGCCTTTGGGAATCGGGACGCGTCGGCGCCGCAGAGCAGTGGCAAGTACGATGCGCTGCGTGCGCAGCCAACGGGCTTTGCAGCCGGTGGCATTGTCGATGGGCCTGCGCCTGCGCCGTCGCCCTTCACGGGAGGCTTCATGCCGATGGGTATGATGCCCACTGGGTACATGCCAACAGGATACTATCCGTAGCTAGGTTGGTTTTTTAAAAAAAAAATTCAATCAAAAAGGTATCGCGTGACCCTAACCAGGCTCGAACTGGCGACTTTGGAGTAACACTTCGTATTAGCTCCACACTCTAACCGACTGAGTTATAGGGTCGTAAGCGAATCCCTGACCCTAACCAGGCTCGAACTGGCGACTTTGGAGTAACATCTCGTATTAGCTCCACACTCTAACCGACTGAGTTATAGGGTCGTGGGGATGTTGGGGCGTGTGCACGGAGGGTGTATCAAGGGACGGCTCTGCATCCCGATCGATACGCCGCCCCAGCGCGCCGCCCCAGGTTGGCCCGTCGGTCCATGCGCCGTGATGGAGGATGTCACAGAGGGTCCCCCGGCGCGGGACTGTGCCTTCGACAGTCTAAGGGAGCCATGGCAGCGCACCCTGGACGAATCACTGGAGCTTCTCACCGCGCTTCATATCGATGAGCGACACGCACCGCAGTGGCAGGCGGTCCCCCCCGGCCGCGATGGCGCCCCGGACGACATGCCCGACGGCGTCTCGCTCGCGGTGATGCGCCGCCGCGTGCAAAAGACAGACGTGTACCGCGCAACGTGGACGGGCGCCTGGGATGCGCCGGATCTGTGCGCCTTTCTTGCCCTGCTCACGTCGCAGGCGCTCGTGCCGCAGTGGCTTCCGATCGTCGAGGGATCGCAGATCCTCGCGACGCTCGGGCTGCACGCGCGCCTGTGCAAGATGCGCTTCAAGTTCGGCTGGCCTGCAAGCCCGCGCGATGCCGTCGTTCTTGCGCAGGTGCGGCACAACGCGTCGACGCTCGTCCTCACGGTGGCGTCCGTGCCGCGCACACCGGATGCGCCGAGCTACCTCCGGCCTGCGCCGCCCTATGTGCGGGCGCAGGTGCACCTTCTCTCGCTCGTCGTACACCGCAGCGCCGACGACCCCGCGCGCCTACACCTCACTGCCTACTGGGCGCTCGATCCTCGCGGCTCGGTGCTAGGCGTGCGGCCCAGCGCCATGGTTGCGCCGCTGCCGCGCATGCTGCCTGCGTTCGTCGAGTGTGCGCAGGAGAATGGCACGCGCATTGCCTACGTCGCGCAGTACGGCAAGGGTATCGAGATTTCCACGCAGCGCGCCGAGCCCGCGCTGCACCTCGAGTACGTGGTGACGGACGGCGAGGCGCCGGCACGCGCGCTGGGCGGCACGCATGCCGTGCCCATGCCTCCTCGCACCCTGCGCATTCGGCTCGCGGCCGCGCATGGCTGGGACGTGCGTGTCGTGCGCCGCTCGCACCCCGGCGGCGACGTGCACGCGAGTATGGCGCGCAGCGGTGCGTGGTACGAGCTGGACGTGCAGCACGGCGCGCTGGACGCCGATACGACGGTGCGCATGACGCTGGACGCGGCGAGCGTCGAGGCGGACGGTGTGCGCTTCAACGGCGAGGCGCCTGCCGAGTCGCGCGCGTCCGAGGCGGCGGCCGAGGGCGATGCCCTGCTCGAGCGCTTCGCGCAGGTCGACGAGCGTGCACCGAGCGCGAATGACCAGCGCCGCGTGTCGTCGACGTCGTCGCTGCGCCCGCCGGAGCTCGGGGCGCTTGCGTCGACGGTGCGGCGCAACTATGTGTATTTTGCGTCGCTTCTCCAGGAGCCCGAGGCCAAATGGACGCGCGTCAGCGATACACGAGGCGTGACTGTTACCCAGCTGGACTCGATTGACCCGACGCTCGTCGTGTACCGCGCCGAGGCGACGTTTGTGGGCCTGAGCGTGTGGGATCTGTACAGCCTGCTGAGCACGCCTGCGCTTGTGGCGTCCTGGAGCGACGGCGTCGAGCGTGGCGACCTCCTGGAGGACCTCGGCGGGCAGAGCAGCGTGTGGCATGTCGCCTACCCCGGCTCGTGGCCGGTGAGCGCGCGCGATGCGGCGCTCGTGCAGACCGTGTACAAGTCGCCGACGTCGATCCACCTGTTTTCGTTCTCGGCGGACGAGCGCGCGCCGCCCGCCGCGGCAGGCACGATCCGCACGCACGTCGATCTGCAGGGCTGGAGCATCGAGGCGCTGTCGCCGACGACCGTGCATGCGACGCTGATTGAGCAGAGCGATCCGCGGGGCTGGCTGTCCAAGACGCACATCCCGCCGCTCATGGTCGCGGCGATGGCCGGCGCGGGCGAGCGGGCGATCAAGTACGGTGGGCCGCCGATGGTGTCGCGCATGCTGAATGCGCGTGCGGTGGCGCAGAGCTACCCCCCCGCGCTGGACGCGTTCCACCTCGAGTACGTGGCGCGCGCCGACAGCGCAGCGGACGCACTCGAGTGCGAGCTCCGCTGCGACATGGAGCGCTGGGCGCCCAACGTCGATATCCGCGTGACGCCGCCGCCGACGGCCGTGTCGTGTCTGCGGCGGCACTCGCTGACGGGCAGCGGGGGCCTGTGGCTGACGCTCGAGCATGCGAATGCTGAGCGTGTGCAGGTGGACGTGCGCAAGGGGCCCGTCCAGAGCGTCGAGCACGGCGTCGTGCTGCTCAACGGCCTGCGCGTCCATGTCGACACCGATGAGCTCGATGCCGCGCAAGTGCAGGCGCTCGCGCAGAAGAAGCGCACGAAGCCGCAGCGCGCCGCGCTCGATGGGCCGACGGCGCAGGCCAGCAGCGACGCGCAGGGGCCAGCCGCCGATGCAGAGAAGCCTGCGGCGCCCGCGGCGCCGCCGACAGAGGCGCCCGTGCCGCCTGCGCCGCCGCGCATGCACGCGGCGCTCGCGGCGCTCGGTGTCCTGCGGCGCATCCACGCGGAACAGCCGCCCGACCCGACCGGGGCGCCGACGGGCTGGACGCTTGTCTCGGAGAAGAAAGGGCTCTGTGTGCGGCGGCGCATGCTGCCAGACGTGTCGCCGTCGCTGGCGGTACACCGCACCGACAAGGTGGTGCAGGGCGTGGCGGCCGAGGACCTGCTCCCGCTCGTGGCCTACCCCGGCGCGCGGGCGCACTGGGACGAGCAGCTCGCTGCGTGCCGCGTGCTCGAGAGCTACGGGAGCGGTGCGGGCGTGCAGCTATGGACGACGCCGCCGTCGTTCCCGTTCCAGGCCCGCTCGTTTGTCGTGGCGAGCCTCACGGCGCGTGGCTGTGCGAGCACCGACGAGGACGTGGCCAAGTCGCCCGTGTACTTCCACGCGAGTGCGTCGTGCGACCAGTCGCCGCTGCCGCCCGCGCTCGCTGAGGCAGCCGGGTCGCTGCCGCGCGGGCGCGTGTGGATCGATGGCTGGCTCCTGGAGAATATCGACCCGTACAGCACGGACAGCTATGCGATTCCGAGCACGCGGTGCACGCACGTCGTGGCGATCGACTACGGCGGCGTCACAGCTGGGCTCCACGCGCTGTGGAATGCGGCGCTGCCGCGCACGGTCCTCGCGCTCGAGCGCGGCGTGGCGACGCTCGGGCCGTGCCCGTCGGTGCGTGTGCCGCCGACGTGGCTGAGCGTGCACGGCGATGACGACGACTCGCTCGTGTGGGCGCTGCACCGCGCGCCGCGCGCCGTGATGCTAGTTGCGAGCGACTTTTGTCCGCGCACACGCACGCTCTCGCTGCTCTCGCGCGTCGTGGCGCCGGACCTGGCGCCCGGAAGCCCCTCGAGCCGCGGGGCTGCAGCAAGCCCGCCGCGCCTGCGGCCACGCACCTCGGCGACGTTCCGACACGAGCCGCCGCCGTCGTGGTGCGTGGCCGAGGTCCAGGTCGAGTTGCGGCACTACCCCCACGGCTACTCGGTCGAGGTGCGGTGGATGGACGCGCTTGCGCTCGGCGACCTGGGCGCCAGTCCGTCGCACCGGCCGAACGAGGCGCTGCCGCTGGAGGTGCACGTGCTCGATCGGCCGCCCAGTGCGCTGCAGGTCGCGACGCACGCATCGGCGGAGCAGACGCACTGCCACTGCGTGCGTGTGACGCTGGCCGCCGGCGCCGCCGAGCGCCACGTTGCGGCGGCGCTCGTGCGCGTGGCCATTGCGCCCCTGCGCGCGGACGGCGCGCCCGGCGCGTCCGGTGGGCATGTTCCCGTCACGTGCAATGGCCGCATCGCCGAGATTGCGTACGGCGCCGACGCGGCGCGCGCGCCGTGGCCGGTGGACGCGGACACGCTTGAGCGTGTGCGTGCCGACGAGGTGCAGGCGTCTCGTGCGCTCGAGATCGGTACGCACGTGCTGGCGGAGCCCGTCGCCTCCGTCACAGCCGAGCGCCGCGCGCAGGCGCCGCCATCGGACGGTGCGCGGTCGGAGGCGCGGCCGGCCGAGGCGGCGCCTGCTGCGCCGCCGCCGCCGCCGCCGGCTGCGACGTCGCAGCTGTTCGGCCTGCTGCGGCCGTCGGGGCGGTACGGCAGCCTTGCGTCGTTCGTCACGGGCGGGCAGCGGCCGAGCGCATCGACGGCATCCGAGACGGGTAGCGCGGCGCCGGCGCCGGCGCATGAGCCCAAGGCGGGCGGTGGCGCAGATGCGTCGGATGCAGAGACGTCGGGCGAGCCGCCGGGTGCGCTTGCGCCGGCTGACGCGCAGCGCCCGGCGACACATGGGCGGTACCGCCTTACGACGCTCATTCTCGCCATGCTCGTCTCGTTCCTCGCTGGCTCGCTGGCGCGTGCGTTTATGGAGCCGGCGGACTTTGTGCTTGTATCGCCGGCGACGCGCGCGAGCGCCGAGATGCTGGCGCAGAGCGGTGCTGCGGCCGACGCGCCCGCGCGCGTGCTGCCCGCGGGGGGCACCCTGGCCGATGCGCGGCGCATGCTCGATATGGCTGCGCACGAAGTGGACCATGTGGTGCGTGCGGCGCGTCAGCTACATGTGTTTACGCAGGCGAGCGCGGATTCGTCGGCGCCGTCGGATGACGCGCATGCTGCCTCGGCCGTGCGCTGGCGCGAGATGCGCCGGTACCTCGACGTGGGCGTTCCGGGTGTGCCCTGGCGCTGGATCGCCGGCGTTGCGCGGGCGTAGGCGAGTCGTGTAGATAGGTGGAGGTTGTGGCCGGACCCCAAAATCGACGCCTTTTTTCCGCACCACGATGCAGGCGGACGACGTGATCTGGTCGGTGGTGGGCCACCAGTTCTGCTCGTACAAGGTCAAGTCGGCGACGCACTCGACGTTCTGCCGCAATGAATACAACCTGACGGGCCTGTGCAATCGGCAGTCGTGTCCACTGGCGAACTCGCGGTATGCGACGGTGCGTGAGCGCGAGGGCATCCTCTACCTGTACGTCAAGACGCCGGAGCGCGCGCACTCGCCGCGGCGGCAGTGGGAGCGAATCCGCCTGTCGAATAGGTATGCGACGGCGCTTGAGCAGATCGACAAGGAGCTCGTGTACTGGCCGAACTTTATCGTGCACAAGGCGAAGCAGCGCCTGACGAAGATCACCCAGTACCTCATCAAGATGCGCAAGCTCCGGCTGAAGGAGGAGGAACAGTACGTCGCCCCACTACTTACACTACAGACCTGAGCTGGTCGGCATCAAGAAGAAGACCGAGCGCCGCGAGGCCACACGCGAGACCAAGGCGCTGCGCGCGGCCAAGCTCGAGAAGTCGATCGAGAAGGAGCTGCTGGACCGCCTTAAGCGCGGCGCGTATGGCGACGCACCCCTCAATGTCAACGAGGATGTGTGGAATGCCGTGCTGGAGAACGCGCAGGCGCGCATCCCCGATGCGGATGGGAACGAGCTGGAGCTCGAAGAGGATCTCACGGACGAGGAGGCCGAGGAGGACATCGATGCTATGGACGCAGAACTCCGCGCGATGGACGACGACGAGGCGGGCCAGCGCGAGTTTGTCTCGGACGACGAAGATAGCGAAGACGATATCGAGGACTGGGGCTCGGTACGTGCTCGTTGCTTACATCAGGATATGCCCAGCGAAGACGACGACGAGAGTGACGATGACGAGAGCGACGGCGACGAACAGCCCCCATCGAAGCGCGGCACCAAGCGCGCCGCTCCTCGACGCCCCGACCCGCGCGGCAAGAAAGGTACGCACAGCGCCCTCACCGCAGGCCGGCCACGTGTGGAGATGGAATATGAGCAGGAAACCGAGCCGCTCACGGCCGAGCAGCTGGCACAGTGGTAGACCCATTCATAGCACGTGCCTACCCCGCACGACCGACGCGTGGCGTGTCACATCGAACGCACTCGGCCTGGCGCTGTGCGCTGGTGGCCTGATGCAGACGTCGCTCCTGCAGTATTTTCGTGTGCAGGCACCGCCTCTGGCATCGCCTGTGGACCCGGCACACCGCGGATCGAAGCGCACGTCCGAGGGGCGCGTCAAGGACGACGCACCGGCACCGGCGCCGTCGAGCTCGGCGTCGACGGACTCGGAGTCGGAGTGGTGTGCTACGTCCTCGTCCGATCCCAGCGGCGACGAGGGGAAGCGCTGGACACGCCGACGCCGCCTCGCATCTTCCCAGCGGCCCGCACGCACATGCAAAGGCCCTGACAAGCGGCCGCTCTTGTCGCCGAACCGCCCCGCCGTCGCGCGATGGCGGGCCAGGCCCCAGGACGCCGCGGCGCATCGACCGGGCGCAAACCCGTTCCGAAATGCTCGCTCACCTGTACAGCGGGCCAAGCGGCCGCCCCAAGCTCCCGTATTTATGCGCTCACCCAGCTCGCGCCGCCTCCGCCGCCTGGAGCGCACGCCCGTTCCCGCGCGGCGTCTCGGCCTGTCGCCTCGCTCGCGCCCTGTGCATGCTCCGCCGTTCCGCGGCGACTTAAATTCGCCTGCCAAGACTATACCCAGCGCATGGGCGGACAAGTCGGATTCAGAGCTGTCTTCCGTGCCTAGCAGCATGTCGTCGGAGCTCGATACGCCGACGCACGCCCCGCATCCTCTGGCCGCGACTGCGCACGACCCCAAGTCGCCCATACAGCTGCCGGCCGGGACAGAGGGTCCACTGTCCCGCGCGGCCCTGCAAAAGCACCGACGCAACTCGATCGTAAAAATGTGCGAGGCCCGGCAAATCCCCGTGCCGGCCGATGCGACCAAGCCTGTGCTCATTGACCAGCTCCTGGGCGCAAGGCCTATGCAATCTTCTGAGCGGAAGGAGCTGGGAAGCCTTGATCTTGAGCGACTGGACCTGCTCGACCGTGAAATCCCTGCAGACCGACTCGAGAAGCTGGAGCAGATCGGGAGCGGCGCCTTCAAAGTGGTCTACATGGGCCGCTACCACATATCGCGCACGAAAGTGACCCCCGTTGCGATCTCTGATTTGCGCGACGAGGTCACAGAGATGGACATCAAGGAGCTCAAGTTCCTGCGCGACCTGTGCCACGAAAATATTGTGCGCTTCATCGGCATAAGCATCCCTCCGCGGCCATCACCTGTCCCCTGCATGATCGTCAGCGAGCTCTGCGAGAATGGCGACCTATTCGACTACATTCGCAACACACCGCCGCCCCCGCATGCGGCGCTCTTTCGTCTCTTACTCCAAATCGCACGGGGGCTCGAGTATCTACACACACGTACCCCCACCATTGTGCACCGCGATTGCAAGTCTACCAATGTTCTCATCACCGGGGACGGGGTCGCCAAGATCGCCGACTTTGGACTTGCGCGTGTGAAAACGTCGGCGCGAGCGAGGATTCGGTCGCTCGTCGGGACCGTCAATTGGCAGGCGCCCGAGTTGTGGGTACCGAAACCCAACTACAACGAAAAAGTTGATGTATGGAGCGCAGCCATGACTTTCTGGGAGGTGCTACAGTGGCATCAGCCTGAAAAACGATATCCATTCCAGGGCATGAATGAACACCAAATCTATCTGCTCGTGGGCCAAAAGAAGCTCCGGTACGTATCCTCAGCTTACTTGTATAGTCCTTTTGTGGGCGGCATCCGCCGGCGCTATGGTGGAGAAATTGTCGACCTCCTTGACGCCATGTGGGCGCAATCCCCGCGCGATCGTCCGACCATGAGCCAAGTGTGTGCCCAGCTGGCGGCCTGCATCGGGGCGCAAGAGCTCGGCTAGAAATCCGATTATGTGGAGGGGGCGGCGTACCCGGAGAGGATATAAGTGCGTCGGGATTGCGCCCCTTTCCCGCCTCCAACCATGTCGCAACTGACGCAGTCCTTCCTGCAGACGATTAAGAACCGCCGTACGGTGTACGCCCTGTCGAAGAAGAGCATTCTTCCTGATGCCCAGATCGTGCAGCTTATCCAGCAGGCTGTGCGTGAGGCGCCGTCGTCGTTCAACGTGCAGAGCAGCCGCATTGTGGTGCTGTTCGGTGCCCAGCACGACAACTACTGGGGCCACATTGTGCCCTCTGCCCTCCGCTCCGTTGCTGGCGAGAAGGCTGTCGAGGCTTCGAAGGGCAAGCTGGCTGGGTTCCAGGCCGGTACCGGTACTATCCTGTTCTTCGAGGACATGAACCTCATTAAGGGCCAGCAGGAGGCGTTCCCTCAGTATGCCGCTGGCTTCCCTGTGTGGTCGAACCACGCCTCGGGTATGGCTCAGATCTACACCTGGGCCCTACTGGAGGCCCAGGGCTTCGGTTGCAACCTTCAGCACTACGGTAACCTGACCGGCGAGAGCCTGAAGAAGGTGTACAACCTCCCCGAGTCGTACGCGCTCCAGTCGGAGATGGTGTTTGGTCACCCTGAGCAGGCCGCTGGTGACAAGGACTACCTCCCTGACGAAGAGCGTGTCGTTGTCTTCAAGTAACTGCTTTCGGATCTATCAATAGTTTTGTGATAGCCTACGTTGGCGAAGAGCATTGCTTGGCTTGGCACGGGCCGAGTATTTAGGGTTGCTTTGAGACCGCCGGGATTGTGGCGAATCATTGGACGCCACATTTCTGGGCTGCGCACGGGTCGCGCAGCCGATCGATCATCATCGGTCGCTCAGGCCACCTTCACTGCACCTACCTTCCCTAATATCGATCAAAGCCACATTCTAGACGAGATGGAGCTACACGCTGCTATGGACTGTCTTCCCTCGCGCCCCTCTTGCTTTGCCGGTGGTCTACGTAACAACAGCCACCGTTCGGTTAGTAGCCTGTAGTGGACATAGATGAAATTATCTATCCACTTGGGCCATGCGCCACGTCAGGTCCACATGGCGGGGATCGGGGCGCCGAGGCATAGTACGCCCCGAAATGTCTGCGCCATCCTCCACTTTTTTCCCGTGCACATGACGTGGAGATGTGGGCGTCCCGTGTTAGGCAGCTAAATCCGAACCTTGCGCATATATATATATAAATCAAGCGGCTGCCTTTAAACCACCCATTGTCTATCATTATGGCTAGCACTCAGTTTGCCCGGAACTTCCTGCAGGCGATCCAGCACCGCCGTACCATCTACGCTCTGTCGAAGAAGCAGATTCTCCCTGAAGAGGAGGTGGTCAGGTACATTCGCGCTTTCGTGAAGGAGGCGCCCTCCGCCTTCAACGTGCAGAGCAGCCGCATCGTGGTTTTGCTTGGCGCCGAGCACGACAACTACTGGGGTAAGATTGTTCCGGACGCTCTTCGCGCCGTGGCTGGCGAGCAGGCTGTTGAGGCTTCGAAGGAAAAGCTGGCTGGCTTCAAGGCTGGCGCTGGTACTGTTGTGTTCTTCGAGGACGAGAAGCTCATTAAGGGCCAGCAAGAGGCCTTCCCTCAGTACGCTGCCTCGTTCCCTCTCTGGTCGCAGCACGCATCGGGTATGGCTCAGATTTACGTGTGGAGCGGTCTGGAGTCGATGGGCTACGGTGCCAACCTGCAGCACTACGGTGGTCTGACCGGCGAGACCCTGAAGTCCAAGTACAACCTTCCTTCTACCTACCAGATCCAGTCGGAGATGGTTTTCGGCTACCCTGAGCACCCGGCTGGCGAGAAGCAGTACATGGCTGACCACGAGCGTGTCATTGCCTACGGCCACAGTGCGTAGATAGATTCTTCGTCTGTATCTTGTCATCCATTTATGCTATATGGTGAAGGCAATAGCAATGCTTAAGATCGACTGCTACTGTTCCGCAGATTTGCGGTCAGATTTTGGGATCAAGTAGGAAAATCTTCCTTCGTGACTATAAGATCTTGGAAAAGGTATATACAGAGTGTGTATTTGAGTCGAGTGTTAAAATAAGGCACTCCGAACGGTTGCTCGGTTTTGAATTCCCACATGATTGAGAGCTGAAGACTGAGAAGATGCTGACATTTCAGCCATGGCTCCTTTGCGAAGCACATCCACAAAAAGATGCCCATCCTCGAATCTTGCACGGATCGAAGACATATCTGCATCGGGTCCAAATGTGATTCGGCGCTCAAAATGCTCATCAGAATCCCAGCGGTTCGCCATGACATGAAGTGTTCGTCGATGATGTCCTTTCATAGCGAGTGTCAAGCCATCAATGCTGACACCAGGAATGTGAATTGTTACAGTATACACATCCGGCGTTGTAGAAATGGTAACACGCTGGTCTTCTGGTGACATGACGACATCATTGTTGCTAATTTCAACAGTAAACAAGTCCATTTTCGTGGCAGATACTCCCTTGTTGACTGTCACGTTTCCAAACAGACTATCAGGACTTGTTCCCAACGATGATGGCTTGGGCATACTGCTGCACTTTTGCATCAAAGGCGTTGAGCCAAATGTCATTGGCGATAGAGCACTTTCAGATCGAGATGTACTTCCAGATGCAAACGAGGATGTCATTTCCATAGGCACATCATGCCATGCCTGATGTCTTGTGCTTGTTGGCCAATTGGCGCGTTCGTTGTCCATTACGAGACTTGAAGAACCTGTTCTTTGCTCTTGCATATAAGCCAAGTCGGACGAGCAGGCAATTGTATTGTCGAGGAAGTGAGAACGCCATGAGTCCGAAGTTGAACTGGCTCGAAGCCCATGACGGGATGGCGGTGAACCACCCATTTCAGTGTCTGTACTTGGCTGGGAAGAAATCGTTCGATTCATCTTGACAGGACTGTGACTCAAAGCTGATGAACGTCGGACAAACAAGTCCGCCCTACGCCCAAATGTCGGAATCGAATCATCGAGAGCCTCTAAATGATCAGGGGACGATGATCTGGCCGGCCCCAAGAAAATTTCTCGACAATCATTTGCACCATAGGGAGAATTCACATTAATGAAGCTCTTCCAACTTTCTTCCTGCTGGGAGCCAGGCGGCTGTTCGTCTGCCCGAAATGGATCTTGTAGTGGAAGAAGCGAACGCCAGGAGTCCGACTCATTCTTGTCAAAATCAAACGTTGGTATATGTTCGGTCTCCTTTGATTCAGATTCCGTCAACTTCGCCAAAGCTGATATCCGGGCACTTAGCGTACCCATCGTTGTGTCCATAGTCTCAAGTTTTTTGCACAGCCACAGAAAGTGGCTTTCCGCAGTTGCACAAATCACTTGCTGGAGTAACCAGAATGATCCACTTTTGTACAGCTACTTTCGTAGTAATGGGGCCTGTGTACCGGGCTTCCAAAGCCCCGGTCTGATAATCCCAGATGACGCCTTCTTTGGAGAAATGTGAAATGTTATCTACACATTATATATTGCCACTTCAATCTCGGCCGGGGCTGAACTCAACTTTTCATCTCTACTTGACAAGCATTCGTGTTTGCTATGTCATACTGGCCCTCCTTGCATCCTATTCCAATTATTCTATTGTACACGGTAGTTGAATAGCCAAACTACGGGTCCTTTCGACCAGGAACCATTGCGGGAAAAGCTGTAGGCATAGGTCCTGCCGGTGGCCCAAGCGCATAATTCGGGTGCATGTGTACTAGCGATGTATAATAATGCTGGATCACCGGTGCTGTCACCTTCGCATATGTCAAAAGTCTGAAACATACCATCAAACGCCAATCAATGACATCCAAGAACTCCTTTTCCAAAAGGTTCATCTCAACCAGTGAGATGCCTCCCACTCGGGCATAATGTGCTTCGGTCAACGGCATGTAACAAACCATTTGTGCTGAAGGAATCACATAGTGCTTTTGTTGCACAGACAACAGCTGCACACAAGAATCGATGCACAGTGAGGCTGCAAATTGTGAAGCTGCTCATTCGTTCGCAAACTCGGTCAATGTAGATGAGTACAATTAGCATGCATGGTTTGTCCAGAGTGGTGTATTTTGCTAAGCGCCTCAAATATGCACCAATGCTAATCCCAGGAGCTGCGCGTGAATGAAAACGGGTCAAGTCCGAAGGATGGAGCGGAATGGTATCGTTGTGAGTTGTCAGCTGCAATAGCATATCGCCTGTACGTGTCAATAAAATCCCCGGATACGAACTGATCAAAGTGAACAAATCTTCAGGGTCAGCCTCATAGAACCTCCCCGGAAGTTCACGTTGGTTCTCCAATGGTTTTTGCGAGCCATAAGAGGACGACGTGTTGTGCCCATCACTACTTGTACCATCGGAAGACCGACTCGATGGGTTGCTTGGATCAAAGGAAAAAGACCCTTTTCGAGATATTTGCGAAAGTACTGCCGACGAAGACCACTTCTGTGCCATGGTGTTTTGAGCCGGGCTTGAGGCTACGTCCTCTGAATAAGGGACCTCCTCTGCAGGTTTGCGGTCTATTGTTGTAGTCATTATCCTTCAAAATCCCTGTATTAATCAAGAAGAAATGCAAAAGCCTGAAGCATTTCACTAGGCCCACGTCTGGCGTAAAATAGAATAACACCACTGAAGTCAAACGAACAACGACGCAGACCCAGAGCACCACGCAGATGGGTATGCTGCAATCTCCAGTCCCGATTGGCTGTCACGTGCATCGTTCGAGACAACGTGCGCGCACGTACTCATTTCCAAACCGCTGTATGTACATGCAAGACCGAACGTCCTTGCGTTTTTCACAGCAAAGACTCTCAGATGACCAGAATTCCATAGCGCGCTTCTAAGGAGGGTATTTTTATGATAGCTCAAAAAGGTCACCCCATTAGCTTACTCAAGTCGTCAGGGGGGTACTGACGCGTCAGAATCACTCCGTGAACATACATGTGATTGGGCAAATGTCATCAGTCTTTTAAGACTCTGGATATACTTTCGGCTTACTTCATCGTTAAGTACTGCAAGTAAGTATGGATGAAACCTTACCATGAGCAACTTTTGACGAATACAATTTCTCATCGGCTGATCTTTCGTGGATCCTGCCCTACATTAAAGCGTGGACGTACGTACCCCGCCATAGTAATACCAATAGGCCAAGGAGCATTCCCGATGGAGAGTTGCAAATATGAGTCGTTTGCTTTTCTGTATTCTCGTTGTTGCATATAATGAACGATCTCAGCAATACGCAACAATACATCCGATTCCATAGACCGACGACGTAGTAGTTTGAATAATGGCTTGAGGTTGACAACGGTTTGCGCATGTAGCTCACTCATTTTCTGCCCCTTTTCACTGCGCTTTACAATATCAGGGCGCTGTTCCAGTTCAGTTTCCCAGTCTTCGAGAATGCCCTTTAGCGTATAATAGATAATCGGATACACACGAGGTGTGTCTGTCCATATAAGTTTCAGATCCATAACGGTATGCATTCCCACGCCTTCGCGCATCCTAGCAGGGACTCGGTCCTTGCTTGGTGTATCCTTTTCTTGGCCTTGCGAGACAGACTTTTCACCTGCACCACCCTCATACTCATTCTTTGAATTTTCAATAAACACCCCCTTTCCCTTGATTTCGCGCTCAGAAGCTTGTTCTAGCGCATGTAGCCGCTGAATGCGATCTTCGTCTGATTCGCCGAAAAGGCAAATTGGCTCGGACTTTTCACGCAAGCGGCACATAATTTTATCTTTGGATGGGTCCAGAGTTTTCTGTGCAACCAATTCATCTTGGTTTGGCGTCATGACGTCGTCCCTCGCCGATTCGGCCATATTCTGCGAAGTGGCCTGGATATGCTCGTTTGACTCGGGTAGATCAGGCGTCCTTTCCTGCAATTCCCGTGCATACTGTTGAGTAGTAATCGCTTCAATATCACCCCTTCTCATGTATTTGTTACCATCATTATGTTCCTGGGCGATCTTGCGTTTCTGGGACGCAATCTGTGCCTTCAGAGCGTCCATGCTCCACAGTGGCCTGAGGTTCTGGAGGTGGTTTCTTTCTTCGGCCGAAATACGGGGCCGACGCGCGGGCAGATCCGGTCCTGGAACAGTGCGGCTCCTCACTAACTTACGTTTCTTACTGTTACCATGGCTGAGCAGCTGAACCTCAAGACTGTCGAGTTTGATTCGCGCTTCCCCAACCAGGTATGTATGATAATACAGTGTAACTGACATTGCCTAGAACCAGACCCGTCACTGGTATGTAACTCTGGGCGTAAATCCAGTTTGATGCTAACCTGCGACCCGCTTGTGGGCATTCAACCTACAGCTGGCAGAGGTATGTATTCTCCTATGTAACACCTAGCTACGTCGACTACTTCCGATGTGTGAACAGCAAGGGTGAGGAGTTCGAGCCCTGCAAGCAGTTCTACAAGGCGTACCACACGCTCTGCCCGAACGAATGGGTGTGTATTTTCCGTGGTAGACTGACTTTTAGCTTGAGAAGTGGGACGAGCAGCGCGAGAGCGGCGCGTTCCCCGCTAAGCTGGACGCATAAACTGTGCTATCGTCTAATATAGCCCGGACAGTTCACTTACAAGCCAAGTGGATCACCCCTCTGACTGCATGATTCTCTACCATGTGCCTGCCCATGCATCTAGTATGTCTCTGATACGCGTCAGCACGAGATTGTCAGGCCATTGCATCTCATCAGCCGGCGTTAGATCGTTCGACCTGGTCGACCCAATCAGCGTACCATCCCAGCGCATCGCTTCCGCCTCCCAGGCCCATCCGGTCCCATTTGTCAGCATGGGCCATAAGGTGGCATTAATCATAGTGGTTGGAGCATGTGCTGCGGTGGTATGTAGCCGCAACCGGCATGTGCCCTCTGCCATGCGTGGCTCGAGCCGAAGGGTGCAGACTGGTCTTTTGCTAGTATCGTTTTCCGCGCCGCGAAGCACACGCGTCCATCGAGCACACTCTCGTAGGATCTCGAGTGCTCGGTACAAACGTGCCAAGCAAAGGAATGGCACGGCAGAAACCTCGCGCACCTGTTCATCATTAAGAGATGCTCTGTAGGACGACGTAGAGGGCAAATTCTGCCCCACGAATCCTGACTGAATTGCGTCATGGATAGTCCCTAGTCGGAAAGAAGCAAGGCCGAGTGCTAAATGTACACTGCGCGCCATACTGTGTGGAATAGCGATCGGTGGGTCCACTTGGGCAACGTAGGCTAGAGGCCGGCTGGGCCGGTCTGCATAATGGCCTTGTGCAAGCCAAACCTGGTTTGCTTCTTCGGGCATATCCACCACGGGGTATACAGACGTGGCCAATGCATCCTGATTGGATTCAAAGGGTATCAAAACTGGACAGATCCGCACGGTAGCCATGTGATGGGGAGTGAATGCAAGAGATAAATAAGGGGTATGGTAATGGCACAAACTCACACCATGACCGAAGCGTTGCAACAGGTCCACAATTTCCGGTTGTTCTAACAAGTCCACGGAAAGATCCACTTGTTTGCCATGTTGTGAAGCGAGAGAGAGAGCCTCTTGTCCACATACTTTCTCGGCCACAATACAAAGTGATGCAAATCGTTGGAACAAGCCCTCTTGGGATTCTTGTGTCGACTCCACAATGATACCATCAATGGAAGCTAGAGTTGCCAAGCTTGAGACAAAGGCATCCCATAAATGCATGGCCTGTACTAAAGCGGTACTGTCATTGGAAGCCTTGCATCGCGCCAGGATGCGAGGATCGACTTCGAGCCCAAAGAGCACAAGCATGAGTTGCTGGAGCCAGGCACACAGCATATTCTCCAGTTGTTTATTATTGTTAGAAACGGCAGAAGAATCTCCTGTAGCATAGGAGATGTGCAGCCCCACATTCGGTGCCCATAGGTCATCCTTACGACAGAGGCCTAACTCCAAGTCAAGAACGATAATACGCCCACCGCTCGTGAATGTCATAATCTTTTCAAAAGGTGCATTGGCATCAGGCATATCAATCCGCTCATAGAAGCATTCTAAGTGCAAATTCGTTGCAGTGGGCGTCATGGCTTGGCATAAGGCGTCCAATACTGCGACAGCATCAGCGTGGTTTGTTGCCGGTTTACTGTTGTGCGTTAGTGAGCCTGTCCATAAAACAGAAGGGAATGATTTCCATGCATCTTTGAAACAGTTAGCCAAGGCTGTTGTTCCTCGTATGGCATAGGATGCTTCGGACGCTTGCGTAGAGAGGTCTTGCAATATTGGCGATGCGTCAGATACTTCTAGCGACATGCGCAACTGGTTTGCTGCTCTTGACATCAACGAAATATTCTCTGTCCAAGATTCCTGCGAAAGTGACACAGTAGAGGGCTGCACTAAGTCGAGAGAGTAGAGCCCCAAACGCGATGCAATCGGCCAGGCAAGCGCGTGGAGACACTTTCCAGCTGCGCTGATCGTCGGGGTATCCTGCTTCAGTTGTCGCACCTCTTGCAGCATATGAGTGACAATTTCTAATGCAGTACGTGAGTTACTTGACGACGATTCACGAATTGATGGGGACATATCTGCCACGTCCTTGCCATCCATAGTAATTACACGTCTATTGTCAGATCGTGACTGCTGCCTCCACTGCCATCATTCACGTGGCATACTCTCGATGTCTGTGCACACATGTACATGTATGTGCAGGCTATAGGACAGCTAGTCATCGTCATCAAAGGGGTTTTCGACAAAATCGTCATCATCTGGCTCAGAATTCTTCTCTCCATCTGCTCCTTTCTTTATAGATTCGTTGGTATTGTTAGATGGCCCTTGGCTTGGCGTATCAGATGTTGAGGTTTCGTTGTTTAGGGCGGTGTGCTCAACATGAGATCCCTCGGGTTCTGCAGAACGATCCTTATCTTCTTCTTGCCTTGATGATGCCATACTTTTGGAGCCATGTACGTGAGTCTTTGCTTCTGTTGCTGTGACCTGACTTTTACTGCTGTATCGTTGTCCCCAGGCAGGCACAGTGCTTTTGGTGTTCCTGGTAGGTGTAGACAATTTTTCTGGACTGGGACGGTCTTTAGCAGGCAAACGCGGTGGAGTTGACGAAGCGGCCAATGTGTCTTGCGAAGCACGAGCGTGGAGATCAGTGGAATTGACTACAAGACTCTCCAACTCCTCGTCTGCCAGAGGCTTGGGGTCGTTATCATACATTGGAGCTGTTCGGTAGATGGGGCCTGACGTCCATGTATTTCCAGTGGGACGGACATGCGTGTCTTGTTGGAAAAGATTAGACGAATGCGAAGTCGGTGAGCGTTGTCGGAAAAATCCTGGCGAATTCATGCGATTTTGGCCATCATGCTGACGGAGCGCCGTCTCAGCCTTTTGTCGCCAATTCGACAAAGTTGTACCCACCTTCGCAAGACCCACTATCGTGTCAGCTTGTTGGATAACGTACCTCCCGTGAAGCGATTAAAGTCCTCCTTCCACTGGCGAGCCTCCTCAGAAGTAGGCCAAACGCTGAGTTCGGGTGGGCGACTAGGCAGTGGTGGCGGTGGCCCAGCGGGCGTGTGGGGAGTGGCCGTGGGTCGACCATGTTGCTGGCGAACACGAGGGCTGTATAGCAGCTGAGCTGGCTCTCGCTGAGTCATACCTGGTCCGTTGTTATTTGCTTTCAGCTGCATGACATAGGCTCGGTAACGTTCGCGCTCTTGCAATAGCTGGGCAATTTGTGCATCCGTCATGGTATTCGACTCAAAATTTCGTGGTTCACTGCTTGGGTGGTTAAGCTCCAGGAGGAATTGAATCGCTGCATAAGTGTAAGCGACATACCTGACTCCATGTTATTGCGCCTAGCCTTCAAAATGTCCGAGACTGTGACTTTGTGGAATGCGGGAAACATGGACTGAAGTTGTTCTACCTGGGCATCATCTGGCACTAGATCGTGCGAGGCACTAGTTAGTGGCTGTGACGAGGTAGCGCTCGATTCTGACTGTTCTGCTCCATTGTTCTGAGTCGCGTCGTTCTGTGCTTGGAGCCCCTTCTCATGATCTTGCGTTTTATTCGGCTCGGAAGGGGTCTTCTCAGTAGCGTCAGAGTTTTTCTCGTTAGACTCGCTGACATCTGCTCCCGCATCATTTTCAACCTCCGCTTGAGGGGATTCGTTCGCCTCGTCTTCGTTCGTTTCTGCGTGCGTCAAATCCTCTTTAGCATTTTGCTTTGATTGATCTGCCTTCTCTGTGTCGCACTTATCCATTGTCCTTCCGCTTCCTCCCACGCTACCGATCAGGAATTGTGGCGTGAAACGAACGGGCGGGGTGCAACGCCTTGTCACAAGTGTAGGGCTGCAATGATGACATAATATCACGGCGCGGCGCGTCATTTTGCGCACGAGCCTTTTGTGCCATCCCACTATGGCTGTGTGTGTGGTGTACAATCCGGCGGCCGGCAAGGGACTTGCCGAAGTGCTAATTCGTGAATATATCCAGCCCCAATTGAATATATGGAAGATACAGAAGGAGGATAGACCTGAGCCTATATACCATGTGACGAACCCCATTAGGGGCGCCAAGGACGCGGTCCGCTATCTTTCGCCCTTGACTCAGACCTCAACCTTAATTCTACTGGGTGGCGATGGAACGACACACGAAATCATCGAGGAGGCTACAGAGCAGTTTGGACAAGATCTTTCCAAGTTGCAGCTGGTGCTTGTCCCTACGGGCACGGGCAACGCACTGTTTCAGTCTCATTTCGGGCCAGGCCCATCTGACAATGAACAGTGGCGACTACGTTCTTTTGAGGCATTCCTCCAAGGAGATGTGCAATCTCTGATACCGCTCTCTTTCTTACAGGTGGATCCCTATCACTCTACTGCGACAGTAGTGGCATCGCATGCACTTCATGCTGCTATCCTGCGTGATTCGGAGGTTCTGCGTACTGAACACCCGGGTATCGAGCGTTTCAAAATCGCAGCGGAGGAGAATATGAACACTTGGTTTGATGCAACACTGTTCCTCCAGCCTTTGGACCATGGACACGTCCTGAGATACGACCCAGTTATGAGGGATTTCAAGCCAGTAAGCGCCGCGTTTGATGACTATCTGTGCCATGGCGACGGGCGCGTAGAAATGGCCGGCGTTTTTATCTACATGAATGCTATGTTGGTGGATCGCTTAGAGGCAGACTTTATTCCAGCGCCCTTCGCTGGTGTACTAAGCGAGCCTCATCTTCGTCGCCCCCCAGAGGCCGTGGATATTATTGTAATTCGTCCGTATCGCAGCCCGCGCGTACAAACCTTGCTTAAAAACGGAGATGATGTAAAAGGAATGCACAACGAGTATGCACAGGATGTGATTCAGCCTGTTTTATTCGAAGGCATGTACAGGGGTGGCGTCCATGTCGACTTCACCTATACCCCTGACGGCCAAGTGGATATACAGGGCAGCACAGAAGGGCCGCGGGTGGTGGAATATTTCCGTGCGAGTGGATATGAATGGGTATCTTCCCCGGATGATTCTCAGGCACATACTACATGCGTGGATGGTACCATTATGGCAGCCGCGCGGACGCATACCAAGATCAGCCCCGTGCAAGGTGTCAAACTCTGGTCAAAGCCATGGAATTAAGCCGTGGCCACGACAAGCACACAGCGAGCCATGCCCGTGTCCCCGCCCTGGGCCCACGTGTGCACGACACGCCCGAATGCACGCAAGGCTGCCCATTGCATTTGACTCCCGGCACGCCATGCTTGGTCGTCGATTCCGAGACCCTGTAAAAAGGTGGAAAACCCAGGGAATACGTCGTGCGAGATATCCCGTAGTTGAATAATTGAGAAGCCTGCCGTCTGGAGCTGCTCCATGTAGGTAGAACAGGGAACCATCGATTGGGTTGGGGTGCCAGATAAATAGCACGTCATCCAATGCTGTACGCGCTTGCCCCAGCTAGGCGGATGCATGGGCGCCGGTAAGGTGCTGGGCGTAAAGGACGAGCTTGTTTCCGGGTACGGCCAGGCAGACGCCAGGTCCACCAACGCTAGACGTCCTCCCGGCTTAAGCCGTCTGTGTGCTCGTTCAAAGAAGAGTGCGCGATTATGAAAGTGATACGCACAATCCAGGGCTAATATCACGTCGTAGGCATCAGCGCCATCGTCCTGGGCAAGCCAGTCGACGGCGTCAGCGCACCAGACTTGTGCTTGGTTGCCGAGTCGTTGTTGTGCGCGTTGTGCATGAACTGGTAGGGACGTAACTCCATGAAGACAGCTCAGGGAGCCCCGGCTCAGGAGGAGGAGCGAATCGCCGCATCCGTGGCCTACATCCAACACACGGTCGCCGGGCGCCACCTGTGCAGCGCTGTGCAGCAGCTCCGCCAGCGCTTTGCCGTTAGTTGTTGTCCACGAACCTTCACAAGCCTCAGGAAATACGTCCGTGTCTAGTCAGTAGCCCATATTGAGCCACTCCGTACGGGGCGGCATCACGTTGAGAGCCAGGTGTGTGAGAGCAGCGTAGGTCTCAGCAGGCATTCTATCGGTGGGCTGTGGGGAAGCTGAAAGCTTGTATGCGGAAATAAGCTAGCCTGGGCCACCGGGACCCCCACTATTATATACAGAAAACAGAGTACATATACGTCATAGGTCGTCCGGCGTCCATAATGCCGAGCGCTGTACCGGCGGTTCCCGTACACTTCGGCGAGAGTTTATGCCGATGCCTAGTTGACTCAGTTTCTTGCCCAGCGCGTTCTCCACCTGTTGCTCCGTCACGGGGCAGCCCATGGTAATCGTGGGGCTCACATCAATGGGGACGCTGAAGGAATATAGATGGAAGGAAATGTGAACCTTAAGCAGGATTCTCAAGTTCTCATGGGTTTTAAAGCAGCGCGTCGCCAAATCCTGTGCAACCCTCAAGTTCCGATCCTTCGCCACATCGTACTGGAGACGACAGGGGAGTGCGAAAGTCGTGTTATCGCGCTTAGCGATGACTTGATCATCGGCTTTGCAAGAGCCGATCGTCAATGACTGCTCCGTCGCGTCGTATGCCACAGCATGTACTTGTTTCAGTGTCGCCGACACATAGTTAGGGTTCGAAATCTGAAAAAAGACTTCGGTGTTGAACTGGAACGAGCTGCCTTGGATTTGCACATCGTCTGAGCTGGGGACATTGATATTGTCTAGGCCAATATTGGGCGGACGCAAGAACACAAACAGTAGCATCAAGATACATAGCGTCAGAATGATGCCCCACACCAAGACGCATACGAGAATCCGGAAGATTTTCATAAACAGCGACTGGCTCCGGAAGGCGCGACGGTCTTCTGGGAGCCAAATGCCACGGTACCCATTCAGCCCACGGTATGCCTTTTCCAAGCTGTTAGGAGCATGTGCATCAGCGAACATGGCGGTGTCATCGACGCCTGCATCGTCGACGAACTTATCGTTGTCGTAAGAGAAGCGGTTGCCCCAAGTGTCGCTGTCGTTGTACGCATTGGCACTCGACTGCGCTGCCATCTGCGTCGGCGGCTCCAGCAGTGTTACTGGACGCTGTCCGGACGGCGCAGGATACGGGTTCTGCATGGTGGCGACGTCCGAGCTCCGCACAGCCTCCGGCCGCAACATCTATACCGTGGGGATGTATGCACTTACTTCCCAAACTACAGGCACGGCGGCGGATCGCCCTAGCGGGACAGGTGGTAGTCGTCGATGCGCAGCAGCAGCGACACCGTCTCTGATGCCAGCTCCAGTGCACTCGTAGACACGAGAAGCGGCTGGAGAACGTTTTCCTCTAGAATGTTGGTGATCAGGCCCTGTACTGTCAGTGATCGCTAACGCACCTTGCGCACGTTGATACCGGCGGTCTTCTCGCCCATGGCGTGGCGGTTCCGGAGCTCGGTCACGATCGTGATCGGGTTCAAGCCGGCGTTCTCGGCCAGCGTCGTCGGGATGACTTCGAGCGCTTCCGCGAATGCCTGGAAGCTGTACGCCTCCATGGTCGGCAGCGTCTGCGCGCACTGCGCGAGCTTGCGGGACACGTGCACTTCGGGGGCCCCGCCACCGGCGATCAGTGCACGCTTTTTGACAAGGCAGCGCACGACACAGAGCGCATCGTGCAAGCTGCGCTCGCTTTCCTCGAGTACCAGCGAGTTGGAGCCTGTGCACAGCACGCTCACGGTCTTGCCGGGGTTCTTGATCTTGGTCACTTTGACGACGCGAGCGCCGCTGTGCTGGACCTCGTCGACCAGCTCGGCACTGGCGAGCTTGTCCTCGGTGAACGCCTCAATGTCCGCAATCGGGCTCGTGCCGAGCGACTTGCAGAGGAACTCGATCTCGTCGCGCTCAATGTCCTTGACGACCATGATCTTGAGCTTGGCCAGGAAATGGAGGGCCAGCTCATTGACGGCGTCGCGCAGAATACTCTTTTGTAGCAGCAGCACGTTGCAGCCCGTCTTTTTGATCTTCTTGCACATATTCAGCAGGTACTGCCGCTCCTCCTTCAGGATCCTGTCCATCTGGCGATAGTCGTTCACCACAATCTGGTTGTCCATGTCCGGCTTGGGGCTGCTCAGCTGGAACTGGCACACGGCAATCTTGGCCTTCTCCACGCGCGAGGGGCCGCCGCTCGACGTGACGACGTTCTGTTCAAGCACAAGGCCGTCGACCAGCTCTGTGTCGTCGATGGTGCCGCCCACCTTCTTCACGATGCGGATATCGCGCAAGTCGACCGTCTCGCTCTCGCTGCTCGCCGGGTCCACGAGGCGCAGCACGCTGTCCACGGCGATCGGCGCGAGGATGGACGAGTACTGCGACACCACCTTGGAGCTCAGCGACGTGGTCGCCGCACGCAGCAGACTGTCGCGGTCGGTCAGGTCGACCGGCGTCGAAATCTCGCCAAGGAACTCGACGGCTTTCGCCGCCGCACGCTGGAACGACTCGGCAATCACGGTGGGGTGGATGCCCTTCGTGAGCAGCTTCTCCGCGGCACCCAGCAGGCTACCGGCGATGACGACGACGGAGGTAGTGCCGTCGCCCGCCTCGACGTCCTGCGCCTGCGAGAGGTCGACGAGCTGCATGTGAGTGGCAAATACGCACCATGCGCGCCGCAGGGTGCACGACGGCCATATGCTTCAGGATGGTGGCGCCATCGTTCGTGATCACTACCTCGCCTGACGACGTTTGAATCTGGGTCAGCAGCGGCCACGCACCATTTTGTCCATGCCCTTGGGGCCCAGCGACGTGCGCACCGCGTCGCTGACGGCCTTGGCCGCGCTCAGATTCGAGCGCCGCACCTCCTCCGGCTTGTCGGCATTCTTAAACGCACGGTAGTTCGTGCTGGGCTGCGCGGTTGCAACCGGTGCTGACATGTCGTAGGTCGTCGCGTCGGCCGCGACGGCGCGGCGCGGCGGGCTTTTTTACGGTGGGTATGTCTGCAATTATTTACCAGCGCTAGTCCGAGTCGATGTCAATGACCTCGGGCGGCGGACGCGCCCAGAGCGTGTGGCCCTGTCCCTGGAAGGCCGTGCCGCCAGGCGGGGGCGCGTCCTGAGAGGGCGCAGGCGCGCTGTCTGCGTGCGACACGGGGACAGGCAGGCGCTCGACGTCGTAGCCGAAGAACAGCTGGCCAAAGGGCAGGTTCAGCGCGGCCGGCACATGCTTGTCCTCCCGTAGTGTATCGTTTGTCACAATAGCGGGGCGGCTGTGTGAGTGCAGGCACGTACTCGGTACTGCGCACGAGGCTCTGTGGATCGCGCGGTGTGATCGGCTTGTCCTTCTTGCCCTTGGTCTTCTTCCCGCTCAGGGTCTGCCCCAGGCCGCGGAATGGCGTGCTCGCGCTCGCGCCGTCGCTGGACGCCGCGCCCCGGACGACGTCGTACTTCGCCTGGTCAATGTGCAGCTTCGACGCCATAGTCGACGGCGCCGCGCGCGGCTGCGGCGCCGGCTCCACGTACCCCTTGGGCGCCGCAAAGTCGACCTCGAGATCGGTCTCGATGATCGAGATGCCGTCCGCGTCCGGCTGCACCTCCATGATCAGGATCTCGAACGTGAGGCAGTTGTACGAGATCTCAATAATGTCGCCGCGCGTGAGTGTCGGGTAGTTGCGCAATGCCTGCTCGAGCCTGCGTGAGCGCGCCAGACGTACACGGCCTTCGGGTCACTGATCTCCAGGAAGTCGACCGTCTGCGGCTGCAGCTTGACAAACTGGCCCTTCGGCAGGCGCGTGCCCTGCATGTGGATGGGGTCACCGTCCTGCAGCTCGAGCATACGCATCATCTGCGTCAGCAGCACACACGTACCCAGGACGGCAGGTACACCTTGCCCTCGTCCGCGATAAACTCCACGACGCCCGCGTGCGTGCGCTGCGCGCGCGCATGCCCGACGCCACGCAGCACAAAGGTCCACGGCGACTCGAGCTCCAGATCGGCTGCCGTTAGCACCGCCACATACTGATCGTCGCGAGCGCCGACGGCGGCATAATCACTGGGTCAGCACCGTCTACGCACCCTTGCCGCCGTAGCTCACATCCTTGCGCTCGCGCCCGCCAAAGCGGCTCATATGGTACGCCTTGAAGTAGTTTTCGTACGACTCGGGCGGCGCAGGGAAGCGGCGGTCAAACCCGCCAAACATATCGCTCAGCCCGCCCCAGCGCGCCGGGCGCCCCAGGCCCGCAAGGCCTCCGTCCACTTGTCCAAACTGCGTCAGAGGTGCCGACCTACCAGCGACATGGTGGTTGCCGGGCCGCCACCGGCGCCGCAGGTGGAGGTGCCGCGTGCGCCGCTGCCCCTCTACCATGTCGGTGCCGCAGGCCGTGCTGGCTCGGCTCGCGAGCTTTTCGTCGTGCGAGGTACGAGTGCCCACTGACGCAGGTGGCCGATGCGCTCATCAAGCTCAAGCTTCCGCATGGCGGCTACTTGCCTGGCATCGAGATGTACTCGCCGGAGCCTAGCCGCGGCGGGGCGTCCGTCTGCGGTCCCGCGTTCACGGTCAAGATGGTACCGCAGAGCGACGAGGGCGCGCCGCGGCCCGCGAAGCACTTTGTGGACGCGGCGGAGCCCGGCTCGGTGATGCTCGTGTCGGCGCCGCCGCACACGCGCTCGGCCGTGTGGGGCGGGCTGATGACGGCGCGCGCGCAGAGCCTTGGCGTGCGGGGCGTCGTGATCGATGGCCGGTGCCGCGACCTGGGCGAGCACCGCGAGAGCGCATTTCCCGTGTTTGCGCGTGGCCACTCGGTCCTCGGCCAGTCGCCGTTCACGCGCCCGAGCGAGCTGCAGGTCCCGCTCGAGATTGCCGACCCGACGGTGCTGCGTGGCGCGGACGGGGCGCCGCTCTTTCCGCCGGTCACGGTGCACCCGGGCGACGTGCTGCTCGCCGACGTGGACGGCGTCGTGAGTGTGCCGGCCGCCGTCGCCGAGCGGGTCGTCGAGCTCGCGACCGAGGGCCGGCGCGTCGACGGTCTGTGCATGGCGGACCTGCGGGCCGGCCGCGGCGTCAAGGAGACGTTTGCGCTACACCGCGGCAAGTAGTTCTATAGGAGCAGCCGGCTTGAGCGTGCGCGGCGGCCGAGGTCGCGTCCGCTGGGCGCGCGCTCGAGGCGCTCGGGGATGTCGTTGTAGTGCTGCGTCGGCGCTGCGACGGCGGCGGCCGTCGAGCGCGGCGCGCTCGGCGGCGCGCTTGCGCCGCTGAGCGAGCGCAGCCGGCGCGAGAACGAGCGTGTCAGCTTGCTGGGCCCGTCGCTTGGCTGCAGGCGCTGGAGCAGGAGGTTTGCGCGCATCTGGCACAGGTGGCTCATCGGGTACGAGGCCCGCGGGATTTTGAGGCGGCTGCTCTCCTGGGGCACGAGCGGGCGGCGCGACTCGACGAGCTCCAGCTCGCGGCGCGCGCGCGCGAGGTCGCCCTGCGCGAGGTACAGCGAGCCGAGCTCGTAGTGCGCAAAGTACACGAGGTATCGGTCGACCGCATCGAGGTGTTCGCCGTGCGCGCACGCCTTGAGCAGCGACTGTCTCGCGTCGTCGGCGACCTCGGCCATGTCGAGCTGCTGGCCCACGGGGGGCCGCACGACCGTGTGCGGCTCCGGGAAGGCCACGTAGCGCAGCGCGACGCCGCGCAGAAAGTATGCGAGCGAGTACAGCGCATAGTAGTCGCTGGCGCCGCCGGCAAAGGTGCTCGGCGACTTGTACGCGAGCAGCTCGTCGATGACGCGGTCGATGTGTGTCAGGTGCTGCGCGATGAGCGTCGCGACGGGCGTCTGCGCGAAGCCATTCCACATGTACACGAACTCGAGGGCGGGCAGGCCCAGCATGGACTGGCGCTCGAACTTGGCGGCCTTGCGCATCACAAAGCGCTCGAACGGCACATGGCGCCCGGCCATCTTCTTCGCGAGCGCCGGCACCTGCTTCATCGCCATTGCGGCCTGTGTGCGGCGCAGCGGGCTCGCCTCGTACAGGAGCGCCGCCTTGGCATACTGGTAGATCGCCTTGGACCAGTTGGACTCGCGCACCAGCATGTCGAAGCACGCGAGCGCCCGGTCGTACTCGGCCATGCCCAGGTACGTGAGCGAGAGCCGCCAGAAACACAGATGGTGCAGCTGCTTGTACTCGCGCTGCGACTCGATCGCCGTGCGGAAGCACTCGACGGCCTTCTCGGGCAGCGCCTGGGTCGCATACAGCAGCGACGAAAAGAACAGGAAAAAGGTGCCCTGCGGGAAGCGGTGCAGGTTCCACGACAGCACGCGGTCCGCCTGCGACAGGTCCACGTCCGGCAGCGGCACGCTCGTGGGGATCACCAGGTGGTATAGCAGCAGCGCCAGGTCGCACAGGGGGCGCCGCATACCCTCCTGCGGCACCCCGATGCGCGGCTCGACCTCGTCGCGCGTCCAGCCGCCGGCCCGCTCGAACAGGCGCAGTGCCTGCCGCCGATCGGCCGCGAACCCGACGCCCTCCATGAACCGGAGCATGCGCGGCTCGAGCAGCGACAGGACAAGCATGCAGCACCCCATGCCGAAGTACACGCCCGAGCGCAGGTCCTGGTCGGCCGCCTTCGTCGACGGCCGCCCGTCGCGGTTCGCCTGCTCGACCGCCTCGTCCGCGGCCTCGAGCATGCGCAGGAGCTCGCGCAGGACCACATACGCCGTGCGCAGGTTCATCGCCTCGCGCACAAGCCCAATCGTGTCGCCCGCATACAGGATGCCAAGGATCGACTTGCACAGAATCGACTCGGCGTACACGAGCTCGGCGTGCTGCTGCACGAGCGAGTACTCTGAGATCGCGCTCTTCGCCTGCGGCAGCACCGTCGACAGCCGACTCTTCTTCTTGCGCAGGCACGCGGCGATCCGCTTCGTGTGCTGGCAGCACTCCATCGCGACCTGCATGTCCTCGGGCTCGAACGTCATCAGACTCTTGACCACATTGACCATCGACATGCCCGCCGCACAGTACAGACGCGTCCCGGCACCTTCGCGGCACAGCTCCTCCGCCTCGCGCATCTGCGAGTTGAGGAAGAGCTGCATCGCCTCGTGCGCCGTCTCCAGGTCCTCCAGCAGCGCACTCTCGCTCAGCTGGCAGTCGTGCGGCGCAACTTTCGCGGGGATGTAGTGCGGCGTCACGACCGTCTCCGGTATCATCGGCAGCTCGCCATCCTCGGCCAGCAGGGAACGCTCCTCGTCGTCCAGATCCAAGTTGTCCGTCCACGCCGCCGGCGCCGCATAGCGCTCCTCCTCGACCTCCACGTCGTCGCCCGCAAACTCTTCCGCCGACGCGAAACCATCCAGGTCGTCGGCAGCCGGCGTCGGTGGCACAGCGCGCGCGCGCGTAGCCGCCTCGTCCTCCGCGGCTGGCGACGTGGCTTCCACCGCACTGCTACGCTGCGGCGTAGACGCGGCAGAGTCGGAACCACGCTCGCCCCGCGAAGCCAGTGTGGCCTCGTCGAGCTGCGGCACGGGCTTGCGCCGCTGTTTCCGTGGGACGGCTGGCGATTGACCCGTTGTGCCACCAGCTGCCGCGCCCGCCGCCGTAGGGGGCGACGTCGCCTCTGTCGGCGAGTGCTTCGTGGCCTCTGTCGGCGAGTGCTTCGTGGCCTCTGTCGGCGAGTGCTTCGTGGCCTCTGCCGACGAGCGCTTCGTGGCCTCTGTCGGCGAGTGCTTCGTGGCCTCTGCTGGCGCGAACGCCGTGCCAGCCACCATGCACGGGCTCTTTTGGCCACCAACCGAGTTCTCGAGCGTGTCCTCACCGTGCTCGCGGAGCCACTGCAGCAGCGCAGGCGCATTGTGCCGCTCGTTGACCGTCTGGGACTGCACTGAGCCGTCCAGCTGAGGATAGGTCCACTCGATCGTAAAGTCGTTGCGGAGCACCTTGATACGCGAGTACACTGTCACGGCACGCACGAACGGCGCCATCTGGTAATACTTGAGGCGCAGCTGGCGTGTCAGGACCTCGCGACGGTATTCCATCTCCTTGTCGCCCCCGAGCCACGCCTGCGTTGCGTCCTCGAACTGCTCACACAGCGCACGGAACTCGCGCTGCAACTGGACACGCGTCTCAGTGTCTTTCTGCAGCGCATTCTCACCGGGCTCCGGCTCCGGGTACGACCAGTCCCAGTCGAGCGTGCCGCCCATCCCTTTGCGGAAGCGGGACCGAGGCACATACTCCTCGAGCTCCTGTGCCTTGCTGCTGAACCGGATCTTGGCCTGCACCTCGGGATCCATCAGCGGCTGCAGTGCCGACCAGATGCCCTTAAAGATCCACGGCGCACCGTGGATGTAGATTCGCTGGAGCGACTCGGGATAGTATGCCTCGAGGCACTTGAGGATGAACATAACACAGTTCCAGTCCATATTTTTCAGGCCGAAACCGGTCATATCAAACACAATCACGCACTTCTCGATGGGGGGCGTGCAGAGGAGACGCACATTCTCCATGGCCAGGACGACAAACTGCTGCAGCGTCTCGGGCTTCTGCGCACTCGTCAGGTGGCGCGCCACATGGATAAAGTAGATGGGAAATTCGTGCGCGTCTGTGTTGCCCTCGATGTACGAGATGCCGCGGCGAAATTGGTTCAGGAAGCCTGGCACATCCTTCAGGCCCTCCTCACCCTTGAACAGGATCGTTTCGGTTTGGATATCTAGGTGAAACTGGATCGAACCGACCAGCATCGCCACCGACCGGTCCACGTCAAACTTGCGCGCGCGCAGAAAGCGCAGGACGAATTGGTCCGGCGCATCCATCTTGACAGTATCCCAGAAACTCTGGCGCAGGTACCTGCCGCCGTACTTGGCCACCGCTTCATCCAATACTTTCATATCTTGCGACGTGGCATTCTCCTGGCTGCTCTCCTTTATGCTCTCCTTGCTGTTCTCTTTGCTGCTCGTATTTGCCGACCCCTCCTGGCCGGTCTGGGCGGCCTTGGGGCCGCCCATCCTTTCGAGCTCGTCGGAGCGCTCACAGTTCCGCTGAAAGATGTCCAGAAGCAGCTCCCACGCATCCTTAAATGCCTTCGCATGGTCTGGCGTCAGGTTGCCGCGATAGCCTTCGGGCACCTGCTTTTCCCCGTCGCTCACCATGCTAGGCAACGTGGACGCTCTATCGGCTTCCGAGTGTGGAGTGTGGGGCACATCGGCCGACAAAAATATGGGGCGCAACAGCGAATCGTTGGCATGGGAATCGTATCACTTTACAGGAGTGGCACTATGACCTCGTTCACGGCACCCTAGCCGTGCTTGCCTTGTTGGAAGACATTTTGTTACTACCTGAAAGGCAGTCACCCATCGCTAGCGCTAGGCCATTTTACTCATCGGCGTCCATGTCCATATCTGCCATCACGTCGCCGCCCGAATGGAGCCCATAGCCGTCTTCTCGAGTCGCCATATCCAGTTCGCTCGTTTCTTCATGATCTTCGGATACATCTTGTGCTTCGTGGTGTGAGTAGTGGGGACGCATGTGGGGAGAGCTGGCGAGAGGCTCCATTTTAGGGGCGCGCAGATGCATATCAGGGAGCGCCTGCGCCGGGGGCGCCGATGTGCCATATGGCATACGTGCCGAGTCGTGGGTCATAGACGAATGGCGTGACTTGTTCGCCATAAGTGTATCAAAGTTGACGTGCTCACAGCCCAGCAAGCCCGACGACGGCGGACTCACTGCTGCCGGCCACAGCGCCTTTTCTTCCGGCAGAGAACGCGCGCTCGAGTCCATGCCGACGAGGATGGCGGCCGCCTCCAGGAGCTGCACCTGCTGGTGCTTGCTCATCAGGAACTTGGATGCCTCCTTCCAGTACATGGTATGCTCCCAGCGGTGCTTGATCAGACAGCTGGGGTGGCGGTAGACCTTGGCGCAGCTCTCGCACTTGTGGATGATCGGGTGCTGGCCATGCGAGCCTGCTGAAGAATCCTTCATGTCCGCATCGTCGGTGGCTGTCGAAGATGGCGAGCCAGACGGATGCAGCATCGGGGGAATCGAGTCCTCGGAGCTGTTCCGGGCGTGGTTCTGACCCATACCAAACTCTCTCGCAGCGGCCTCCATAGACCCGGCCGATCCAGTCGGCATCGTATAGCTCATTGGCGCGTCTGGGCTCCTGCGCGTCTTCACGTCGGCCTCTGACGCCGCTCTCGTCGTCAGCGCCTCACCCGCCGCACCGAATGACGTCGAGAAGGCCTCGTTTCCTGAACGTGCATGCGGGCTCAGCTTGATGGGGCGGCCCTCGCCACTCCGACGGGGGTCATTCAACACGATACGACCCAAATCCGCCGAAGGGCTGGGCGTCATCATCGCGCCGCGCGGCCTACGCATGTCCATGGATGATCCATTGGGGGCATAGGTGCATGTCTGGAGTGTGAGTGGACCGTTAGCGCGACCTACCGCCGTGGCACCGCTGGGATGGGCGCGCAAAGAACTAGCTGAATAAGAACTCATGGGTAGGACAGAGCAGTCGCCTTCAGCTGAGCGATGCTCGAACAAGGCTCCTAGATATCAATCAATGGAGGTAGTGGGAGAGAAGACCAAATTGCAGCGCCGTATGTGAAGCGCTTGCAAAATTCACAACTGGGATGGCAAAAAGACCTTCTTGTTGAGCGGGTTGAATCTGGATTGAGGGCTTTCACGGAAAAAATTTCTTTGCCGCCACCTCACGATATCCGCAGACCTATCTTGTTGCGCTAAGACACTGGGGCTCAGCCAAAAACTGCATTTCTTTGCTAAGAATATTCTTATTTTTTCGACCGCAGCGCGTCGCGGGGCTTGCATTTTGTCATGTGATTGGTGCAACCGTCACAGCCTTCGAGACCTCCACACGTTCGAGTATACGGGCTGGCGGGTTATCCTGTGCGCCAACTCTGGGTTCCGCGCTCCCCCGCGGTCCGCGTGCGACTTTCTGACAGCCGTCGAAAGAGTGGCCATGACTCCATAGTCGAAAGACCTACACACACCAATCACACGCCTGGCTCACTGTCCGCACCAGTGCTTCGAGGGCGGCCACGTCCTCGTGGTCAAAGCCGTTCTGTGACTCGCAGTCAATGTCGAGGACGCCAATGATTACATCATCTCCATCACCGCGCCCACCCCAGGCGCGGACAAGGTCCTCAGGGCCGTCGCCCTTAAGAGCTGCCTGAGCTGCGTCAGAGAGCGAGGTGCGCGGCACGACGATCGGCACGACGATCTCCGACTGCGAGAGCGAGTCGCATGCAATGTGGCCCGCTAGCTTGTGTCAGTATCGCGCCACCCGTCTACGCACGGTATGCATCTGTGTGGGGCACACACACGGCCTTGGGCGGGAGCTGAGCGCTTCCGTCCGCACACACGCCCCGGCCTGGCACAGAAGCGATGACCTGGCAGGCCGGGAGCCCGCAGAACGGCCCCAGAAGGAGCGTGGGCTGCTTGGTCGGCGGTAGAGCGCCGGGGAACAGCGGCGAAAGCACGTAAAACCCGGCCCAGTTGACGTGCAAGTCCTTCCATGCGTGGAAGCGGTTCATCGAGTGGTACAGGACAGCACTCACGTTGGCCAGGTTCGTGACCCAGCTGCGCTGCCCATCGAGCAGGCCGGCCACTTGCATGCCGACATACTCGTAGAACTGCGACTTGGTTTGAATGTCCGATGGGATCGCCGCGGCGTCAGCGCTGCGTGTCAGCGTTGTCTACCAGCGCCACGTACTGCACCATGGTGTGGGCCGTCCGTACGCTGCGCACGGTCGTTCAGGAGGCCATCGTATCACGTGGAATGACGTTATTCGGAATGACGCGAGGGACGCAGGTGGAGGTACGAGAAGACGGCCGCAGGGCCCAGCAGCGGCCGTGCCGTCTGTTATGTGGGCCAGGTCGGTGGTGCGCCCTCTGCTGCGGGCGCCCCTGGCGCGCGTCTCTGTGCGCCCTCTTCGACGTTATGCTTCGAGTGGCCCCCCGACGTGGAACGATGCGATACCGCTACCGTGTGTGGACCAGCACGAGCTGCGGGAGCGGCGTGTGATGGCCGGCAGCGCACGGGCCGATGCGGCGGCCGACGAGGAGCTCGAGATGCTGGGGCCGGAGCCGTCGTATACCAAGGTGGTGTCAGGGTACCGAGTTTTTCGCCACAACCAGGATCTTCGCCTCGACTATGGCAATGTGCTCTCAGGCTTCCAGATTGCCTACGAGACGTGGGGCGAGCTGAATGCGGCGCGCGACAATGTGATTCTGCTGCATACTGGCCTGTCGGCGAGCTCGCATGCAGCAAGCACGCCGGAGAACACGGCCAAGGGCTGGTGGGAGGACTTTATTGGTCCGGGCAAGGCCCTTGACACGTCCAAGTTCTTTGTCATTTGCACCAACGTGCTGGGCTCATGCTATGGCAGCACAGGGCCGTCGAGTCCGCATCCCCGCGACCCGACGGGCGCACCATATGCGACGCGGTTCCCGATTCTGAGCATCTTTGACATGATCCGCGCGCAGTTCCTGCTGCTGGACCACCTGGGCATCGAGCGGCTGTACGCGAGCGTCGGTTCCAGCATGGGCGGTATGCAGAGCATCGCCGCGGCGCATCTCTTTCCTGAGCGCGTGGCACGCGTCGTGAGCATTAGCGGGTGTGCGCGCAGCTCGCCGTCTGGTATTGCGCTGCGATTCGCGCAGCGCAGTGTGCTCATGGCCGACGAAAACTGGAACCGAGGCTTCTACTATGGCGCGGATCGAGTACCGCCGCACAAGGGCATGAAGCTCGCTCGACAGATTGCCACGATCACCTATCGCTCGGGCCCCGAGTGGGAGCAGCGGTTTGGCCGCCAGCGGCGCCATCTGCTGCGGGACGGTGAGTCGCCGTCGCAGCGCGCGCCTGCGTTGTGCCCGGACTTTCTGGTGGAGACGTACCTGGACCACCAGGGCGAGCAGTTCTGCCTCAAGTACGATGCAAACTCGCTGATCTACATCTCCAAGTCGATGGACCTCTTTGACATGACCGATGATGCACTCGCTGAACTCGCCGAGACGCGGATGCAGGCGCATGGCGACGACGGGCACCTGCCGATTGAGACGGCGCACAACCGTCCCCGCCGGCCGTCGCGGCCGCACATCACGACGATCTCGCATCCTGGCGCGCATGCATATGTGCCATCGCTGATGCGGGGACTGAGCCGCCTGCATGCGGTACCTGTGCTCATCCTTGGCGTACAGAGCGACATTCTCTTCCCGGTCGAGCAGCAGCGCGAGATGGCCGAATGTCTGCGCATGAACGGCAACCCGAATGTGATGTACTATGAAATTGACGCACCGCACGGGCACGACAGCTTCCTGATCGATGTGGCGAACGTGGGCGGCGCGCTCAAAGGGTTCCTCAATTAAGCCTGCGCGAGCTTGGCACGCACGAAGTCGGCCAGCTCAGCGAGCGGCACCTCGGTGCCCTTGTTGTCGCCAGCTTCGTCCTTGCCGAGCTGCTCCTTGACACGCACGGTGCCCTGCGCCCACTCACCGGGGGCCAGCAGCACGGCGAGGGGGATCTGCTCCTTGTCGACGACGGCAAACTGCGCCTGCAGCTTGGGCTTTTTCTTGTACAGGAACTCGGCCTTGATGCCGGCGTCCCACAGCTGCTTGCACACCTGCATGCGCTCCAGCAGGAGGCCATCACCCATACTCATTACGTAGACATCCACCTCCTTTTGACGCACGGCCGTGCGCTCACCGCGCGCTTGCGCGTCGCGGATCCGCTGCATGAGGATGGAGAAGACGCGCTCGACACCAATGGACACGCCGACACACGGCACGGCGTCGGGGCGCTTCGAGCCGCTGAACATCCCGACGAGGTGGTCGTAGCGGCCGCCGGCAGCAATCGAGCCAACACCGACGGTGCTCTCGTCGACCTCGCCCTCGGCCAGCTTCTTCTTCGGCGCGCCCTCGACGGGCTTCGGCGGCGCTGAGGCAGCCGTCACTGCCTCGTAGATCACGCCCGTGTAGTAGTCGAGGCCACGTGCGAGGCTCAGGTCGAACGAGACGCGGTCGAGCACGCCGTATACCTCGAGGTACTGGAACAGGAGCTCCATGTCCTCGAGGCCTTCCACGGCACGCGCGTTCTGCGTGAGCGCCGCGTCTGCTTTGAGCTCGGCGAGAAGCTCGCGCCCGCCGCGGCGCTGCACGTAGGTGCCGATGCGGTCGGCCGCCGCCTCGTCGAGGCCCTTCTCTGCGACCATCTCGTGCTTCACGTCGGCCCACGGCGACTTGTCGAGCTTGTCGACAGCACTCGAGATAGTGCGAATCTTGTCTTCCGGCACACCGCAGATGGCAAAGATGGCGTCGAGCAGCTTGCGGTGGTTCAGTTTGATGGTAAAGCCCTCGATCTCCAGCGCATCGAGCGTCTCCACCAGCACACAGAGACACTCGGCATCGGGGACCATGGCGTCGTACGTGCCGGCAATGTCAAAATCGCACTGGTAGAACTCGCGGAAGCGGCCCTTGGTCATGGCCGGCTGGTCGCGGCGGTACACCTTGGCGATGTGGTAGCGCTTGATGTTGCCGTACTCGGTCGGGTTCATCGCGACGAAGCGCGCGAACGGCACTGTCAGGTCGTACCGCAGACTACACAGCTCGCCACCCTGGTCCTGCAGGTCATAGATGAGCTTGCTGTCCTCGCCGTACTTGCCCGCGAGGATCTCCTTCAGCTCAAACACGGGCGTGTCAATCGTCACGGCGCCGTGCGTCGTGAACACACGCTCGATCGTGGAGAACACGTGCTTGCGCAGCGCCATCGACAGCGGCTCCCAGTCGCGCGTGCCCTTGGGCGTTTTGAGGGTGATCTTCCCCTTCTTGCTCGCGAGGCTCAGCTCGCTCAGGCGCTGCCCCAGGTGCTGCAGCTCCCCCAGCGCCGGCGCCACTTGGTCGGCCGGCGCCTGCGATGCGTTCAGCGCGCGCACCCTGTCCAGCTGCGCCTCCAACTGCGCACGACACGCAGACACTGCCTCGGATTTGTGCGACATGCTTCTCACAGCTCGACTCACTCCACGTAGCAGGGGTCGAGAGGAGCCCAATGGCATACAACGAAGAACGGTCGCCGCGCCTGCCGCGTGGGCGCCGCTTACCTCAGCACCGCGCTCCTCGCCTATGGCCGCCATGGCGTCCAGCGCGTTCTACCGCGGGCGCGATGAGCCCCTCGGTGTGAAGGTGCAGCACCTGCCGCACAACCTGGCGCAGTATGTCGCGGCGCTGGAGCACCGCGTGCAGGCCGAGCGGGCACGCGCCGAGCGCACTCGCTCTGCGGCGCCGCGTGGGGACGAGGCGCGCGTGCGCGGCCTGCTCGCCGGTGTGCGCTTTGCGCAGCGCATGGCCGCGGAAATATCGACGCCAGCGCACCTTGTCGCGCGCATTAACGCGGTGCGTGATGCCGCCGAGGCTCTGGGATGGGCCGAGCGGCCTCTCCACGCCACGCTCTCCGACGCCGACACTTACTGGGACGACTACCTGTATGCAGGGCTCATGCCGCCAGCGCCCAGCCGCCACGAGCCGCCGCGAGCTGCCGCGCAGGCCCCCTCCAGCGAACCCGAAGCGCCGACCCTGCGGCAGCGGCGGCCGCCGGCCGACGACGCGCCTGCCGCCAAGGCGTCCGACGACGCCCGGCCTGCGACGCTCACGAGCGACCGATCCTTACAAGAATCGCTCTCTGCCGAGCTTCTGCGCATGGCCGGTGTGCTGCGGCAGAACTCGGCTGCGTTTGCCGATGCGCTGGAGCGTGACCGCCAGCTGGTGGAACAGGCCGGCACCGGCCTGGAGCAGAACTTGGATCTCATGACACGCACGCGCGGGCAGCTAGGCGTGTTCACGAGGAAGGCGCGGCGGATGGGCTGGTTCACGCTCGGGAGCATCGCTAGTGTCGTGGTGTGCTGGATGGTTCTATTTGTCGTCATCCGCCTCACCTAGCTACAGAGTCGCACGCGCGAGTCACGCCTGCGGCACGGCCGCAATGCACTCGAGCTCTACGAGCACGTCGCGGGGCAGGCGTGCTACCTCGACGGCCGAGCGCGCCGGCTTGTGGGGCGCGAATGCCTGGGTTAGTAGCTTATCGCACCTTTTCGTAGATAGCCTGGATAAGCACAAGTATACGTACGTTGACCTTGGCAAAGTCGTTCATGTCCTTCATGAACACAGTCGTCTTCAGGATGCGACTCTTGTCCGAGCCCGCAGCCGTGACGACATTCAGCAGGTTCTGGATGGCACGCTCCGCCTGCGCCTCGATACCGCCCTCGACGCACTGCATGGTCTGCGGATCGAACGGGATGCACCCCGACACGTAGGCCGTGCCGTTGTACACGACCGCCTGCGAGTACGGGCCAATAGCGCTAGGTGCGTTGGGTGTCGAGATCGTCTGGTATGCCCTGGAGGTGTTAATCCGTGCTCCGTACGCCGCAGGCACACACCGCATCGCGGTGCGCCCCGCTTGAGTCACCCACATGATGAAGGCCGGCGGGCGTTCGAGCGGCCCGAGCGGCGGGGGCACCGCGTGGCACGTGAGTGGCGGCGGAAGCGCCGTGCGGCACCCGAGCGGCCGCCACGAAGATCGGGCTCTTCCGCCACTCCTCTCGCGCGGCGTTTGGACACGACCGGACGCTTGCGCCCGCTGTGCGACTTCGCGTTGAATTCGCCGCCCTATTTCATTGAGTCTCCGGTGCTGTCGGGCGTCCCGCCGTCAATGTCTGGGGACGTCAGCAGGGGGCTCCATCTCTCCGGGTCCCGGTCGCAGCGCGACCGCGTTGGCGATGCAGGCGCCGGCATGGTGACTGCAGCGTCGAGCGAGGCTCCCTCGGAGTCCGGTTCCCTGTATACCAGCGCCGGAAGCAGCCCTGCGGGCGGCAGTGCGGCTCCCTATATGACCCCTGTCCGCGGCGCGATGCGCAGTAGCACGGACGGCTCGCCGGACGTGGGCGAACTGTCGTCGTCAGGGCTACGCCTTGCGATGCGGCATGCTCGCTCCATGTTCCCTGGGTTCCGCCGCACCATGCCGGATGACGAGCATGAGTCGGGCGCTGCTGATGACCAAAGCAAGCCTGGCTGGCGCCGTCCCGACGGGGCGCGCTCGATCGGGGACTCCATGTCGCGACGCGTATCGTCACAGGGCTCCGATACGGTGTCCGACACTCCCGACATCCTGCTCACCCGCAACGACAGCAATGCTTCGCGCAATTCGCGCGCGTCGAGCGGCGCCTCGACTGGCCCGCCCTCCCGCAAGAGTTCCCTACAGCGCTCTATGCACGCATCCCCCTTGCAAGAGATACCCGAGCCCACGTTCAAGCCGGTGGCAGAGCCGCCGCCGCCTCCGCCGCCGCCGCCTCCCGAGCTCCCGAACGACAAGCGTGCACTCTTCTTGCGAGCACGCACCAAGAGCATTGACCACATGCACCGTCTCCTGCATCTGCGGCAGTTTACGAAAGAGAGTAAGGGCAAGATGAAGAAGAAGAAGCAGGAGGGCGACACGCTCGCTGTGCGGGCCGCGGAAGCAGGGCCTATCGAGGCACCGCCCTTGTCGCCCTCTGTACCTACGACGCCGCCGACCACTTCAGCCGGTGCCACTCCGCTGGGCCCACTTCCGGACGTGGGATCGACGTCGGTCCCTCCTGCAAGTGGCCGAGATGCCGGCTCACAACCTGTGCCGCCTCCTCTGGTCATTCCCGTCACAGTCCCCGCACCTGCTGCGCTAGAGACGAGCGCGCCGCTGCCGCCGCTGCCGCCGCCCTCGCCGCCAAGCACCGAGCCTGCGACGCCGCACGGGAACGACCACGATACGGACACCGGAATGCGTCCCACGCCGCCGTTACCGCCGCGGCGGCCGCCGCCGACCGACGACAGTCCCGCCAAGCCTCTATCCATGCGATCGATGGCCTCAGGCGACACGCACACGTCGCTGGCATCACTGGCGACGGCCACAGATACCGTCGATGGCAGCTTCGCGACGCCGGAACGTGCGCCGCCGCGTTCGCACAGTGAGAGCACTGGGCTCGCGAGGTCCCCCGACGACGCATCGCTCTCGCACACGCAAGTGGGCGAGGAGAGCATTGGGGCTCTGGCGCTCCTGCCTGACGACGAGACGCAAGTGGCACCAATGCTTTCCATCGAGCAGGACGAGACGCGGACCCCATCGCCCGACACGCATGCGCCGCGGACTGACGAGCTGCGCGCCGGTTCGCCGTCGTGGGACGCCTGGTCCACTGACCCGCTGCCGCCCGCCCCATCGAGCCAGAGTGGGGCGCAGGGTCTCCTGGAGAATCTGGGGCTAGACGATCTGGACCTGGGCAGTGCGCCCGCTAGTGCGTCGTCGCTCTATTCCGAGGTGTCGGTGGAGCGAATCGAAGCCACCTTGCCGGAGGTGCCGCAGTTGACGCCTACCCCCCCTGAGGTGCGTGGTATCGCTACGGCGCCGAGCCCTGAGCCGCTTTTCATTCGTACGACACCAGCGCATGCCGCGCCGTCGAGCGAGAGTGAGCCTGACAGCTCAGCGAGTGCGGCGCCGCCGTGGGTGCAGCGCCTCAAGAGCCGGGGGTCAACAGCCGCACCTGAGCCGGGTCTCAGCGCGAATGGTGGCGCATATACAGCGCTGGAGGCCGGTGCGCCGCGGCTTCCCTCATCGCCTGCGCCCCTGGCATCTGACGACGAACCACTATCGAGCCGGCCGTCCGAAGACGATATGACGCGTATGCGGCCGCTGCTCCGAACGTCCAAGTCGTCGAGCCTGCTCACGGCCATGTCGCAGCAGGCGCAGCGGATCCGGCGGAATGCACGGGACGTGGGACCATCGTATGACGACGACGGTGCGGACGACGACGATACCAGTGCCGTACGGGGCAAAGGGCGCCAATCGTCGCGGCGATCTGAAAGCAACGAGGCATCGTCGCTCACGTCGCCGTTGAGTGCGGTCGACTTGCCGACCCTACAGAGGGAGGCACCCAAGAGCGAGGGGTCTGCGAGCATGTACCGGACGCGACGGAACAAGAGCCAGCCGACGCTGCGTATTGCGGATGACCTCGAGTTTTTACATGCGTTGGAGCAGGTGCGGCTGCAGCACAAGGAGCGCATTGCTCTGCGGCAGCGAGCACGCTCCGCCCGCAAGGCAAGCATGCCGAACTTGCGCTCGCCGCCGTCGTCGCGACGACCGCCGCTGCCGATGACGCGCGTCGCGAGCGACCGTGGCGCGCGCGAGGCGAGGGTGTCGGACCAGCCACAGGCGCTGGCACTGGCCGACCGTGGGGACGATCCGGTCGCTCCGACGCAGGCCCCAGAGACGCCAGATGTGCGCTCTTTGACGCCCGATGTCTCAACGAGCTTCCTGGAGCTCGAGAGTATGGATTCAGACGACTTGGAGGTGTCGGACGAGTCGGCGACTGCGGATGCAGCATCGTCGCATGCGTCCTCGGAGGAGTCTGAAGTCATTTCGAATGAGCTAGGCATCGGGCACACGACCGGCAACTTTCCAAGTGCGCCGTTCACGAACGATGACGATTGGAAGAAGGAGGTCAAGGCGCTGTTTCTTATCCGCGAGCTGGTGCAGACGGAGCGCAGCTACGCCGCCCACCTCGAGAGTTTGCTAATTGTGGTACTCAAGTGGACAGGCACGACGTCATCGACGCGTCTGCCGACGAATGTGCTCATGCCAACGCAGCCGTCGAGCTCGTCGCAGCCGCTGCGCATGCCGACACCGACGCCGACGACGCCGCCGCATCTCGTCACGCTGCGCCAGATGCTCCCGAAGCTCATTTCGGTCAGTCGCGCGCTCGTCTACAGCATCGAAGAGAGCCCTACGAGCGAGGGCGTCGCACGCTCGTTTCTTTCCATGCTGGACCGCTTTGAGGACGTGCATGTGGGCTGGCACGGCGTTGTAGGCGCGACGCTGCGCATGCTGCGCGCGGCTGAGTCGTCAAAGAGCAAGGCCAAAGGCCGTCTCGGTCGTGTGCCGGTTGCACCGCCTACGACAGACCCCCCGCGGCGCCCATCGCGCGCCGACACATCGTCAGGCGATCTCGCCGAGTCGGACCGGCGGGACAAGTCGCGCTCGGAGCCGAAGGAGCTGAGTGCGGTCGACGTGGCCATTATGCCAACGCAGCGGATTCCGCGCTACGTGCTATTGCTACGGGACCTCCTCTCATATACAAGCGCCGATACGGAGGCGTACGCCACGCTCGAAGCTGCGCTGCGTGCTGTGCAGGAGCTCGGGCACCGCTGCGACCTGGCGTCGGGCTCGACGTAGTGCCGTAGCATGTGACATCATCACGTGACATAGACCGTCGCTTCGCGGCTCGGCTCGGCCTCCCGTCGTCCTGCTGTGCTTCACGATGGCGGTACGCAGCGCTGCGCGCGGACACTGACACGACAGTCCGGTTTCGGAATCAAAGGAGGTCGGTCTCCCGCTACTCACATCCAGGCCCGTCGCGCTGCTTTGCGTTCTGGCAGGACTTTCGCAAGTGCTACCTGACGGCCGACGAGCCGTCCGAGTGCTCGCTGCAGAAGGAGGACTACCTGGAGTGTCTGCACCACACGAAGGAGGTACGTGCAGCATCACTCACATGTAGCTGGAGCGCGCGCATATGATCCAGCGCCGCATGATCGAGGTCCAGCATGAAGAGTCGAAGCGGGCACGCGAGACAGTCCGTCAAGACCAGTCGCAGGGTCTTCGCCTCGGCCTCATCGACCCGAACGCAGAGTCGCCCGCAGAGCCCGAGGCGCCCAAGGCCTAGACACCAGGCCCAGCGCAATCTTGTAGCCCCCCATATAGGGCATCCCTGGATCCCCGCCCGACGCTGCCCTTAGGCCGCACGCCGCCGGGCCCGGCGCGCTCTTGGCCCTCCACCGCATGAACGCCGCCGCGGCCGGCGCTGGTGCGCTTACCGCGCTCACTGCGACGGCGGCCTATGGTCTCGCGGAGCAGCACGAGGCCAGTGAGGCAACGTGGCTTGTGCAGCCGCCGCCGCCACGGCCGCCGCCGCCGCAGCGCGCCCGGCATGTGCGGCTGCCGTCCGCGCATGAACCCAACGCGCGCCACGCCGTGCAGGTCGTCCGCGTGTACTGGCCAACGACTGCTACGTGTCCAGGCACACTCTTCGGCTGGCTCATCAACCCTGGCGGCCCTGAGGTAGTGATTGTCGTGGCGGGTACTACCACCGCGTCGTCTCCGACCCTGGCGTATGCGGCACAGGTCCTTGGCACCGCGACCCTCGAGGGCGCGCCGCCACTGCTCGGCACCGACGCTGTGTTGCATGTGAGCATGCACACGGAGCCACCGTCGATACTCGTGCTCGACGAGGCGTGGGCCGCGTGTCCCTTCTCGGTCGTATCCTATACCCCCCCGGATGTGCAGCGCGGCCAGTGGCTCTGTACGCACGAGACGCGCGCGCCTCGTGCTATGCCATGGACGCGGCTGGAGCACCTGCTTGCCATGGACCCTATGCGTCGCAACGAGTTCCTTGCGCCGCGAGCGCCTGGCGCGCCGTTCCGCGACGCACTGTTTCGCATGAATCTGGCACGCTATGCGTCGGCCTCGCCGCTGCCACTGCGCTGGCGTGCCGCACAGCACACACTCTTGCAATGGCGCGCACATGTGCCGCCGATACCTGAGCGTGTGCGCCGCATTGCTGCGGTATCGGCACTGTGGCGTGCGGCCTCACAGCGTGCTGCGCAGCTGGTCGCCTGGCCCGACCTATGGGCTGCACAGCATGCCGTGCACGATGCCCTGTGCAACGAGCAGCAGCCGCCTGTGCGCCCCATGCACAGTGCTCTGCGTGCATGCTGGGCTGGCACGCTAGTGTGCATGCTGGATGTGGCCCTCGGAATGGTTGTGGCTCGCGCCATGACGCAGGCCATGGCACCGCTCACAGTGGCCGCGACACGGGCATTGACCTGGGTCGATGGCGCCACGTTCGTGCGCCTCTTTGACTGGCTGGCACACTGGCCACTTGGCATCAAGCTGAACAACGAGCTCTCGCTCTTCTTGAGCGATGTGCTCGGCTGGATTGCGCAGACATACTCGCACTATGTGTTGGTGCCTGCCGTCCCCTTTATACCCCACATGCTCGCAGTTCTTGCACTCGGTACGCGCTGGCTCGGCGTGACGTGCCTGTGTGGCGCGATCGCTGATCTACTCGTGCTCGCTACGGTGCACATGCGGCTCATGTATCTGGGTTTGCGCGGCGTCTATGCGTTCTTTGGTCGCGCAGCCAGCGAGCTCTTCGACGTGTTTCGCAGCCGCAAGCGCAATCCCCTGCATGGTGGCCGTGTCGATAAGGCGGAGCACGATGTGGACCAGCTCTTTCTCGGCACGATTCTATTCACCGTCCTGGTCTTTTTGTTTCCGACCGTGTTTATGTATTATCTGGCATGTGCTGTGCCGTTTCTCCTTGTCCGGGGCGTCTGTGCATGTCTTGATGCTGCACGCGAGATGGTAGCGGCGGAGCCACTAGCGCTGAAGCTACGCCACTGCTGGGATGCGGAATGGGTCCCTAGTGGCATCGCCATCGTGCAGCGTCGTGGATGGCCACATCTCCAGCCGCAGGCACCAGAGAAAGAGGCCGATTGGGCGCCGTGGCGTGGCGTGGGTCAGCTGCCTCGTGCGATGCTGGCTCAACTGCTTCACTATTAACATTGACACGACGACGACTTGGTGTCCTCGGCCGGCTGAGCCGACACGTCGATAGCTGCGTAAGCCGAGAGCACGTACTGTGATGGGTAGCGCCGCCGGCGCCCTCATTCTGTGCATCATCCATGCCGGGCAGGGCCTGCGCAATCTTCTTAAAGAGGGGCATCACGTTCTGGCCCGCCTTGGCCGACGTCTCCATGAACATGACGTCGTTGTACTCCTTCGCGCGCGCCTCGCCCTCCTCGGTGCTGACCTCACTGCGTGTAAGTAGTGCACACGTACCGCTTATCGCTCAGGTCTGTCTTGTTGCCGACGAGCGCGATGATCACGTCGTTGCCTCGCTCGGCGCGCACGTCTTCCACCCACTTTGACGTCGACTGGAACGACTCGCGGTTCGTGACGTCGTACACAACAATTGCCACGGACGAATCACGGATGTAGGAAGGAATCAGGGAGCGGAAGCGCTCCTGACCGGCCGTGTCCCACAGCTGCAGACGCACCGTGCGGTCGTCGAGGTACATGGTCTTGGACAAAAAGTCAATGCCGATGGTCGCCTGGTAGTTGCCATCGAACGTATCATACATAAACCGCGTGATCAGAGATGTCTTACCGACAGACTGCTCTCCCAGGAAGACAAGCTTGAACTTGCGCATAGAGCTGCTGTAGTCACCGCCTCCGCTGGGACTGGCCATGTTGGTGGAAGACGAAGAGGCGGGGGTCCCCGATGCATTTGTTAAAACATGTCATGGGCCCTTGTTGGCCAAAGAACAGTTGCCTGATCGGGCGCGCTCAGACCCTCCCACTCTCCTCTATGGCCGTCCGAAGCTTTGTGGCAAGCCGTCCCGGCCGCCCTGCGCGGCGCTCGCGCACAACTTCGTCGAAAGGATACTTGCGTGAGCGCAAATCACGTATTGACCGCATTGTGGATTTGGTGCATGCCGTTACCTTTGCTGTCTGGCAGGCCTTGGTCGTTACGCCCACGGCCTATGTCTGCGCTGTGTTCTATGCCCTGTTTCTCTCACGCACATCTCACCGCGTAATTCTGCGCCTCTTTCTCCTCCTGCTCATACAGGGTGCCTGCATTTTTCTGGCGATCTTCGCGTTCTTTAGCTTTTATCATGCGTGGGTACCCGAAGTCGCTCTCGCCAAGGATGTATGGTTCAATAATACACAGGTACAAAATGCTTTCAGCGGCATATTTGAAGCTAGCGCATCTGTGCCTCTTCATCCCGGGCACGCAGACTTACCAGTGTGGCGCCAGGAGCCGGACGTCGACTTGTTCCTGGTTGATCAGCCGTACGACGTGTCGCTCGAGCTGCGTGTCGCCGTTGGCGAAGAGAGTAATTGGCTGGGCAACTTTATGATCGATATCGAGCTCCTGAGCCACAACGGCACAAGCTTATACGAATCATCACGCCCAGCCCTCGTGGTGAAAGAGCCATGGATGCTACGCTGGGGCTCGCGTCTGTACCGTGCCATCTCTCAGCCCGTATTCAGCGAGCCGATCGCCCCACTTCAGGTGGTGCGTGTCCCCCTCCTGCGCGAGATCGTACCATACGCAAGTGCTACCGGGCGCTGGAGTGATCCCAAGTTTGTGCGGACCCGGGGCTACAAGGCCACGCGTGCCCAAGTCCAGCTCCGTTGTCCAAGCAACGGCTTGCTTTTGGAGCATGCCACGCTCCGCTTCAATGCGTACCTGACGGGTCTCCCGTACGTATATGGCACTGACCCCAGCTACCTCATGTTCCACTATCCTCTCTTTTCGTTTTTCGTATTTTTGCTGCTCTTTAGCGGCATTGAGTTCCTCGTGGCGGGCAGCCTTTGGCTGCTCGCTCTGGTGTACTACTCGTGGCAATCTCCATAGACCGTGCGAGTACGATGACTAAGCTTTTACCTCGACCGTGACGATGAGCTCCGAGGAGCAGGACGGCGCGTCCTCGCTCACAGCTGAGCTGGATGCCGCCTTCCGTCTGGCTGCCGAGGCAGGGAAGGGAAATGATGCAGGTTCGCGCGCCATGGGCGTATTGGGCCAAGTTGCGCACGCGGCAGATGCCCTTGGCATCATCAGCGTGAACGACCGCCTCCATGAGATCAGCACGCCGTCTCTGCGAATCTTGCTTATCCCCAGCATCCAGGCCTACCTCGAGAATAATTCAGTAATACCAGAGGGCGAAGATCGTATGCGTGCACGCAAAAGCCATGTGCAAGCGTCGATGGGCGCTGCACGTCTCTTTTTCTCCCTGATGCGTCGCTATGAGGCACTTCCGCCCGTAGTGCGCGCATGTCTGCTACCCTACATGCAGCGCGAAGGCGCTGAGCCGGTTGTGCGCAATCCATCAGAGAGGCGCATGATCAAAATCCAATCGTTCAAGCTTGAGCGCGCCGTGCAGCAGCAGCTCGACGCGTTCCGTAAGGCCTACCGGGCCCAGGCACGCGCGCCTACGACTGGCCCCTCGGACGTCTTCTTCGACTTGCTTGTCGTCCCCGGCTCCGAGGAAGTTGACGAAGATACCGACGACATGGGACACACAGATGGCGAGCTGCCACCGGTGCGCACGCTACGAGCCTACCTACAAGGGATGTGTGTGCTGCATGCGCTGCGCTGCGCAAGCCTGCTCGAATCTGCGGAGCAAGAACTAGAACTGCTTGAGCATGTACCACCGCCCAAGCCCATGACCGATACCAGCCATGCCGCGGACGACGCATGGCGCCTGGACTCACACTGGTTTTCCAAGACGTCAGGTCCCTTGCTGAGCGAGACGGGAAAGCCGCTGCGTCCGTTTGTCATTACACCTGCGGCAGATAAGCGCGCGCAGATGCAGGCAGCCGTGTTCCGTCCATCGCACCGCCTTCCGACAATGAGCATTGATGAATACCTCGCTGAAGAGGAGAGACGAGGCAATATCGTGTCACGCAGCCATCCCGACGAGCCGACCCCGCGGGAGCAGCGTACAGCGGCAGCCGAGATGGACGGAACGCGCGAGGCCGAGGAGGCTGAGGAAGAAGCTCGGCAAGAGGCCATCCATTGGGATGCCTACAAAGAACAGCACCGCCGTGGGGAGGGCAATACGATGAATCGTGGCTAGTCTATGTGGCAGCCGCATCCAGCATAGGTGGTCGCAAGCTGGGCGCACGCCATTCGTCATCGTCCAGAGAGAGGAGCGTCATGTATAGCTCTGAGAGCTCCGCCTGGAACGGTGCGTAGGGCGCCTTTTCGCCATCGATGCTAATGTACCTGTGCCGTGCAGACCTGTTGTGGGGCGTGATGCGCAGGGCCTGGATTTTCATGTAGTGCATACCCGGGTCGTGAATGTGGCTGCCCTTTTCGCCCCGAGTCGTGGCCGCGAGCTTTTTGCAAAAAGACACACGCTGGTCTTGCACCACCACGTCAATGAATCCATCCTGAGGGTGTGCGTAGGGGAAGGCCATAAGCGTACGAGCGACATACGGCACTTTTCCAGTGTACACAAACGACAGGGGCATCGGGAGCCGCATCCACTCGTTGCGCGAGAGTGCCGAGTCGGGCATGGATGGGTCGTATGGCGTCGTGGCGAGTGAGATCGGATCGAGCACCGAGCCGCAGCGCAGTGCGTGAGGCATCGAAGGTACGGGGCGCTCCGTTTCCTTGGAGCGAGAGGCTGCATCGGATCCTTTGCGCATCTCATCGAGCGACACAGTACCGCGTTCTCCAAAGAAGACATCCACATCAGCATGGCAAGGCCTGTTGCGGATAGCATACAACAGGTAGCCCAGGACGAAGCGCACGTCGCCCATGAACCGCCAAGACTCCGTGCCGATATCGAGGTCGGCCATAATGCCGATCGTCTGCGACATGAACGAGTAGTACTGAGCGTATTCGCGGCCATCGGCTGTCTGACCACGCAGCGTGTACGGCCACGCGTCGGTGTTTAGGTCGTGCGCATCTTGTGTGATGGTCATAAGCTCATGCACATGGGGCACGCCTTTGATCACGTTGAGGCACGCCAAATAGTACATAAACCCATTCTCGGCGCCGTGCAGGCTGACGTAGAGGCCGTTGCCGCTACCGCATGGAATCGGTGCCAGAGGCAGCTTGATAGCCTGTGCAACGTCGCTGCGGCTTGCAAGGCCATTGATGACCTCGTGTAGAGTGCCATCGCCACCCACACACGCCAGGACATCATAGTCAGATAAGGTCAGGGTCTGGCATTCGCGGTACGCGTGCGCAGGCTCGTTAGTCTCGATGACAGTCATGGCGCACCCAGCGCACCGAAGAACAGGCTTCACAACGATATCCAGCATGCTTTTTCCGTGGCCCTGGCCGCTCTGCGGATTGCAAAGAACAAGCACACGGCGGTGAGGTGTCGTGCGTGGGTAGGCAGCTTTGAACAGCGCATCCACAAAGGCCGGGGAGTCTGATGCAGTTACCTCTAGCGTGATCGAATAGAGACGTAGGGACTGGATGATCTTTTGCTTGTGCCTTCTGGACCACTGCTCGTGCGAGATGATGTGCTGGTATGACAGGCGCCGGGGCGGCGGCGCCAACATCGACACAGTTAGGGCGCTGCCGTGCATGACGGCATCGAGGACAAGCTCGGCAGGGATCTTTACCCACAGCTGATCTTTGAGGCGCGCACAAAATTCTGACCCATCGATCGTCAGCACGACTGGCTTGCCGCGATGTGTGCCGTGTAGCGCCATCGCGCCGGCTTCGACGCTAGCCATGGCTCAGTGTGGAGTTCGCTATACAAGGCTATAGCTCGTCGTGGGCGGCCGATTCGGCCGATGGCGTCTGGGACGCGAAGACCGAGCTAGAGGCGCGTTCGGCTGCCTGGCCGATCTTCTCGTTGACGAAGGCCGCAAGCACGTTGCTCTTGCGCGTGATCTCGTCGACCTTCTCAGCCGCCAGTGTCGAGACACCATCGGCATGCTTCCTGAGCAGCTTGGCGAGGCGCTTACTCTCGCGCTGCACATAGTCCGGGCCGTCGCGCGAGGCACGGTCCATGACGCGAGTGTAGTAGTTGGCGGCCGCAAGCTTCGCAGGAGCCACAACGTTGGCACGCATATCCTCCACGTACTTCTTCGTCTCGTCGAGGAGCAGGGCCCGGGCCGAGTCGCCAGCTTTGTAGAAGCGCGAGGCAAGACCGTCCAAGGCGGGCAGACGGCCCGCCAGGGCGGTGAGCGTGCCGTCCGAGTTGCGGAACGTGCCGCACTTTTCGTTCATGAACGCGACAAAGTCCTCGAGCGTACGCTCCTTGAGGTAGGGGCGCGGCCACTTGTCGTCCGACCCGGCAGGGAAAAAGCTGAGTGTCGGGTACGACGACACCTGGAAGCGCTTCTTGATGCTCTCGTTCGCCGGGTCGTTGACGTCGATGCGCGCCACGACACACTCAGGATCACGCTCAAACACCTGCGCAACCTGCTCATAGAGCGGCGCGAGGCGCTTGCAGAAGCCGCACCACGGCGCGTAGAACTCGACGAGCACGTCCAGCTTCGGATCCATGACGACCTCGTCGAATGTCTCGGCAGTCAGCTCGACGACTTGCGGCTCTGAAGGCGGCTCAATGTTGCCCTGAATTCTGCTTTTCTCAGTCACAAAGGCTGCAAGTGCCTCGGCCGTGCGTTCGTTTTCGTAGTCAATGCCAATCTCCGAGTACGGGGGGAAGTACTTGATCGTCGGGAAGCCTTGCAGGTTGATACGGTTCGCCAGGTCGCGGTTCTTGTCACCATCTACCTTGGCAATAATCACCTTGTCCTTCTTGCCTGCAAAGGCATCCGCGAGCTTCTCGTACTCTGGCGCGAGGCGCTTGCAGTGACCGCACCACGGTGCGAAGAACTCCACCAGCACGCCGGTCGACTTGCCGACGACGCTGTCGAAGTCTTTGGTCTCAGTCAGATCCAGCACATTCGATGCATGGACAACTGCCAGCAGCAGCACCAGTACAACACTAAACAGCCACGCTCCCCGCATGCTGATGGTCGTCGGTTCGGGACAGCCATGACGGCCTTCGGCCGATGACGTGGATGGCAGCAAATCGGGCCCGATGCGAACGGACCATCTCCCATGCTGCCATTCGTGCCGCGCAGCGTCGCGGGCACGAAGCGCAGTCACCCACGCGGTGCGCCGGTGCCGGTGCCGCACGTCGAATGGCGTGCATCTTCGCCTGAAGATGTGCGACCGATGGCGGCGCGCTTGCTCAATGAGCTGTCGCCGTGGTGGATGGACCGTCTTGATACCCCCTTGGCCCACGCGCTGCAAGCACGGCTCGGCGAGCCTGTACACTTAGCTCAGATTGCTAATGATGCGCACATGCAAGCTATTGGCTGTGCATCGCTTGCGGACCTCTGTGCTGCGGTGCCCTGGCTGTTCGCGCTGCGCTGGCTGCAGCCTGGGCCTGACACGATGCAGGCGATTTGGACGCAGGCAGGGCCCTATGCCGTCCTGTTTCTGGTACGTCGACCGCGCTTACGCAGGAACATGTAGTATCCCAGGCAGCTGATGCTCTTCAGGTGGCTTTGGTCGTACAGTCACTCGCGCGAGCGGTCAATGATCGTCTTGACCCCGTGATCTATGCGGTAATTCCGCCTTATGCGGACGAGGAGCCTCGCAGGCCGCCGGCCGTGGTCAGGACACGCGATGCACTTGTCGTTGTGGATCCGGCGACAGCTGAGACGCTGCTCGCTCATTTTCCATGGGATCGTGCAGGCTTTGAATGGCCCGCCCGGCAATGGGCGAGTCTCGGCGCAGATGAATCGGTGCGATGCATTTCGAAGGCCCGCTACGACGCGTTGCGCCGCGAATATGTGGCATGGCACAAGGAGCTTGTCGCACAGAACACAGGGGCTGCCAAGGCAGCGGCAGCCGAGGCCCGCGAAGCAGGCCAAGCGAAAAATTCTGCCTATCCACAGCACACGATCGTGTGCCTGGTGCGGGGCCCTGACGAGACGGCGCCCCAGATCAAGGCACGTCTCGCGGGTCTGGGTGCCAAGGCCGTCGACTATGTGGACGTGACACGATACAAACCAACGGCCTATGTAAGGTGTGCTACAGCCAAGGCAGCGCAGGCGCTCGCCGAGGCGCTGGGCACTGGCGCCTATGTGCTGCGCGGTACTGAGCAGGCCGACTATTGGCGGGCTGTGCCGCTGCGTGTGCAGAACTCGGCCCGCCGGCGGAGTGAGCAGAGTCAATGCACGTAGGATGCGGAACCTAGAACAGGCCCGTGGCCCGTGCGAGAGGCACCTCGTCGGCCGGCTCGGTCGTGAGCTTTTCGCCATTGGCGTGTACGATAAACGTTTCAGGATCGACGTGAACCTTTGGCAAGGCGTCATTCCAGCGCATATCCGACTTCTTCAGCGAGCGGCAGCCCTTAATAGCGACAACGTGCTTATCGAGGCCGTATGTGGCCACTTTAGGCAGGCTCGCCTGGCTAACAAACGCCATGCTGCACTGGGCCGCGCTCTTGGGCTGATAGGGAAACAAGCGCCGCAGGTACATAGGCTCCACGGTCGGAATGCTGGCATTCGAGTCGCCAATGTTGGCCAGCACAATCTGTCCGCACTTGAGCACCATGTCGGGACGCACGGCAAAGTGCTCTGGCTGGTAGATGATCAGGTCGGCCGCCTTGCCCACCTCGATCGAGCCGATCTTGTGCGCGATACCGTGCGAGATAGCGGGGTTGATCGTGTACTTGGACACGTAGCGCTTGATGCGCAAGTTGTCGTTCGTGATCGAGTCGGTCTCCCCCTCTATGCGTAGCGGACCGCGCTCGTTCTTCATCTTGTTGGCTGTGCGCCAGGTCCGTGAGATGACCTCGCCGATGCGACCCATCGCGAGCGAGTCAGAGCTCATCATGCTGATGGCACCAAGGTCGTGCAGCACATCTTCTGCTGCAATGGTCTCTGCACGGATGCGCGAGTCAGCAAACGCCACATCTTCGGCAATGTTCTTGCTCAGATGGTGACACACCATGAGCATATCAAGGTGCTCGTCCACCGTATTCCGCGCGTAAGGGCGCGTCGGGTTCGTGGACGAGGGCAGTACATTCGACTCGCCACACACGCGGATGATATCAGGCGCGTGGCCGCCACCGGCGCCTTCAGAGTGGTACGTGTGGATCGTGCGGCCCCGGAACGATTCAATGGTGCCCTCCACAAAGCACGTCTCATTCAGCGAGTCAGTGTGGATCGTGCACTGCACGTCGTACTCGTCGCACACACGCAGACAGCAGTCAATTACATCGCGCGTCGCGCCCCAGTCCTCATGTACCTTGAGACCGCCGCAGCCAGCCTCGATCTGATCACGCAGCGGCTGCTCGCCGGAGTCATTACCCTTACCGGTAAACAGGACGTTGACCGGCATCGTGTCAGTGGCTAAGAGCATCTGGCGCACATGCCACGGGCCTGGCGTGCACGTAGTCGCGCGCGTTCCGTGCGCGGGTCCCGTGCCACCGCCGATGAGCGTCGTGATGCCGCTCGCAAGGCCCTCCTCAACCATATCCGGCGTGAGGAAATGCACGTGCGAGTCGAGGCCGCCGGCCGTAAGGATCATGTGCTCGCCGGCGATGGCCTCGGTGCAAGACCCAACGACCATGTTGGGCGTCACGTACGCCATCGTGTCGGGGTTGCCCGCCTTGCCAATGCCGACAATGTGGCCGTTTTTGATGCCGATGTCAGCCTTGACAATGCCCGTCGAGTCGAGGATGAGCGCATTTGTCACGACAGTATCAAGCACCGTGTCGGCAGGTCGGCCTGAACACTGGCCCATGCCATCGCGCAGGACCTTACCGCCGCCAAACGTGCACTCGTCGCCATACACCGTGTAGTCCTTCTCGACGACCGCCCACAGGTCCGTATCGCCAAGACGGACGCGGTCGCCCGTGGTCGGGCCATACAGCGAGTTGTAGGCGAGTCGAGAGAGCTTGAAGGGCTCAGGGCCATCTTCTGGAACGCCGGTATCGCCGCGTTCGATACGCGCCTTGTATGTGGTACCCATCTCGACAAGCGTGACACGCTTCGAGTCGCCTGGCTCGAAGCGCAGCGCAGTGCCCGCGGCGACATCCAGTTTGTAGCCACGCGCTGCCTCGCGGTCGAATAGTAGGGCAGGGTTCACCTTCATGAGCGGGAAGTGTGAGCCGACCTGGATAGGCCGATCACCCGAGTTGACCATATCGAGCTGGATGCGGCGGTACTCGGGAAAGAGCACAATTGGCGGTGCTTCAGCCACGACTGTAGTGCCGGGTACTGGGCCTTCCGGCGCCATCACTTCCGGGAACAAGTCCGGCGACGTAGGCACCGGCAGGCCCGAGCCATACAATGCGAGTTCGAGATTGCCGCGTGGCGAGCACACGGGATCGTCGACGGCGATCAGGAATGTGCCATCGCGGAAGGTAGCCTCAACCATGACCTCTTTGGTCAGCTGCGCTACACCAGGAAGCACATGGCAGTAGCCCAAAATGGTCTTGCCGAGCTGCATCATGTGCGACACACTAATGTTGCCATCGCGCGCCTTCTCAAGCAATACAGTGCAAAGTAGGGCCACGGTCTCGGTCTGGTTAAGGCGCTGGCCTCGTGCCAAGCGACTCTGCGCTAGGAGGCCAGCCTGACGCACATACAATTTATCACGCTCGCGGGGTAGCAAATGCATGGAGATAGGATCGGGCAAGCGGTGGACGTGCGCGAGATACTCCACGTGACTTGACCCGTCACCATGCTCATCAAGGTCAAGACACTGACGGGCAAAGGTACGTGCGCGGCGTGTGCTTACGCTAGAAATTGAGCTGGATGTTGAGGCGTCCGACAAGGTAGGTGGGGATTGCTTATCGTGAGATCCTGCGCATCAAGGAGCGCGTAGAGGAGAAGGAGGGGATTCCGCCCGCGCAGCAGCGCCTGATCTTTGGCGGCAAGCAGATGTATGTGCGACCCGCTGACCGCAGGGCCGACGACAAGACAGTCAAGGACTTTGGCATTGAGGGCGGCACGGTTCTGCACGTACGTTGGACGACTCACACGTAGCTGGTTCTCTCACTCCGAGGCGGGTCGGCGTTCGCATAGCTCGTACCTATATAGAGACCACAACGTCTTGCGCGCCGACGTGCCTAGCCGCCGACTGAGACGGACCGCCGCGGATCGAGGCCTTGCACCGGCCTGAGGACCCTCCTGGCCTCCACATCCACCATGGCCGACGAAACGACGGGCCCTGTGCCCCCCGCGCGCCGCGCGTCGGCGCGCGTCGCACGCAAGCGTAGCACGGACACGGGTGAAGAAGCAAAGGCTCCCAAGCAGGCGCGCACGGATCCGCCTTCGGAGGAGCCCGAAGCGAGCGAGAGCCGCAGCTCGGGCCCCCTCCAGGTCGGTGATGCGCTGCCGTCGCTTGAGCTGGTTGATCAGTCGGAGGAGCGTGTGCAAATCGCCGACCTAAAGAAGGTAGTGATTTTCACGTACCCGAGGGTATGTATACAATGCTCACGCAGGCAAATACGCCTGGCTGCACGCGGCAGGCGCAGTGCTTCCGCGATGCATACGACGACTGGAAGCAGGCCGGGTACGAAGTGTATGGCCTCTCGAGCGACTCGCCCAAGTCGCAGACGACGTGGTCGAAGAAGCTGTCGCTGCCGTACCGCCTGCTGTGCGACCCGAAGCGCGAGCTGATCGGCGCATTGACAGGCACCAAGTCGAGCACCAAGCGCAGGTACGTTCACTCACTGACCCAGCCACTTTGTCGTGGGTGAGGACGGCAAGCTGTCGCTTTCGTCCATTGGCGTCAAGCCGGGCGAGGTATGTACAGCCTACTCACGCGCAGAGCTCGAGTGCGGCGCTCGCGTCGGTGGCGACGTAGGCCACCCGAGCCCCGCGGCGATTTTCTGGGCGAGCGCCCGCTTCATAAACTGATCGCGCGAGAGAATACGTGCGTGCTGTGTAAGAAGGGGTGCGTACCTTGAGGAAGCGGTCCAGTGGGAGTTGGTCTGCGTACAGCGCACGGCCCAGCTGATAGAGTGTGTCTTCCAGTGCCAGATCCTCGGCCATGAGCTGCAGCAGTCTGGTGAGTCGCTCGGACGTACTGGTTCTCGGCGATGCTCGTAGGGCAAAGCATATGATCGACATCCGGATCGGCGCGCGCCTGCAGCTCGGCCGTCTGCTGCTGCGCCTGTTGTATCGTAGCATCGAGGCGCTCCGCATCGACCATGCACAAGTCACGCACGACACGCAGCCGCTGCATTTCGTCATCCATCGCTGGGCGCCCGCGCTCCAGATCACCGCATAGACGCTCTAAATGCTCCATGGCTTGGTTTACGGCGTCCTGAGTTTCTGCCACACTCCGTGAGAGTTTGGCGTGCACACGCGCTTGGAGCTCGGCGATGCCTGGATTTACTGGCCGCGGTGGCGTGGGAGTTGGCGCGGCGCGCTCCTCCGCGGCAGCAGGCGGCGCAGGCTTGGGCGGCCGCTCCGGCGCCGCGGGCGGTGGGGAGGGCGCAGCGGGCGGCCCTGCCGCAGAGCTCGCCTTGGGCGGGCGCGCAGGCGGCGCTCCATCGGCAGCGCTTGTGCCGGGCGCTGGTGATGCACGCGCTGGATTCTCGCGGTGCTTGGCCATGACGGGCGGCTCCAAATGAAACACGGTCTGGCACTCGCGCAGCAACTCGGTGAGAGAGGTGCCCTGGCGTCAGTCGGACCGCGTACCTCGGGCTTGCGCTCCCATGCATCCATATACGGCAGCCGAACGCGCCCATCGGGCCCGACGCAGGAGCCGCGGCATACCACCATGTTCTGTGTCGGGGCCACATACACGATGGGCGGCTCGGCAGGGTATGCGCGGGGGATCCACACATGCACGGGTATCTGGTACACTTGACCTCGGAAAGGCACAGGGAGCGTGCCGTCGAGGAGCAGGAGCAGGACGCAGCGCCCGTCATCGTACGCTGAGTCAGTGAGCGCCACGTACTGAACATGTCGGTGCGCGGCCGCAGGGTATGGTACTCGGTGAGCACATGCTCCATATCGCGCATGATGCGCGCGCGCTCCGCATACTGCATCAGAATGAGCGGCGTACCGGTGCGAGTACCTGGTCGAGCCAGCGGTGCACGACGTCGTTCATGCCCGGCGGATGGAGCGGCGATGTGGAGGGCCTCTATAGAAAGGCACTACGTTGGGGCGCGACGCATTTTCTTGCGCCGCAGCGCATCGACAAGCAGGGCCATTTGCCCCCGCACGATGCCTTTTTTCTGGCCGCGATGATTGATGAGCACCTTCGTCTTGCCAGGCGCACTGTCCTTGTCAAAGACGACGACGGTACCAGCGCGCCCCGCGCGGGCCGAGCGCCCAGCGCGGTGCAGGAGCTCGAGCGCGTTGTTGTTCGCGGCGTGCACGGAGCGCGTCGTGTGGCGCCCGGCATCCGGCAAAAATACATGGCGCACAAAGGGACCGAAGTCAAGGCCGCGCGAGAGCAACGACGTCGTTAGCAGGACGCGTGGAGCGTCCGCAGGCGGCTCGACCCCCGCGCGGTAGGACGCAGGACGGGCTAGGAACGGATCGAGCTCCTTGCTCGTGCGCGTGCGCCGGTCATCCGCCTCGCCCGTCAGCGCGACATGGTCCACTTGGCGAGCCGACAGGTACTGGCTCAGCTGCTCCACATCGCGGCGCTTGTCGCGGAAAATGAGGATCTGGTCCTTCTCGCACCCCGGCGCCGTAAACACGCGGAAGAGCTCCTTGAGCACCGCCAGCTCTTTGTTGCCGCCGGGGTCGACAAACAAGGCCTTGAGGCGCGCTGGCAGGTGGTGCAGGTGTGGCGACGCCAGGACGTGCAGGTCGGCGTGCCGCCCCTCGAGAAAGGCGCGCATAGACTGGGGAATGGTAGCCGTAACAAATACTTGCTGCGCGGACGGCGGCACGCTGTCCATAAGGCGCTGCGTGGATGCGCGGAAGCCATGGTCGAGCAATGTGTCCGCCTCGTCCACGATGAGCGCCTGCACATTGTCCCAGCCAAGGAGGCGCTCGGCATACTCGTTCAGGAACGACGGCGTAGACACCAGCACATCAGGCGAGATGGGCGCACTAGGCATGTCCGACGACGCCTCAGCGCGGGCGCGCAGCTGGGCGAGATCGTCGTGCAGATGCGAGGCGTACGCTGGCTTGGACGAGCAGGCGACGCGCAGCTTGTGCGATGCGTCATGGCTGAGTGCCTTGGCAACGTCGGCAATTTGCCGTGCAAGCTCATGCGTCGGCGCAAGCACGAGCGCGCGCGGTAGGATGCGGGGCGCCTGACCCGCTCTTACACGCGCCACATCCGCGTGCTCCGTCGCTGTGCGCGTCGCGTGCAGAGACTGGAGAACAGGCAGCAGGTATGCCAGGGTCTTGCCGCTCCCAGTCTCTGCGGCAATGATCGTATGCTTAGAGGGCGTGCCATGGAAAAAGTACGCGAGGCTGTGGGCCTGCGGCGTTGTGGGCCTAGCCTCCTCGCCAAGGAGCGCGTGTACGCGACGCACAAGGGCGGGAGAGAGCGGCGGAGCAGTAAACACGCGCTCTTTGTCCATCGGTGCCGTAGGCGAATCAAACTCGAGGCGCGGAAGCTCGCCTGGGCGCGCGAGGGGCGCCTGGCGGCGACTCGTTGCCGAGGGTGCCGAGCTTGGCGCGCCAGGCGCCCGCGCCTTGGACGTATTCATGGCCGCGAGCTTATGCTTCGAAGGCACACGCACGCCACGCGCGGGCACGTAGGCAGCCGGCACCACGACAGCGCGGCGGGGCACCACGCGCCAGGCGGGCGCCACTCGCAGCATGAGGGACGAAAAAGCACCTCCACACATGCTACATCGCTGGACAACGCCGGCCGTGCTGGTGTTTGTCTGGCTAGTGTGTGTGGGATCTGTGTGGTATTCGTGGTATCCCCAGCAACTGAGCATGACGACTGCTGTAGATGACGCTAGTGACGTGCGAGCATTTCGCACGTCTCGTGCGCCTGTCGAGTTGGCAGCCTACCTGCGCTGGGCCAAGGACCATGCCATGGCTCGCAGGGCAGAGTATGAGACAGGGAGCACGGGGATGCAGCCGCTCACCCTGATTATGGGAAACGAGGCGGGCGATTTGGACTCGGCCGCGTCGGCGATCGCTCTGTCATACGTGATGAATCATGAACAGGCACACTTTATGCATACCTATGGCGTGCCGCAGGGCGTGTATGTTCCGGTGATCCAGACGCCGCGGCGCGCACTGAGCCAGCGGAAAGAGAACCTGCATGTGTACGAGTACGTACAGGCGCCAGTGGCGTCGCTCCTGTGTGTCGACGAGCTGGGCGACTTGGCGTCGCCCGCATGGGGTCCGGGCGCGAATGTATCGTTGGGCTTGGTCGATCACCCCCAGCTGCTTGCCGCATGGGGCACCGACCGGCGCATTGTCGTCGTAGTTGATCACCACGAGGACGAGGGGCTGTACAGGGATGCACCGCTGCGCATAATTCGTGCGCCGTCGACGTCGCCCGTCGGCTCCGCAGCAAGCCTGGTGGCAGCGCTTGCTCAGGGGGCGCGCCGGGGCGCGCCGCTAGAGAGCCGCCTGGCTGATCTTCTACTCAGTGCGATTGTGCTGGATACTAGGAATGTATGTGCAGACGACTAACGATCAGCTCAAGATGCAGGAAGACGGTGGTAAAGGCACACGCGCCGATGCTGAGGCGTTTGCGTACCTTGCTCAGAGCACGACCATCGGCCGCGATGAGTCGGGGACCGCGGCGGACGCAACCTTGCTGCGCCCCACGCGCACGGCTGCGTGGAGTCGCGAGCTGCAGCGCATCAAGAGCGACGTCTCGCACCTCGATACCCATGGGCTGCTGGAGCGCGACCTGAAGGAGGTGCGTGTGCTGGCTGGGCAGCGTTCCCTGCACGTCGGACTCGCGTCCGTGCCCATATCGCTCTCGGCGTGGCTTAGCAGTGCGTACCGAGCGCCGACGCCCATGGGCGAGGTGGCTGCAGCATCGCAAGAGCAGGAGTGGGCGCGGTGGTGGGCCTCGTTGAGCGCGTTCATGGAGGAGCGGCGCCTGGACATGGCCGTCGTGCTCAGCTCGTACAAGACCGAGACCAAGAGCCGCCGTGACTTGGCACTGGCACTGCGTGGCAGTGCGTCGGAGCTTGCGAGCGTGAAGCAGGCATTGGAGAGCACAGATCTTGGACTCAAGACATGGAAGGGCGAGCGGCGTACGGAGAACGGCAAGGAGCGGGTCGCGGGCGTCGACGCGGAGGGGCGCGTGCGATCCGTGCCGGGCCTCGCGGGCGTCGTGTGGCGGCAGGGCAATACGGGGGCGAACCGCAAGGTTGTGCAGCCTGTGCTGCTGCGCGCGCTACAGCGTGCGCTATAGCCAGGTAGGACGGTGTTCGGGATCCAAGTGCACGCGTGCGAGGTCGAACATTTCGATGAATTCCTCGTCGGCGATCTTGTCGCCGGCGAAGCGGGCGTATTCCTCGAGGATGCTAATGTGGCTCCACCCCTGTAGGCGGCGCACACAGCCCATAATGCAGCCGACGCGGTATTTGCCTTTGTTGCAGTGCACGAGCATCGGCAGGTTGCGCTCGTCGAGCATGTGCGACAGGGCCAGAGCGACCTCCGCCTCGTCCATCTCGGCGAACGGCTCCTTGTTCACGTCGACGCGGTGGTGGAAGACCTGTATGCCCTGCCGACGGGCCCACTCGGTCATGTTCGCGCGATAGTCTTCGTTGGCAATGTACATGATGCTCCGGAGGTTGAGGCGCTGCAGGAACGCAAAGTTGCGCTCGTTCGGGTGCCCGCTGCGGTACACGCCGGGGGCGACCATATCGAAATTGAGCGGCGGCACCACCACATCCTTCGTCGCGGTCCGTGCGAGCATGCGCAGCGCCGTCGCGCCGTCGCCGGCGGCGCTCACGTCCATAGCGCCACGCGGTAGCGGAGCCGGGCGGACGTGCGAGTTCTCATCACGTGCCGACCCGTCGCGCCGCGGGCGCGGCGCTTGAACGCCGCCCGCCATGGCGCAGCGACCTGGCATGAGCACGTCGCGCACGGGCGAAGCGGGGCCGCAACGGCACACGCCCTTGCCTGGCATCAGTTCGACAGCATCGGCACTGCGTACACGCCGAGCAGAGACGCGTGGCCCGACCTATACGGCGGACCCGCTCGACGACTTTGAGGTGGAGACGCCCGGCGATGCGGCGCTGAACGAGCTGCCGTCCGGGATCATCATGCCAGGCGTCAAGGGGTCGCGCGCACCTCAGAGGCAGCCGCCGACCAAGAGCGGCACGGATGGCGGCGCGCCGCCGAACCGGCCCAAGCCTTTGGTCGCGCCGCTCGGCGCGCTGCGTCCCCTGCGGAATGCGCCGCCACGGCTGCCGGCGGGCGCCGGGCCAAGCCGCCCGTCGCTGCAGCTGAAGGGCACGCCTGCGCGTGTCCCGCGCTACTCGCTGCCTGTGCGCGCGGAAAAGCCGGTGCGCACGTCCAAGGTGAGCGGGCGCCATGTGCTGCTGCCGAGCGAGAGTCAGCTGGCCCCCCTGCCGGCGCCTGAGGAGCGCGGCGCAGCGGAGGATGCGGCTACGGCGCTCATGAAGCGACGTGCAGAGCAGCGCAGTGATCCGGTGTACCATACGTTTGAGCATATGACGCCGCAGGTGCGTGTCCAGACGCCGCTGCCGCGGCTCACATCCTATGCGATTTCTGCGGCACTGCACCTGCCGACCCTGCTAGCGTTCCTGCGGCGTGAACACGGCGTGCGCCCCCGCCTGTACGAGGGGTGTGCGTATGTACTGTACTTCAAGCCGCTCCTGCCTGGCTTTGGGCGCGCGACGGTGCGCAGCTCCAAGGAGCCGCAGACGGGCAGCCCTGGTGCGTCGAGCCGGCATGAGCGCGAGCTACAGCGTCACGAAGAGAGTGGCTACGTGGGCAACTACTTTGTGCCGCAGGAAGAGGAGGATATCGATACGGACGGCTACATTCCGAACGAGCTGCGTGAGGGCGACGTGGACCCGCGGCATGCCTCGCCCGCAGCGATGCCTGCGACGGAGCCGCAGGATGCGGACAGCGCTGGCGCGCATGACATGCTGCATGCAGAGCAGGACGAGCGCCGCGTGTCGGACACGCCGGTACCGGTCGTGCACATAAACGAGGCGTCGCACACGCACGAGTGTGAGGTGAATGAGCATGCACCGAGTGTGATCCGCGATGCGCTAAACATGGCCGAGCTCGTCGTGCTGCCGTACGGCGTGGTGGTCATGTTCAACTTCACGCAGGACGAAGAGGAGTCTCTGTTGGAGGACCTGATCACCTCCGGCTCGGCGCGCAATCCCCACAAGGTGTACGACCGTGAGCTCTTCCAGTTCTGCTACGACCCGCATGTGCCTGCGCCGCGGATCAACAATGACTTTTTCACGTTCCGCGCGCCGAACCACTTGCTGAAGCTGTCGCTCGCGCACGCGATTGCGCAGAGCACCAAGCTGTCCGAATTTGAAGAGAACATGCACAAGACGCTCGAAATGGCCTCACACATGCCACGGGAGCTCGCACAGACCGGCGAGTTGCACGTGAGTCGGCGTGGCGCGCTCAAAATGTCCGGCCACCTGTTCAAGCTGCGTGTGGATGTGAACCTGACGAGCGATGTGCTCGACACGCCGGACCTGTTCTGGAACGAGGCCAGCCTGCAGGCGCTGTACGATGCGATCCGGGAATACCTTGAGATGGATGATCGCATACAGACGCTGAACGAGCGCCTGACGATCGCCAACGAGCTCCTGGAGATTATCCACGAGCATCTCAGCAACGCGGCGATGAGCAAGATCACGTGGATCATCATTGTGCTCATCGTCGTGGCGTGCTTCGTGGCGGTCGGCGAAATTTCGGCGCGCCTGCTTGTGCAGGCACATAGAGGCGAGGGGCGATAGCTACGGAGTGTACACGTCGGAGGGTGCACAGCGTGCGGAAAACTGTGTGAGCAAGCGCACGTACCTCGTCGAGGGCACCACCGGCTGCAAGCGTCGCCGCCTGTGTGAGTGCAGGCACGTACCACTTCGAGAACGCCAGAGCGTGCGGCGCGCAGCTCGCCCTGAACGCGCCCCTCGCGCAGCGCGAGAACTAGCGCGCTTCCGTCACCTTTGGCGCACCGCTCATCAGCGATGACGGCAACGTGCCGTGATAGGTCGGGGCCCCACTGTGCCGAGGCCTCCGCGGCCGCCTGCGGTGTGGGCGGCCCGGGGCACACACGTAACAGGTCCCATAGCGGCGACGCATCGAGCGCGCTTTCTCCGCCGACAATCTCTGCCAGGTAGTCTGAGCGCCGCACGTCGTGGAGAAATGTGTCTACATCCAAGTCCGCATGCACAAAGAGCGCCACAGCGCCCGACACCTGTGCCATGGCCCGGGAACAAGCCAGGCGGCGCTCGCACGCGCCATATATCACGTGATGATAGCGCGACGTGTCGGAACGACGGCGAAGCACGTCCTCCGTGCGCCATGTCCCCCGAGCAGGGAGCGGCGCCCGACGCGCGTGCGCCGGAGCCTGCGGGGCAGGCTTCTGAGGACACGAGGGACTCGAGCTTCTCGCTCGCAGGCTTGCACAGTACGTACGCGCTGCTGACGTGCAGCCATTTCAGCCATGCTGAATCATCCGTGGCGCAAGCCGCTGCCGATCCATGCGGGCTCGTCCAAGTTTCCGGACGTGGGCCCCGCGGGACATGTGGCGTCTGCGCCTCCCGCTGCTGATCGGACCGTGCTGGAGCGGTACGTGGCGCAGCACAGCGCCGACTGGGACAAGCTGGACCGCGAGCGGTCCATGGCGCGAAACCGACAGGCGCCTGCTGAGCCTGGCTCGAACCGCTTGCCGCCGCTGAGCACGGTGCCACAGGTCTTTTTCAGTGGCGACTTTGATCTGGGCAACCCGTACATCTTTGACCTCGTTACGGAGCGGTACAAGCAGACGACTGCGCTCGGTGCCGAGTCTGACCCGGATACGCTGCAATACGGTGTGGTGCTGAATCAGATGCTCCAGGAGAAGCTGAGCTACTACTTGGACGTGATTGAGCAGCACCTGGTCGTGGAGATCGGCGCAAAGAGCGCGTCGTTCTTTGATGCGCTCTCGACACTGCAGCAGCTGCGCGTCGACGCTCACGACTGTCTCACGCACATGGATGGCGTCAGTGCGCAGCTCGATGCGGTCGAGGCGCATGTGCAGGACGGCCTGGACTTGGCGCAGCTGCAGGAGGAGCGCCGCGCGCTCGAGGCGCAGCATGACTTGCTCCTCAAGGTACAGCGGCTGCTGGACCGCCGCCACCTCGTCGCGCTCAGTGTACAGCATGGCGAGTACGACAGCGCGATGACGACCATGGAAGATATCCGGCAGGCACTGCAAACTGACTCCGAATTCCAGGGCGTCGCGTCGCTGCGCGCTCTGCTGCCCGAACTCGACGAGGAGCAGGCGAAAATGGCGCGCGAGCTACAGCATGTGCTGGCCGAGCTGATGGACGCTGTGGCAGTCCCCCGCGCGGCGCTTCAGGCTGTCGATGTGAGTGTGTGTGTCCCGCCCATGCCACTCGACGAGGTGCTTAGCACAAGTGTCGCGCCGCTAGCCGAGCCTGCGAGTGCCTGGGAGCCCGTGTGGGACCTCTTGCAGCGCTGCAGTGGTCTGGACGCCGCGCTGGACGCATATGCAGAGCGCATCGGCCAGCTGGTGCTAGATGGCGTGGCAGAGCGGCTCGGTGCGTATGCGCCTGCGAGTTGGGCCGTGCCAAGCGCGACGAACGAGCAGCGGACAGCGCCTGCATGGGACGACTATGTGCCCGGCCTCGCGGCGCTGCTCTATGTGCTGTGGCGCGTCGCACAGCATATTCAGCACGTGCACACAATGTGGACGGCGCGCGCGTCGCACGCCCAAGCGCAGCGCCTTGCGCATGCGACACGATCTATGTGGGCCGCGATCGAGCGGAGCATCGTGCATGTGATGACGCCTCGGCACGCCCAGCTTTCGAGTATGCCGTGGGATACGTTTGTGGTGTACCATGCGCTTGTGTGGCGCTTTGTGCACCTGGCCGAGTCCGAGGCGGGACGGCCGGGCGTGGCGCTGCGCAGCTGCGTCTTGACGCAGGCCAAGGCGTACCTGGGCACACAGCACCGGCAGCGCATTGAGCGCGCGATGCGTGCGGTCGAGGACGAGGTGTGGGCGCCTGCGCCCGTGTCGCCCGAGCTGCAGGCGACGATGCAGCGCCTGCAGGACGCGGCCCATGGCGAGGTGGCCGTCTATCTCGTGGAGCTGGCACTGGGCGGCGCATCGCCGGCCGTCCCTGCAGCGCAGGGCGAGGCGGTGCGCCAGCTCACGCTCGACAACACGCCGTTCTTTGTGGTCAAGGCGGCTGGCACCGTGCTGAGTCTCCTGGACGACTATGTGCGCCTGGTGGTCAATCTGCCGCTGTTTGCCGCCGAGACGCTGGGCTGGGTCGTGGAACTGCTAAAGCAGTTCAATTCGCGCACATGCCAAGTCGTGCTGGGGGCGGGGGCTATGCGCTCGGCCGGCCTGAAAAACATTACGGCGCGGCACCTGGCGCTCGCAGCACAGACGCTCTCGCTCATGATGGCGCTACTGCTGTCTTTGCGTGCGCTGATGAAGCGGCACCTCACGACCTCGCAGGTGGTGCTGTTGGGCGACTTTGACAAGCTGCAGCGCGACTTTCGCGAGCACCAGTTCGAGATCCATGCGAAGCTGGTGGCCATTATGGGCGACCGGGTGCATGTGCACTGCAGGGCGATGGCACAGGTCGATCTTGGCGCGGGTTCCGGACCCAGCTCGCCTATCGCCGACCTTGTGCGTGAGACAGGGACGCTGTATCGCGTCATGAGCCAGTACCTGGAGCCGAGTGTCGTGGAGGCCTCCGTTGCGCAGGTCGCGCGCGATATTGATACGCGCATGGCCGTGGCTGTATCGGCCGTGGATGTGCGCAGCACCGAGGCACACAAGCGCCTGCTCGGCGATTTGGAGTTCCTGGGCGAGAAAATGAAGGTGATGTACCCCGCATGGCAGGGCGAACAGCTGCAGCAGGCAGCGAAAGGCAAGACGCCCAAGCCTCAGCTTGAGATGCGACGTCCTACGGGCGAGCCACTGGGGTACCGACCGCGCCGCAGCCTGGGCAAGCGGCCACCGTCGACGCAGTCGCCGCAGCTTGAGTCGATGGAGGCGTTCCAGCAGCCGGCTGCCAAGGAGCCAGAGGTGCCGCCCGTGCCGGCCAAGAACGAGGGGCACACGGCTCCTGCAGAGAAGGCTGAGGCAGCCAAGGCTGAGTCGTCAAAAGCTGAAGATGGCAAAGCCGAGCCGCCAAAGGCTGAAGAAGCCAAGGCCGAGCCGCCAAAGGCTGAAGAAGCCAAGGCCGAGCCGCCAAAGGCTGAAGAAGCCAAGGCCGAGCCGCCAAAGGCTGAAGATGCCAAGGTCGAGCCGCCAAAGGCTGAAGAAGTCAAGGACGAAGAAGCCAAGGACGAGTCTGCCGGGCATGCAGCGACGGAGATCCAGGCTGAACCGAAGGCAACTCCCACAGTCGCTCCCGCTGCCCCGGCAGAGGCGACAGGAGCCACAGCGAGACTGTCTCTCGAGACCTCTTTAGTGTCTACGCCGAATACGCGTCCTGAAACGCGTGCGGTGACCGATGCCCCGGCTGCGTCACCTGTGTCGCCCACCAAAGAAGGACGACGGCCGCGTGTATCTCTGGAGCAGCGTCTCGCCGAGGCCGCCAAGCGTCGCGGCATGCAGCGGTCGTCGCCGGTCCCGAGTCCGGGGCCGCCGAGTCCTGAGAAGCCCACGGCGCGGAAACTGTCGCTGGCTGAGCGCCTCGCCGGCGCTGCGAAAACAGAGGCACGCGCATCGGAGCCAGCGCGTGGTGAGCAGGCAGCGCAAGACCGAGACCGGCCGGCTCGGCCATCCCACGAGCCAGTGCCAGCCGAGTCGTTGGTGGGTCCGTCTCTCTCGGAGGACGGCCAGGCGGCGTCTGTGCCTGAAGAGGCTAACGTGGCTCAGCCTGAGGCTCCCAAGACAGAGCTGGGCCCTAACGAGGCCATAACAACCGAGACAGTGGCTGAGACGGCAGATGCCGCACCTGCGAAAGCCGAGCCGATGCCTGAGACGCACGAGACGGTGGCCGGTAAGACGGAGGGGGAGGCTGACAGGTCCATGCCCGTGCGCGAGGGCAACGCGCCCATTGCCACGTCGACTGAGGCGCCCCGTCATGACGCTGCAGAGCTGGTTGCTCGCGATCAAGCGCAAGCTCCAGCTACGGAGACAAGTAACACGGAGACAAAAGCGCCTGCTGCATCCGAGACGAATTCCAACGAGCAAGAGAGCGCCTCACAAGGTCCGGCGGTAACAGCGGCGTCTATGGATACCAAGGAGACAGGCGCAGACTAGCGGAGCCCGCCGAGCCGAGTAGCACCGTACATATACATCAATCGTCTATGCGAGCTGTAGCAGGGTTTGGCTTGCCGCGGCGCTTGCCGCGGCGCGGCGTGCTGCGCCGCTCGGAACGCTGGGAGGCCTGCTGCTGCTGCACGCGGCGACTTTCCTCTTCGAACCAGCGCTCAAAGGCCTCGGCCTCGGAGCGTTCGCGCTCTTCGCGCTCGCGGACATGCTCTTCCTCGTGAAGGATCTGAGCAAAGCTTTTGGGCTGGTGCTGCTGAGCGAGCTCAAGCGAGAGGTCACGCTCCTGCTGGGCCTGTATCTGCGCAAAAGACAGGGGCGGCGGTGTCGATGCCGCGCCGAGTGACGGCGATGATACGGGCGACATGCCCCATGCCTCTGCGCGCCCTTTGCCCTTGGCAGACCATGCGGGCTTGTCCACCGTAGGCACGGACGGGCGCTGCGTCTGCTGCTGCCTCTTGCGCTCTTTCTGCGAGACCTTGGGGGCCACGGGCATGTGGAAGACAGATTGTGCCTGCGGCGTGACGCGAGGCAGAGCAGGCGCGGGCGTCGGCGGCGAGGTGCCCCAGCGCGGCACAGCACTCTCACTAACGGCTAGCCGCGGGATATCAGGGGGCGATACGATGGGGGGCGTCGGTGCGGGTGGGATGGGACCACTGCGCCGCGGGCGCTGCGGAGGGCGGGACCCCACGGTCTGCCAGGCAGGCGCGGGCGGCACTTTGGGCGGGGCAGGCGCCACGTCGTCCATCGCAAACAAGAGGCTGTCTTCGTCAGGTGGCGCGGGACTCGCCGAGGGCGGCGGAAGCTCGACCGGCACGACCTTGGGCGACTTGAGACGCTTGGGCACTTTGAGACAGGCCATTTGGAGCGATGGCTTGGGCAGGTCCAGCTCGGCCACGTAGTCCTGGTGTTTGAGCGTGAGGGCGAAGAGGCGATCGCGTGCGAGGCTGCGGCGCATGTACGCATCCTGGACATTCTGGATGTGGGCAGTGAGTCGCATACGCTCAGGCGCCGCGAGCGTCGCAAGACACCCGCGCTCGAGGAGCATCTCGAGGTGGCGTGTCGCATAATCCATGCACGCCTTAGTGAATGGCGGTGCATTTAGACACAATGCATCGGTAAGCAGCGCAGCGAGATTCGTTGGATGGACGCGAGGTGCCAGGAAAGTAAGGCTGATCAGCTGCAGCCGCGTGAGCAAGAGCTCGTCGGCGAGTTGCAGCACGTCCAGGATAAAGTCGATGAACTGATCGGGCGACTTGTCCTCATCGGTGTGCTGGAAGAGCGCCACGTCAGCATCCGTGTACAGGTACATGAGACCCACACGCACGACAGGCCAAGTCCAATGGTGCATGTCCACTTCGACAGGGCCCGACGCCCCCCGCGCGTGGTGCCAATCGAGCACGCTTTGCAGCATCGGTGAGCGGCGCAGGAAGAGCGAGTGGCATGCCACATCCATATCCGCGAGGTGCAGCACCACGTCTGCGTCAGGCAGCTGCGAGAGTGGTGCGTGTGCAGCCACCTTCGCAAAGAGCGCAGCGAACTGAGTGTGCAGCGTCGGCATCGGCGACGATGCTAGGCCGCGCTCGAGGTATGCGTGTAGTGCATCAAGGTGCCACGACGTCGTACATGCGAGCAGCTCGGCGCGTACAGGCGCCGGAGATATGCCGCACTCGCGGCTCAGCGGGGCAATGGCATGGCTTATACTCGCACTCCATACGGGGGGTACGTCGTCAGTGTAGAGATAGAGTACGAGGAACAGCGCCGAGAGCAACGACAGTGTGTCGTATCGCACGATCCACACGCCCTTGTCGCACGAAACGCTCGTGTCGTTCGCCGAGCCACCGTGCCAGAGCGCCTGCGCTAGATGCGGCACACGCACGGCGACGAGGAGGCGGTGCACGGGCACGGCGAACATGCCGTGTTCCACAAGGAGGAGCGCATCGCAGCCAGCCCGACGGTCCGTATCGCTGAGGGTAAGCGCCGCAAAATCGTTAGGAGAGCTGACGCGCTGCAGGATCGCACGCGCCTGCGCTCCGGCCCGACGCAGGCGCGACGAGGAGAGTGACTCACTGTCCGAGTCCGAGTCCGAGTCGGGCGAGGGAGGACTGTGATCGAAGGTGTCATCGATGCTGGGTGGATTTGCCAGGGCAGGTGCGAGCTGCCGGAGCTCGTCTTCCAAGGCAGGGCTATGCACGGGCATCGGTGCGAGATGCGATGGCGCTTGCAGAGCCGCATAGCTGCCTGTCTCGTTGGCCGTGACACGCACGATGCGCTGCAGGTATGGGACCGCCTGGAACTTGGCGCGCGCCTTGGATTTCATGTCGATGCGTCGCTCACGCACATAGACGTGCCCGTCCGCGGTGCATAGAATCAGAGAGCCTTCCGAGCCGATGGCCACATCGCGCACCGCTGAGAACTTGCGGCGCACACTCCATACGAGCTGGGGCCGTGGCGGTACGACTTTGGCGCCCGTGGTGCTGGGATGCTCTAGCGTGAAGGTAAACAGGTCGCCCAGCTCGGAGAGCGCCGCGAACATGGTTCCAGAGCATGTGAGTTTGCGGATCGTGGGCTTAGGATGCGTCTGGCGCGGGCGGAACAAGCTGGGATCCACATTGCTCTGCGGCGATGGGAACGTGACGCGGAAATGCGCGTCGCCATGCAGCACGACAACGTCCGAGCTCTCAAGGAGGCAGGCCGTCGCAAAGTCGCTCGCTACGACCTGCCGAATCGGGGCCGTGATAAGCGTCACGCGCCGCGGCTGCACCTGCACGGGGGCGGCGTGGCGGTCGTAGCCAAGCTGCCCATTGTTAGTGCCCCAAGTATAGAGGGCATCGGCGGTGAATACGGCCGTGTGTAAGCGGCTGGCCGCGGCGCCGAGCACACACTCCTTCTTAAGGGGGCCCAGCACGCGGCGTGGCGTAACTTGGACGTCGAGCTCGGCACCATGGAGCCCGATCGATGCGCCGGCGCCAGTGGGCACGTGCGAACGGTGCGTGCCCGACGAGGAGGCGACCGTGCCGAGACCCTCCTCGACGACGTAGCCGAGTGGCGCCATGCGATTTAGGCCCAGGGTATACACGGCGCCACTCGTGGTTACGAGGACAGTGTGGTCCGGTGCGGCAATGACACACTGCGCAGACTCATTCCAGTCCTGAAGACGCTCGAGTGTCGGCTGCGTCTGGGGCATGCGGCCCAAGCGCCCATGCGTGCCAATGCCGCACACGTACACGTTTGCACGCGCCTCGTTTGTCGCAAGGACCGTGTGCCAGCGTGAGAATGACATATCGCGGATCAGGGGGCGATCGAAGCGACTCCCCGCACGTGCCGAGGCGCCGACCTTGGGGGGTGGGAGCTTGAGGCGCTCTGCGAGGCCGTGGTCATTGGCGTGACCGAGGCCCAGGTTGTAGTTGCGGTTGCCGCCCCATACAAAGAGCAGTCCACCATTTTGTGCGTCTTCGGGTCGCGGGCATGTGCCAGGCACAGTCGTGTTGTAGAGGTCGAAGGCAGTGAGGCCCTCGTAGTCGCGGATACGAGTGTCGATGTTGGCGCGTTCGAGCAGGAGAAGCGCGATATGAAGATTTCCCGCATAGAGCGCACGGTGAAGTGCAGTCCATCCACTCTCCTGGTCCTGCAAGTTGCAGTTGACGGAGGGATGCGTGAGAAGGAGCTGCAAGTAGTCGAGCGCGGCGGGATCGTCGCTCGCACACAGAAGGTGGAGTACCGTGCGCCCAAAAAGGTCGCGGCGGTTCACCTCGGCAGGTGCACAGGGACCCGGTGGCAGGCTGCCATAGCTGGAGCCGAAAGACGCCGGGGACCGCTTTTGCGCGGCCGTGCGCTCGGTTGGGTTCCCCTTGACTGTGGTCAATAACGACAGTAGCGATACGTACGCACACGGCGGAAGCGCGGCAAGTCGCGCACGTGCCAGCAGTCAATCAGACTAGGTACAGACAGCATGGACACAACTCGGTCGTCAAAGCCGCACAGGCATGCTGCCTGCGTTAGCGCAAGCAGCGGGAGAGCGGGGGACACCCTGTGTCGCGGGCGCGTTATGCCTCCACAGGCCACGTGGTGTGAGCTTTTCAAACGCTCATTCATGCATGTCCCTACCGACAAACGAGGACTGAGCGGCGAGGAGGGCGTGTCACAATGGGGTGCAGGTATTAATAGGGACCCTCGTCTCCCTATATCCTATACATCGTATGGTCGCCAAGCCCCTTTTCGCTCGTTTCCTTGAATCCAAGCACGATCCCGTGAGTGCCAAGAATGAAAGCCGCCGGCGCTGGAGCCTGCCACTGCGTCGGCATATGGAGTGCTCCCGCCCCGACGAGGAACAGGGGGGGGCCGAACCGCGTCTGCCGGATATTGTCCTACATGCATCCACCCCGCGCCAGTCTCTCAACTACGAGACACCCGTCGTGTCGCCAGCGCTCTCGGGCCCTGTAGCGCCCGTCGCCGAGACGCAGAATGAGGTCGCCAAAGACCAAGCCAGCGCCTCTGCTCCGCCTTATGAGAATGTTGAACACCACGAGCCTGCAGCTGGCGAAAGCTTGCCAGTTCCGCAGTCGCCGCCCCAGGTCGCACTTGTGGATCCGGTGCCCATCGACCAGGCCCCTGCCGGCAGCGAGGCCCCCGTGCCTAAGACGGGAGCTCATGAGTCTGCTTCAGGCTCTGAAGCGGCAGCTGCTACACTTCGCAGGCCGAACGTGCCGCCCGTCGAGCCCCAAGGCACGCCAGCGGAGCAGGAGGATGTGGATGCGCTGCAGCAGATGCTTATGCAGCGATGCAAGACGATCGAGTTCCTTAAGCGTGCGATCAGTGGCGAGGAGCAGTATGTATATTCGGTCTTTTTCCGACGCGAGGACTTTTTGGGCGTGGTGCCCCAGCCAGCGCTCATGGCGTGGCATGCCAACAGCAGCCGAGTTTGTGATGTGATTGAAAAGTCGATGGAGCTCACATGGCCACACGAGGTGCTGGAATGTGTATCGCAGCTCGTACTTGAACTGCGTGCCGTGTCTCATAATGCTGAGTCGGGCATGACCCCGTTGTCAGAGTCGGAGCATGTTGAACCGGTGGATATTGTCGGCAAGATCCTGACCTTGCTTGATGCATTGCAGAAGCTGTACGCCAAGCTGCTGCTATGGCTCGACAGGAACACGCTCTCGTCGCTGGTGGAGGAGCACTATCGTTTGCCGGTCATGCCCTCCTACGAGCTGCTCGAAATCCTGGGGCAGGTGGACCACGGTCTAAAGAAATTTGTGAAGTGCGTGGCCAAGGACCTGTCTTTTGTGGCGCGCTGTGTGTGTCAGAACGAGATCAGCGAGTGGGACAAGATCCTATGCCATCGCCAACTTGATTGGGAGGATCTCGCTAATCAACTCCAGCTGCGTTCCGAACGTCTCGCTCGCACTGTCGCGCCAACCAAGGGACCATCATGTCATTCATCGCCCGGTCTCTCGGATGTGGAGATGCTTGATCCCTGTTTTATTGAGAACGTGGAGAGCGTGAAACGCCACAGCCTCATGTCCGTCTTTCGCAAGAGGAAGGACACGCGACGCCAGTCGATGCCACCCATGGACCTGGTGGGCCGCATGCGTCATTCGCTCTCCCGTTGCTCTAGCCTTCCTCCTGGTATGAGCGTGACCTCGGTCTTTCCCGGCATTGGCCGCGCGAGCACCGATATGGCCAGGCCGAAGTAGGCCTAGTGGGTTCGAGCTAATAGAAATTTTTTGGTCAATAAAACGCCAGGTTGGGAGACAATATGTTGTTTCGCAGAGCGTGGTCTAGTGGTTAGGACTCCTCATTTACACGTAAGTGATCTGAGGCGATCCCCGGTTCGATCCCGGGCGTTCTGATTTTTTTTTTTTGGACGAGGTATCCACCCTATAAGAAGACTGCGGCTTTCTATCCAGGTCATTACGCACCCGCCTTCCAGCTGTCCGTCAGTGACAAGATATACATACTGGGCAATATCACCATCGACCATTTCGTAGGTCTTACCCTTCTGGGCCAGCTTCCCGTTCGCACGGCAAGCGTTCTCGCTACCCGCCGCCTTGAGGTCTTCGAAGGCCATGATTTCACCACACACAAACTTGTTCTCAAAGTCGGAGTGAATGACACCGGCGGCTTGCGGTGCTTTGACACCGCGGCGGATCGACCAAGCACGCACCTCGTCCGGACCCGCGGTAAAGTAGCGAATCAGGTCAAGACCGTCATATCCACTCTTCGTGATCTTGCCCAGGGCGCTCTGCACACCCTCGCCTTGCTTGCTCAGGTACTCAGCCCGCGCATTGTCGTCAGGAAGCGAGAACAGCTGCTCCTCCAGCGCAGCAGAGAACGGAATGAGAAGGTCACCTGGGTTGTTCTCGTCGATCCATTGCTTGATCTTGGGCAGCCACTTGTTCTTCTTGCGAGCATAGTCGCGCTCGCTCAGGTTGACAATGTAGATCACCGGCTTGGCGGTCAAAAGCATCAGCGAGTTGATGACATCCACCTGTATGTTAGTGTGCTCCTGTCACAGCAGCCCAGAATCAGTGAATCAGTTTCATCTCACACGGCTTTCCTAGGGCCGTCGACGAGCTGGGTTAAGATTGATCGAGTGCGTGGCACCCTTTATCATCATCTGGGCTGCTCCAGTGATACGCACCTCCTTTGCATTCCAGTCACCCTTGCGGACATCCATGTTGTCCTCCTGAAGACACTTGAGGATCTTTTCAATGATCACGACTTCCTCCTTCTTCTTGCGGTCCTCCAGCGAGTTGTTACCGGCCGAACGGGCATTCTTCCGGGCCGTGTCGAGCGACTTTTCCACCCATTCAATGTCCTTGAGGCGCAGCTCGGTTGAAATGATCTCCATGTCACGCGTCGGGTCCACGTCACCCTCGACGTGGACAATGTCGGCATCATCAAAGGCACGGATCACCTGGAAAATACCGTCGACCGAGCGCACGTTCGACAAGAAAGCGTTACCCAGACCGACACCCGTACTCGCACCAGCAGTGAGACCGGCGATATCAATGACCGTCAGGAAGGCCGGTACCTCCGACTTGGGCTTGTACAGGTCACACAGCCAAAGGAAACGCTCGTCAGGCACGGGCACACGCGCCTCCTCAGGCTCAATCGTCGCGTATGGGAAGTTGGCGGCCTTACCAAGATCGCACTTGGCAATGGCATTGAACAGAGTCGACTTACCGACGTTCGGGAGACCGACGATACCCATCTTGAGGTTGTTCGACGGACGACCCAGACGGGGCTTCTCGACGGTCTGCTGGTTCTTCTTGGGCGGCATGTTAGTTTTAAACTTTAGCTTCTTTTCAACAGTAGGAGTCGTGTGTAGACACAGGCGACACGGCGGCGCAAAGAAGTGTTGGTTCAGCCAAGTTCGTGCGCAAGACGCACGTAGCATCCACTTGGAAGTGCTCTTCTCTTCCGCGGTCTGCGAGTAGTTTCGACACGTGATCAGTCTGACCATGCATGCCTGACTAAGCAAGGCATGCCGTTGCGCGTAGGCTGTGTTTGAGCCGCTCGACGATTGTCCTCTGTTCTACGATGCGCGCGGTGTTCGTGGCCGCCTTTTTGTGGACGCTCGTTGCCTATGTATATGCCACGCAAACCACGATGGCTGAGCCTACTTCGGTTCTCGATAAGCGCCAGGCTGTAGGAGGTGCCGCGCTGGGCGGCGGCGGCGGCCAACCAGACGATCTCCAGACAGAATCGCTACAATCGATTTCCGGCTATACCCCGCCGGCTTCGTCTACGACTCCCACGCCCAGCAACTTCAAGTCTGGAAAGATTCTTCAACCCAGCGAAATTAATGGCTACGACGATGCGATTCGGTTCGCCAAGTCGCCTGCGACAGTGAACACCATCTCGCTGAGCATGTTCGGTCTCGTAGCCGTCGTCGTTGGCGGCGTCGTCCTTCTTTAAATTAATGAACCGTCGCAACTATGTCCTACTGAGATGACCACATGACCCTGCAGTGACGTGCCTAGGGCACTGGGAACAGATCTGCTGCACTGCACGAAGCTAGAGACCATCGTTGCCATATCTCAGGGCGTTTTTCTTGTAGCATTTTACGATCCTCTTGCCATACGGGAGGGAGTGGCTTGCGCTGTGGGGCCTCTTCGGACGCTGCCGCACTGGTGCTCAGCTCACACGCAGGTGCCTTTTTGGTAAAGAACCCTCGCAAGGTCGCCTGGGCACGAGGAGGTGGTGCCTCGTCCATCCACCGCACGGCGTAGGCGCGCGTCGTGGGCGGGCAGGGCGTCCCGAGGAGCGAAGTACGAGGCGCCGACGCGTTGGTGCGCACGGGCTCCTCCAGCATGGATTTCGCCGTAGCCCAACTGAATCGCACAATGCCTGCCCAACCAAACACGGGATCAAGTGTCTCTTTGAGGTACTGTACGGTTTTGGGATCGCCTGGGTATCCGCTACCGGTCTGCCACACACTCGAGGGATCGGCATCATCAGGGGCCTCCTCAGCATCCGTTTCCATGTGCTTGCGCTTGCCCAGAGCGTGCGGGCCCAAGTTGCGCTCCGCGTACAGCCAACGCTCGATACAGTGATCTCGCGTGACCTTGGCGGCAATGCTGGCAGCGCCCACAACTGGGTATGTTGCATCGGCCTTGCGGGCGACGGTCCATTCAATGTGCTGGTACCGCGGGAATGAGCGCTTCAGCTTTGCGGCATAGGCCTTCGGGTCGCCGACTGTGTCGACGTAGATGTGCGTAACGTCGACACCAGCACTTAGCACGCCCTGGATCAGCATGACGGTAGCATCGCAGCTCTGTTCGTTTAGATTGTTGGGGTGGCGCCGGAGCATGCCTGCGGAAATGTCCTGGGGCGCCATTACACGTACGGCCCAACCTGTCGATCAGCAGGGAGCCACCTACCTATGTGGTCCTGGCGCAGTAAAGCCTGTAGAAGCCCGTCGCGACGCTCCGGTGTGAGTGTCTTGGAGTCTTTGGTAAGATGGGTGTGGCGTACCTGCGAATCCGACGTCACGCAGCTCCTGCTGCCGGTCGAGAGGGCAAAACGCGACGCCGTAGACCAAGGGGCCCAGCACAGGCCCTCGACCTGCTTCGTCGACGCCGAGCACGCACGGCACACGCTTTGAGCCTGTGCCACTGACGCACGCGTCGGGAATGGGCGATGCCCATGTGTAGGAATGCGTAAGCGCGCCGGGAGGCACGGACGGCACCTTGTTCTCACCCAGGCCCATGGTGAGGTGTCGCGAGGCTCTCCACACGAGCGCGTCGCGCGTGTGCTGACAAAGAGGCCCTAATCTTTTCCGCGGCTGCCGTCGACGATGGAGGAGCGGCTGCAGGAGGTGAGCCGCGCTCTGAGTGCAGCGACACAGACGGCGGCGCTCCTTCCTGATGCGACGGACCTGGACTTCCACAGTTCCATTGACCCGTCATTCAAGCGCGCCTTGGGCCGTGTGTCGGAGGGCCTCGGTGCGCTGATCCATGGCATGAGCGGGTGGATTGAGGCGCCCATCGGCGATGCGTCGGTCGACGATGTGCTCCAGCCGAGTCGGTTCTCTGCGGCGGTCGGCGACGCCATTGACCGTCTTCTCGAGCAGACGGACATATATCTGGATGAGTATGCGGGGCGGCGGCCCGTGGCGGCCCCTGCGGCGGACGCAGCAAGTGCCTCCATTCCCGCCAAGGGCAAGCTTCCGCGGCACCTTTTGCAAGCCAACATACCGCGTCCGCAGGACAAGTTCACGACGCGCCCAGACAATCGCGCTGATACGCCATGGAGTAGGCCCTTGCGGCGTGGCAAGCCGAATGCGCAAGTGCCGCTGGGCTACCGCGATCCAGCGTGGGACATTACGGAGTCGTCGCGCGTGGTCGGGCAGTACGGCGTCGAGGGAGATGCGCGGCTGAACCCGTACTATGTTGAGATCCAACAGACGCCGCCGCCGCTGCATTCGCTGCGGCCGCCGGAGCCTGAGGCGCCGAGGCCCCTGGAGATGGACATGCCTGACTCGAGCGCTCCGTGTCCGTTTGTGTGGGTGGACAGCCTTGAGAAGCTTGAAGCGCTCGCGGCGCATTTGGAGGAGGAGCGTGTGCAGGAGATTGCCGTGGACTTGGAACACCACAGCCTGCGCTCCTATGCCGGAATGGTCTCCCTGGCGCAGATCAGCACGCGATGGGGCGACTGGATTGTGGATACGCTCGTGGATGAGGTGCGGGAGAATATGGAAATGCTCAATACATCGTTTACGCACCCGTCCAAGGTGCTCGTGCTGCATGGTGCAGACCATGATGTGCTGTGGCTGCAGCGCGATCTGGGCCTCTATGTGACGAACCTCTTTGATACGTTCCACGCCTCGAAGCTGCTGCAGTTTGGCGCAAATAGCCTGGCATACCTGCTGCTGCGGTACCTGGATTTTGAGGCCGACAAGCGGTTCCAGACGGCCGACTGGCGGATTAGGCCGCTTCCAAACGAGATGCTGTTCTATGCGCGCAGCGATACACATTCGCTCTTGTACGTGTACGATCGCTTGCGCGAGGAGCTGCTTGCGCATGGCGGACCAGTCTCCGTGAAGGAGGTCTTTGAGCGCAGCAAGGGCACGGCCTCCAAAGTGTACGCAAAAGAGGCGTGGGACCCCGTCGGCGATTCCCGCTCGGGCTGGCGCACGCTGTGGCTCAAGATGGGCGGCGACCTTGCGCGTGCATCGCAGGATGCGCTCCCTGGCACGCCAATGGGACGCGAGGAGCGACTGGTGCGCCGGCTGCATCAGTGGCGCGATGCGGTGGCGCGCGAGGAAGACGAGAGTCCACACTATGTCATGCCCCCGCAGGTTCTCGTCAGCCTGGCTTTTCGGCCGCCATCGACCGTACAGGAGGCCGCAGCGCGCATTCCCAAGAACTTGGCGGTGGCACAGCGCCGCTTGGACGGGCTGGTCCAGGTGGTGGCCGATGAGCAGGCGGCGTACCAGTCGGAAGCGCAGGAGCGCGTGCAGAGTGCTGGCGGCGATGCATGGGACGTGGATGAGGAGGATGTGGGCGAAATCGTGCAGGAGATACGGCCGTCTACGCCGGCGCCGGCCGAGGCGCCCAAGGCGGTCCAGCAGGGCCGCCTAGACACGGAGTCGTCGCTTGCGGATGTGCGCGTGTGGGAGCAGCCGGCTCCAGAGGCCGTGCATGACGGAGCGCGGCTCTTCCGCGGCCTGAAGACGTCGGCGGCTGAGGCGACCAAGCCCGCGAAGAAGCGCCAGTCGCTCTTTGCGAAGGCTAAGCCCGAAGAGAAGCCCGTCGAAAGTACGCTGCAGCGCATCCGTGCCGAATGCGTCCAGTGGCTGGGTGGCCTGTTTGGCCAAACGGTGGGCGTCCCCGCGTCCAAGCCGGAAGCGACCGAGCCCGTCGAGGTCGCGGCGAATCCGGCCTGGGAGGCGCCGAGCACGAGTCAGACGACGAAGCGCAAGGCTAGTCCAGAGCTAGAGGCGACGCCTGCGAATGACGACGACGATGTCGACGCCATCGTGCCCGTGGCCAAGCACCCTAAGAGCCAGCCAGGTCTGCAAGCGCGGAAAGAGTCTGCTGCGGCGTCGGTGCCAGAGTTTGACTATGGCAATGCCGCGTCCATGCTGACGGCGCCGCGTGCGCCGCCTGGAAGATCGCTGCTGCGTGCAGCCGGCAGCACGTCGGCGAAAGGGAGCAAGGCGCCGAAGCAAAAGTCGAATGCCCGCAGTGGCAACCGCAGCGGGACATTTGGGGGCCGCCGAGCGGGGCCGCGGTAATAGCACATGCGTCTATAGCTATTGCATCTAGCTGGATCGGGTCCACGAAAGAGAAGGTGCGCTGCCGCACGAGCTTGCCAGCTGGTTGGTCCAGTCGATGACGGGCGTCTTGTTGTCGAAACGAGGGAATTGGCCAACGTCGCTGTTCGGCAGGGCCATGTCGTAGAAGGAGTATTTGAGAGCAATCGGCGCCGCTTCGCCGGCCACGGGGTTTGCGGAGGCGTTGATGCGGTACGTGAAAAAGAGGGAGCCAGCGGACCAGCCAAAGACTTTGAGCTCCGTCTTGAGCAGGTCGGTGGTGGCGGTCGAGCCATTCAGAATGCTCACGGGGGAGTACTCGCCCATGAGCACGGGCGTGGGAAAGCGCTGCATATCGCTGCCGTACTGGCACACGCTCTGCACGATGGAATCGATCTTACTGGGCAGAGGATTTTGGAACCACGCAGGGTACGGATGATCGTCGAGGATGAAGCGCGAGGGCCCCTTGGAGCTCGCGTATGCACTCCATTCGTCGTAGGGATTATTCACGAAAGCATGGTGCGCCACCAGGGGTATGTTGAGGGACGAGAGCTGTTCGATGCTGAAGTCGTAAAAGCTGCGTAGTTTCTGCAGGTACCGAGGGTTGTTGTAGACGCGTGGCTCATTCACAGAGGTGAAGCCGGCGATCACCGACTTCGCGGGGTGCCGTTCGACCCACTGGAGCGCCGACGTGACGACCTGCCGGGAGTACTCCTGGTTCTTGTCGGAATAAAAGTCCACATAGTTGTCAGCGGTGCGCCTCGTGTCGTTGCGGCCAGACGACTGGTCGTTGTTCTGGCTGCCGGGCATGCCATGCAAGTCAAGCAGGATGTAGAGGCCCCGCTTCCACGCCCAGTGCATGAGGTTGGACAGGTGGTCCAGCTGCGTCGCATTCCGGTACGGCTCGCCCGTGATGCGCGTCGAGAGGAAGGGCCAGTACCCAATCGGCACACGGAGCATGTTCATTCCAAACGACTGGATCCGGTCGAGGTCCTGCTCGGTGATCCAGGAGTCCATGTGCGAGTTGAGCACGTCGACCGTGCGGTCGCCGAGCCGCTGCGACAGGCGAAGCTCGTCCCATGCGTTCGGTCCACCGACGCCGACCATCCAGTCCTCGTACATCCAGCGCTCCAGCATGAGCCAGCCGCCCAGGTTCACACCAAAGGCCTTTTTCGAGGGTGAGAGCCAGTCCCACTTGGGCAGGTCAGCCAGCTCCGACGTAGCTGGTGCCGGCGGCGCAGATGTGTCCTTGCTCTTCTTCGAGAGTCCCACGCCCAGGCCAGCACCGAGCGCGATAGCCAGCACAGCTACGAGCACGAGCGCCGCAAGGAGCCAGGGCCACTTGGCCTTTTTGGTAGGCGCCCGCGTCTGCGAAGGAGCGGCGGCGGCCGGTGAGGCAGCCGCATACTCACGCCTGTGTGTCACTCGATGCCACGGGAGCATATGCACGTCTTCGCGCGAGGCGTACATGTCCACCGACATGTCTGTTGACTCGTCGTGAAACGACGTGTCGAAAGCCTTGCTGTTCACTGGTTCGACGGGCGGCGAGCGGGGCGCTTCTGTAGCGCGCCAGTCCGTCCCAGTAGCAGTCGCGCCCTTGGACAGGGCCCCGGGCTCAGTGCGCGCCGACCGGAAACTTTCGGCGCCATCCATCTCGAGATACTCGGCCTGCGGCTCATCGATATGCGACTGCCAGTCGAGGAGACCGCTAGCGATGTTCTCGTCAGGCTCTAGGTACTGCATGCTTCTCGGAGTCACGGCGCCCTCTGGCGTTCCTCCATCCAGATAGGGATCGCCGAAACGTGGCACGGAACGCGACAGTGGCGAATAGGGGTCGTCCTGCAGCGAGAGATCCAAGCTTTCGTTGGCGCTCGGATCTATGCTTGCATACTCCTTAACAGACCGCGAGCGTAGGTGGGACATGGCGGACCGAGGACGCCAAAGGCAGAAAGGCGATCCGCTCGACCCGGCTGTCAAGCAAGCGGAAGCTGGGGGCGAAACTGTTACGGACCTCCGCCGCACGTGGCCAAAAATTCGCGGACTTCCTACGCATCTACATAAGGTCATCGATTTTGGCGGGCATTTCGTCAATTTGTGTGCTGAGCGTAAGTGTGGCCGACGAACCTGTAGTACTGCTCGATGTCGCGCAAGATCTTCACGTCTTCGTTTGTGACGAAGTTGATCGCTACGCCCTTGCGTCCAAAGCGCCCTGAGCGGCCAATGCGGTGGATGTAGTTCTCGCGGTTCGTCGGCAGGTCGTAGTTGGTAACGAGCGAGACGTTCTGCACGTCGATGCCGCGGGCCCAGACGTCCGTCGTGATGAGCACGCGACTGCTGCCCTGGCGGAACTCATTCATAATCGCGTCGCGCTCCTTCTGCTGCATCTCGCCGTGCATGCTGCTCACCTGGAAGTTGTTCTCGCGCATGCGCTCCGTGAGCCAGTCGACCTTTCTGCGCGTGTTGCAGAATATGACCGCCTGTGTGATCGTCAGGGTGTCGTAGAGATCGCACAGCGTGTCGAACTTCCAGTCCTCCTTCTCCACGGCAATGAAGAACTGTTTGATGCCCTCGAGCGTAATTTCATCACGCTTCACGAGGATGCGCACGGGATCTGTCATGAACTTGCTTGTCATCTCCAGCACATCATTCGGCAATGTCGCTGAGACGAGCACAACCTGCGTCGCCGGCGGCAGGTAGCGGTAGATGTCGTAAATCTGGTCCTTAAAGCCCATGTTTAGGAGCTCGTCGCTCTCGTCGAGGATCAGCATTTTGATATTCTTTGTCCGCAGGTGTCGCCGCCGGATCATGTCAAATACGCGGCCGGGCGTGCCAGACACGATATGCTGTCCATACTCGAGCTTGCGGATGTCCTCGCCGACAGACGTGCCGCCAATGCACGCGTGGCACTGCACGTTCATATAGTCTCCGAGGGCCAGCACGACGCTCTGGATCTGCGTCGCAAGCTCGCGCGTAGGACTGAGCACGAGCGCCTGTGTCTCGCGCAATGCTGTATCAATGGTCTGCAGCATGGAAATGGAGAAGGTGGCGGTCTTGCCGGTACCCGACTGCGCCTGTGCAATCACATCGCGGCCACGTAGAATCGGCTGAATAGCGCGCTGCTGGATGGCAGAGGGCTTTTCGTAGTCTGCGGCGTTAGCGCCATGCACGCACTGTATGCATAAATGCCTCGCAGCAGGTCGTCCTTGAGGCCGAGCGAGTCCTGCGGTCAGCACACACAACGTACAAAGGTCGGCGCCACAGTGACCTCCTCACTGCTCTCGAAAACAAGATTCGCACTCGTCGAGTGAACGCCCTGCGGTGAGACTGTCCGCCACGTACCGCCATGTCGTGGGCCAAAAAAGCTGTCGACGGCCGTGGAGGTCGCTCGATAAATGTCCACGTGGCTCGTCGCGCGGCGCCGCGCCGCTGGGCGACGAGCTTCGCCTGGCACTCTCGCGACATGGCGGAGACGTCGGTGTATGAGAGTGCGCGGATGACGCATGAGGAGATTGAGCAGTATGAAAATGCACTGGTAGACACGCTAAATCATCCGCCCAAGGCGTCGTCGCACCGGCTGTTTATGCAGTGGCAGCTGGCCGCCTCTGAGCTGCTCGACCAGATGGTGAGCCGGTATCAGACGCTCGACGACATGTACGCGGATGCTACAGGCGACCGAGCGAGAGAGTGGGAGCAGCTCGCACGCGTCGACCCAGCTGACGAAGAGAACGGCCCGCTGAGCGAATTTTACGCGCGCCTAGAGCACCTGCAGGCCTACTTCCGCAAGTACCCTGAGCGGGCGATCGCCCTGGAGACGACCGCCACACCCTCGATCCTCGGCACCCAGGATGCATCCATGTTTGACCTTACGTATATGGAACGCCACTTTAGTGGGGAGGAGATGGGTGGACGTTTCCTGGACTTATACGAACAGTACGAACAGTTTATCAACCTCAAAGGAGTCGAGCGGATCAGCTACCTCGACTACCTCCTGCGACTCGACGATATGACGGGTGAATGTGCCACTATCCCCATCGCCACGAAGCGCACGGAAGCCTACAGGACGTACCTCGTCAGCGTGTGCCAATACCTCAGCTCCTTCCTGCACAAGACGCGCCCCCTGGAAGACATGGACGAAATCGAATCGACGGTACTCGCGCAGTTCGAGCAGGACTGGGAGCAGGGCACGGTCCCCGGCTGGGAAGGGCGGGAGACGGTGCTCTTTGGAGCCAAGGTGCAGCCGGCCGAGGCTGGGATCTGGTGCCCCGCTTGTCAGCGGTTTTATGCGAAGCAGACCGTCTACGATGCGCATCTGTCGTCAGCCAAACACCTCAAGGCGAGCGCGCGCCTGGAAAGCGGGGCTGCGCCGCCGCGGGTGCCCAAGGAGCAGGACTCGGAGCTAGAGCAGGCGAAGCGGGTCATGCGCGCCAAGCAACTCGCGCGCGATGAAGTGCTGATGCGTGCCTTGGCCAATGAGCTTGCGACAGTGCGGGAGGAGACACATGCCAATGTCGAGCGGAAAGCATCACTGACGGAGCGCGAGCGCGAGGAGGAGGTCGAGGCGCTCGACGCCGAGATGGACGAGGCGCTTGAGACGGGGGGTATGGGCTACGAGGACGTGCCAGAAGAAGGCGCGGGAGTGAGTGAAAAGATCTACAACCCACTCAAGCTCCCGACGGGCTGGGACGGCAAGCCGATCCCCTTCTGGATGTACAAGCTGCATGGCCTGCGTGTCGAGTACAAGTGCGAAATCTGCTCGGACCACGTCTACAAGGGCCGCAAAGTGTTTGAGAAGCATTTTCAAGAGTCCCGGCACGCCTTTGGCATGCGCGCGCTGGGCCTGCCCAACACGGCGCAGTTCCGCGACGTGACGCGTATCCAAGACGCGTACGCACTTGCAGAGAAGCTGCAGCTGCAGAAACGGCAAGACACGGTGGACGAGGACGACACGGTCGAGGTGGAAGATGAAAACGGCAACGTACGTCGCACTCACTAACTCCCAGGCATATACCCGCAAGACGTACGACTTGCTCAAGCGGCAGGGGCTGCTGTAGACTGCAGCAGCCGTGCAGCGCCGCTGCGTCAGCGTCACGTACATAATTACAAATATAGCCTGTCTGCACGGCCGGGCCTACCAGGCTTTACGCGGTAGGAGGCCCTAGCGCCACCGGGCGGAGTGTCGCCCCAGCCGACCAGCGCGTCGCTGCCCAGAGGAATGGGCGCGAGCTCGGCCCGAACTATACAGGGAGTGGCTCCGCCAGCCCATGCGGGTGTAAGTTCGAGCGGAGAGTCGAAGCAGGCGAGCAAGAAGCGCGCGCAGAGCTTGAACCATCTGCTGGCCTTCACGCTGCCGCCCCGTGCACCGCCCACGGTGGGCCCGCGTCGTGTACGGAGGAGTGACTCGTACCGTCCCTTTAGCCGCGAACGTGCGTAGTGCGAGACTGATTCCAGGGTATGTCAATGCGCAGTACCGTTTCGTGGTAAAGCCAACGTTCGACAGCCAGCGGCACCTGAACGACCCGGATCTGCCGTTGCCCTGGCAGGACGTTGTCCAGGTGCTTGTCCCGTTGACGAGCGACGCAGTAGTGGCGGCGCATGGTACAGCCGAGACAGACCAGGCAGGCACCTGCCCCATCTGCCTCTCGCCACCGACCGCGCCGAGAATGACGCGGTGTGGACACGTATTTTGCTACGCGTGCATGCTGCACTACTTGATTGTGGCGGAGAATGGTACGCGGACTCGTGGATCGATGCGCCACGCTAAGCGATGCCCCATTTGCTGGGACGATGTCGTGGCACGCGACCTGAAGGCGGTGCTCTGGGTCGATGGCCAGCACGAAGCCCAACGGCACCGGCGTGCCTTTTTGGAATGTCATACCGAAAAGGGCCTCTCCATGCCGGACGATGTGCTGATCCTGCGTCTGGTCGAGCGGCCGAACGATGCATGCGTGGCCCTTCCGCGCTCGACGACTTGGCCGATCGAGTTGGGCGACCGGAGCCTCCTCTGCTCACACCCAGATGCCCTGTTGTATGCGCGCTGCGTGCGTGCGACGCCAGAGCACCTAGTCGAGTCGCTGCGCGCCGATATTGCTGGCGTAGAAGCAGCGACAAAGGAGGCACAAGCGTATGAGCCAGACGAACTGAGCCTGGAGTTTTTGCGTGTGGCGCACGAGCAGCTGCAAGAGCAACTTTTGACAGCGCTGGGCATGCCGTCCATGCCGACGGAGCGTCCAGCAAGTGAGCGGACGGCTGTGCGCTCGTCGTACTTTTACTTCCAGGCGGCCTCGGGGCAGTACGTGTTTCTCCATCCAATCGATATCAAAGTATTGCTCTCACGCTTCCAGACGTACGCCAACTTCCCCGATACCCTGGCGGTAGCCGTGCAGGGAGCTGATGAGGGCACCGTCGATGAAGCGCTGCGGAAAAAGTGCAAGTATCTTGCTCACCTGCCCATGTCGGCGGACGTGACGTTCATTGAGGTGGACTGGGCACGTACGGCCGCGGATGTGCCCGCGAGTGTGCAGCCAGCCATTCCGTGGGAGCCCTGGGCGGATGTGCTTGCGCAGCGCTCGCAGCGGCGTCAGAGCAAGGCTGCAAGGGAAGAGAAGTACCGCAAGCGCGCGCAGAAGGAACCACAGAAGCATCGCGAGACGAATGTGTGGCCTGAGGAGCAGTCCCTGGCCGATGACCAGCTGTCGTTCCGCGAGGCTGCGATGGTCGGTGCGGAGATGTACTTTCCGATGCACCCTGGGGCTGCTGCGGACGATGAGTCGCTATTCCCGAGCATGTCGACACCCGCGCCAGCCCGCCCGACGGAGCGCGTGGCAAAGACGGTGTGGGGCACACCGGCTGCATCACAGACGCATTCTGCGGCGGCACCGGATACGCAGCATATGGATGAGGCGTGGCACACGCTGGAAGAGCGCAGTGGCAATCCCGAACAGTCTGAGGGAAAGCGACCCGGGCCCAAGACGAAGCGAAAGCCCAAGCTGATACTGACCGGCGGTGGTCGCGCTGCCTGGTAGATACCCTGCCGTAACCAAAGCAAATTCGTGCGGTGACTATTAGACATAATACTGTGTGCATGATTGGGGGGCATAAGATCGCGCCGCCTTGAAGGGAATCAAATTAGAGGATCGTCGTTACAGTACAGGGAGCGCATCAGTGGTCGGGGCGTGAGGGGCGACCATAGGATCGGGCGTATAGGGAGAATACACTCCGTCTTTTTCGTCGGCCAGCACCTCGTCATCCTTACCCATGACTCCAATGTCGAAGCCCTCACTAATGAGGAACTGGCGGAAATCCTCATCTTCTTGGGCCTGGACATCGGCGGGGCGCTCACGGATAAAGAACAGAGAGAGTACCAGAGAGACGCACGCGAGCGAAGAGCCGAGGTAGAAAGGCGCCGTGTAATAAAGATTGTCCGTATTATTTCCGTCTGCATCCTCCCAGTATTGTTGCAAGGACTGGATAGCATAAGAGCCGGAAAAGGCACCGATTTTGCCGATAGCGGCCGCAATACCGTAAAATTGACCCTTGACAGCGGTGGCGCACGACTTGGAGGCGAGCAAACCAAGATTGTTTCCTGGACCAAACTCGCCAAAGCTCAAGAAAAGACCGTACACAACACAAAATGCAGCAATATGGCTCGAGATCTTATCGAACAGACCCGTGAGAATAAAGCCGACGATGATTTGAAGCGTAAGACCCAAACAGAGACACTTCTTGGGGCCGATCGTGTCGACAAGCATAGCACCCAAGAACGAGCCAGGAATATAGAAGCAAGTAATGACAACCGACCAGCCGAGTGAGACTTCCTGAGAAGCATCATTGCCTGTAAAGTGGTCGGTAATGAGAGACGAGTACAGTCCGAACGGGTATGTAATAAAATCGTAGATGAACCAAACAATCGAGATAGTCAGCAGGCGGAACCAGTATTTCTTCAGCACGAGTCCGTAAGGAATCCTGGCGGCAGGGATCATGTTTTTGGTATAAAGCTTGGGCTGCTTGATCAAGAACCGGAATGGCAGCACAAGCAGACAAGGAACCACGCCGAGACCCATTGTCAGGCGCCAAATCAGTTGATTGTTACCTTTGGCGCCATACTCATCGAATACAATCCATGTCAGCACCAGAGGCACAAATGAAGCAATCAAAAAGCCAAGATCGATCATAAAGTTGGTCGCAAAGATAAAGGGACCATGCTGGAAGTAGCCGGGCATTTCTTCCGACTGTTCCGCAGCTGCCACTGATCCCGTCGGGTACTCGGCACCAATACCAATACCCGTGAAGAAACGCCATGCCGTCAGCATCTGGACCATGCCCTTTGATGATCCCTTGTAATACGCGCCCGCCGACAGTGCCGTGAAGACCAGGATGATAATTGTCGAGACAATCATACCTGACTTGCGGCCCACAGCATCCGAGTAGTAGCCAAACACGAGCATACCCAAAACGGTGCCAGCAAATGCGATAGCAGTGAGAGTCTCGCTAGTAGTTTTGTCCATTACATCACGGTAGAGGCCCTTAAGGAGAGTGTTCACAGTACCGATAGAGTTGTTCACGTAGCCATCCATGAAGAGGGCTGCGCCGCACGCGAAAATTGTGCCTAACTTGCTGATGGAGAACCTCTGCTGTCCATACATGGGTGACTTCTCGATCATGCCCGCATCGGGCTTGCTGCGACGGAACAGCATAGTAACGGTGTCGTATGCTATCTGATCCACGCGCTTAAGTTGATTTCCGTTCAGGAAATCTAAGACGTGCGCAGCAAAACGAGGGGGGGCGGCTCAGCGCCATATATCTCCGTAAAATGCTACACGCGCATCCTCCACTACAAAGTTCGGCAGGAGGGCCTTATGATTGGACAATGGGGGGTTTCTCGCAGGATTCAGGGGAGGCACGTTCCCCAGGGTTACTGGGCTCCATGGGGTCTGGCATGGCCGGCTCGCCAACGTGCCGCATGTCGAAACCATGGTCGGCCAGGAATTGCTGGAAAGAGGCGTCCTCGTCCCTTTGGCAGTCAGCGTACCGCTCTGGAATGAAGAAGAAGGAGAGGACGAGTGACACGCACGCGAGGGACGAGGCCAGATAGAAAGGAGCCGTATAATATAGATTGTCGGTGGCCTTCTTAGAGTCTGGATTATACCAGTAGTTCTGCAAGCTCTGGAAGGCATATGTGCCACTAAAGGCGCCAACCTTACCGATGGCTGCAGCCGTGCCATAAAATTGTCCCTTGACGGCAGTGGCGCACAGCTTCGATGCGAGAAGACCCATGTTGGTGCCTGCGCCAAGTTGTCCAAGAGAGAGGAAGATGCCATATACCACGCAGAATGCCGCGATGTGCTGAGAGAGGTGCGCAAACAGGCCGGACATGATATAGCCGACGATAATCTGCAGCGCCAGACCCACGCATAAGCTCTTCTTGGGCCCAATCAGGTCCACCAGGAAAGCGCCGAGCAAGGCACCGGGGATGTTGAAGCAGTAGATGAGCATGCTCCAGCCCAGAGAGTCTTCCTGGGATTTGTTCGAGCCGAGGATCTGCGAGGTGATGTACGACGTATAGAGGCCAAAAGGGTATGCAACAAAGTCGTAAATGAACCACACAATCGAGATACACAGCAAGCGGGCCCAGTACTTCTTCAGCACAAGGATATAGGGAATCTTAGCCGCAGGGATCTTGTTCTGTGTATACATTTTTGGTTGGTTTATTATCAGGCGGAAGGGCAAGACAAAGAGACAAGGAACTATGCCGAGACCCATGGTGAGGCGCCAGATCAGCTGGTTGTTGCCCTTCGCGCCATACTGGTCAAACACGATCCACGTAAGAATGAGGGGTACGAAATTCGCAGCGACGCCACCCAGGACCAGCTGGAAATTTGTGGCGAGGACAAATGGACCATGCTGGAAGAAGCCGGGCAGCTCCTCCGTCTGCTCTGCAGCTGCCACGGATCCCGTCGGGTACTCGGCACCAATACCAATACCCGTGAAGAAACGCCATGCCGTCAGCATCTGGATCATTCCCTTCGACGAGCCCTTATAGTATGAACCCGCTGAGAGCGCAGTGAAGACCATGATGATAAGCGTCGATACAATCATGCCTGACTTGCGGCCAATGGCATCGGAGTAGTATCCAAAAAGGAGCATACCCAAAACCGTGCCCGCAAAGGCAATGGCAGTGAGTGTCTGCTGAGTTGTTCCATTTTTGGGCATCACATCAGGATACAGGCCCGTTAGGAGCTTGGACACAATGCCAATAGAATAATTGGCATAGCCGTCCATGAACAGTGCCATACCACATGCGAAAATGGTACCAAACTTGCGCCATGAAAGAGTCCGTTGCGATACTTGGTCTGGACCGGCCAGCTCAAGAGCACCCATTTTGGAGGAGATACGGTGGCGATAAGACCGCGCTGCCCTTCCTATATGTGCCTCACGCCGAGCAGAGAGGAGCTAGAGCCTTCATTTTCAGTTCCAAGAATCTGCATGATAGTGGAGTAGGGTACCTGATCAACGTGGAAATGATTTGTTGGAATACGAACACGTGGTGCACAGCGCGCCCTGCATGAAGCTCTTCGACAAAATTTTCCTGCAGCCAGCCCCCGTCACGCTTCCGAAGAATCTCGGGGTCGAACTTGGTTGATAACTGTCTATCGCAGCTCTAATTCGTAGTTCGGGCGCGTGGTGCAAGCGAGTAGACCAACTAGATGAAGGCAGGCTCATTTGTTGGCGTAAACATGTACTTAGATATAGGACCATAATTCACGCAGGTGTCTATGCGCGCCTATCAATCCTAACGCGACATATTAGGTCAAGTAGTAGGCCCGCATGACTTTGGTACTTTATCGGAAGGCTACATCCCTCCGTGCCATTGCATAGGGGCGACCATTGTCCCCGTCATGGCTGCACAACCAAATCGCAAAATTTAGCTCTGCATGAATCCACGAGTCCCATACCGCTTTCAAAATTGACAGCATACTTATTCGTCGAGACCTTATTTTACATAAGACGAGCGTGTAAAAACAAAGCTTAGTCCCTGAAGATGTAGGGAAGGCTGTCTTTGGCTGCAAACATGGGATAGTTTTGGTGTGAAACCCCCTCCACGTATTCCAGAGAAAACGACTTGGGCAGCTCGCCGCCATTCACGGCAGCGACGTGCTTCACAAAGTATGCCGAGCGTTCCAGGCGGTTATGTCCCTGTGCCATCGTATCGCATGTGTCTATAGACACACCATTGTCGTTCAGACCCTGAGCGAGACGGACATCCCGTGAGAGGAACTTCTTGATCAGTTGGTCCTTGTGGGCTGAGCCGACATAACTGGGGAGATTAGAGCCCAATCCTGAGGGGAATCTGTCATAGTTTTCACAGTCGTCTTTGGAAAGGGGGCGATCGGTGCCCAAGTACGTGTAAGTACCTGGGTTGCCAATCCAGTACTTGGTCTTGGCGTCGTGGGCATTGTGGTTGATGATCGCATAGCGGAGAACAGTTTGGGCACCAAGCGAATGTCCTAGTACGACAAAGTTCTCGATGTCAGGGTACTCTTTGGCAATCATGTTAATCATATCATCCATGGCAGAGAATGCGCTAATCGTGGAATTACCAGGCCCGCGGCTAAGACCGCCGACGCTAAAGTTGTCGTCTTGGTAGTAGATCCAGTCGTCCTTCACAGCACCGTGTTTTTTGTCTTTCTGGTTCAGAACATAAGGTGCCACGAGGGCGATACTGCCATCCTCGACGTGGTACATCTTCTTGTAGACATTGTATGCATTGCCAATCATGTTGATATAGTTGTACGAGTCGCGGTGGTAGCCAGGCCAGACCATCACGGCACGTGTTACATTCTTCAGGTTCTTGTTGATATAGTAAGGCTGTGTGGCGTTGTTGCCGTGCTTATCTGTGAGCGTCGTGTATTTCGTCTCGAACATGTAAAACTCTGATGGAACCTCACTATAGGAGTCTCCGTCAACCATTTTGACACTGGGGCTAGGCGAGAACTTTGTGAACCAGGGTGCCCAGGGCACCTGGGTGAGATCGGTGTCCACAGTAAGATTGTTGTACTTTGCCCATGAATCTTGGTGAGTGTCGTTCAAATTCTTGATAGTAAGAACCTTTTCGGCAGCAGAGAGTGGGTCTGACTTGGCCAGTTGAACGATAGACGCTTGTTCGCTTTTGGAAGCTTGCCGCCTTGAAAATTCGGCATTCCCGGGAAGTGCATACGCTGTGCTAGCAAGGGCTAGGGCCAGAAGAGTGAGCTTCATGACGAATGGTGTTAACAGCGAAGATCTTTTCCAGTGGCTTGGTAGCTACCGGAATATCGCCACGAACTGCATGCCAGATACGGCAATTATGGCGTGCTCCAATGAAGTTGTTTCTCTGTAACAACGTGTTAATAATTTGCGTGGCAGGGTCCCGATGAGGGCAACAATATTGGAAAAACCTTCCCATTAGTAATGTGGTCAGAGCGTCACTGCAGGATGAACCCGAGTACATTGGGTGCATTGGACACATCTCTCGGGGATTAGATAAAATTGTAGATCAACTCAAGTCAGTGCTATGTTAATGTACTGTTCTGGAGAAGGGGCATGTGGTTGTGCATTACACCATTGAGCCACATGCCAGAATGGACCGACCTATTTATGGCAGCAATGTAAATGAATCCATTGGTGGAAAATCCCTCCGCTGACAGGGGGCCTGGCGAAGGCACTGGGCCTGCATATGATATGGATTGCATTGACAGGGTAGAATAATGACTTTGCCAATTTTGGGTCAGGGTCGCACTCAAAATAAACACATCATTCCCGTTAATTTGCATTAGATATAGTGATTTGCCGGTGCCCTCACGTGACATGGCCAATCCTCCGGCTCCCTCACTTGTGTAGTACGCCGCATCATGCTGGGCATTCATAAGGATTAGTTGTCTGGAATAGTGTTGTTTTGTTTTGAAAACGTGGCGCGTTCTCTTTCGGTCCAATCCGATCTGGGCGCGTTACTACGTCATTTCGTCGTTGCACCATAGCTGACACTAAAATTGGTCCCATTTCGATCCTCCACCCATTGAGTAGTAGCCTGAGTAGGCCGCCTGGGGAGAAAAGTCCGTGCTTCTGATAGCGTCCCCTTGGAGAGACGTAGTTAACGCGCATATCGAAGCATCCACACACGTGGCCGGCACTACTTACAAACTACCGTATCATTAGCCAATTTTATCCTAACCCCACCATCAACACTTATTCAATGAAAATGTAAGAGAGACTGTCTTTTGTCGCAAACATAGGGTAATTCTGATGTGAAACGCCCTCGACATATTCCATTGAAAACGAGTCAGGGAAGCTCCCACCATTCACTTGAGACAGATGTTCGACATAATAGGCAGATCGGTCGAGACGATCGTGACCCTGGGCCATTGTATCACACATCTCGGACGAGACACCATTATCATTGAGACCCTGGGCAATCCTGACATTGCGAGAAAGGAATTGCTTAGCCAGTGCACTCTTTCCAGAAGACGAATAGCTAGGGATACCCGACCCCAGCCCCGACGGGAATGTGTCGTAATCATCACAGTCGTCATGCGACAGTGGACGGTCAGAGGTCAGGTACGTATAGGTACCGGGGTTGCCCGACCAGAAGGCCATCTGGTCCGCATGCTTGCTCTCAGTCAGCATTGCATACCGCAAAACAGCCTGTGCACCAAGTGAATGACCGACGATCACGAATTTCTCGATGCCTGGATAAGTTTCCGCCAGTTCCTCCACTAGCGTGTCCATCGCACTGAACGAGCTAACAGACACATGCTTCGGACCATGGCTCACGCCAGCCACGCACCAGTTATCATTCTTGTAGTATACCCAGTCAGACCGAACGGCGCCGTTTGCATTGTCATTCTGGTTCAAAACGTACGGCGCCGCAATGGCCACGCTTCCTTCATCGATATCATATAACTTCTTGGCGATATTAAAGGCGTTACCTACCATATTAATGTAATTCCAGGAATCACGGTAATAACCAGGCCATACTAGAACGGCTCGCTTGACATTCGACAAATCTTTGTTGATATAGAAAGGCTGCGTGGCAGCTTTGCCATTGGAACCTTTGACGGAAACATAGTTCGTCTTGAACATGTAAAAGCTCGAGGGAACATCGCTGAACGAGTCACCACCAACCAGACTGACATCGGGGCTGGTCTGAAATTCAACACCGCTAGGAGCCCAGGGCACCTGCTCCGCGTCAGCATTGCCTGATATATTGTTGTATTTAGCCCAAGATGGTTTATAGTGGTCCACATTTTTGATATGAAGAATCTTTTTAGCTGCAGCAACAGGGTTCGTCTTCGCGAGCTGCACAATGGCAGCTTGCTCAGTGTCGGAGGCTTGTCGTTTGGAGAGTAGCTCATGAGGAGCCCCTGAAACACTGACAACGAAGAAGAGACTGGAGGCAACAATGCTCCCCAGGAATCGCATGGCGATAGTCTAATACGATTGTGGAAAGTTCGTTTGTAGATTGGGAGCTCGCCGGCTCCCTTATCGACATTTTTGACATCTTCCCCGCATTTAGCATTCTACGCTTTCGTTGACAGTCGACACCTGGTGGCGAATGAGCGAACTTCTAGCCGTCCACGTGCTCGGCAGCCACGTGGCACCACGTGGCTACCGAGAATGCCTTTCGCTAAAAAGTCGATTCACCCATACAAGTAAACGGGCTTGACTGAGAAGTGGTACGCAGGGACTGCAGTTGTTGAATGTTATGTCTCAACGGCGATAGTCGTCCCATTAAAACACCATTGTCCGAATTCCTGTGATACGCATGCCCAAAGTTGACGTTTTTCTATTAGAGGCGCAAGGGCAAATGAACGGGAAATGCACGTGATTTCACATTCCTGCAAGGATTGGAATGTACATAGGACAACTCCACGCACATAAGCTATGTTGTATAAACGTAGCTTATACTTCAACTTTGTTTCCCACTACCACTCTTTCTCGCTTTCATGTTTGGACTAACCATTTCGCGTGTTCTCCTGGCGTCGCTTCTTCTTGTGTCTGCATGCTTGGCCTGTGAAGACACCTACGTCGCCAAAGTAACTTTGTTTGACGGCAATTGCCTGGGTCGTCCGAAGTTCGTCGACTATCTTTGCGACAAAAATAACTATGGTGAAGGCAACGCCCAGACCCACCAGAATGTTGCGCAGTTGTACCATGCACTGAACGCGAACTTCGAGACTAGGGACCCTTCTGTGGGTGCCACCCTGAACACATGGGGCTCGGCGGGCATGTCGAAGCGCAACCGCAACAATCACAACAATCCGGAAGGACCGGTGCAGCACACTGAGCTTTCCCCAGCCCCGTTCAACTGTATTCCGCTAGCGCCCGGAAGCGCCACCGGCTTC